AGGAAAAACCTTGAATATCATTTCAAACAACCATAGAGAAGAAGATTAGAGACCTATAATAATCATGAGTATCCAGAGTACTTTTTCAATTTAATTTTTGTCTCCTTTTGGCTTAAAAGGCAACTCAGTAATACCTTGCCCAAGTGGCCATACTTCACATGTCCCTCGTACCCTCCACTCCACCATCGGCAGCTGTGCGTTCAGCCGCTATGCCCCAAAGCTTTGGAACTCTTTCCCTCAATCCCACTGCTTTGCCCCCTCCTTCCGCTCGTTTAAATCACGACTCTAAACATTTCTGCTTGAGCGTTCTTAAGGTCACCTTCTCCCACCCCTAGACTAGGCGTCAGGCTTCTCCACTATTAAGCACTCCGAGACGCTGCCCGACGTGAAGGACACTATATAAATGCAAGTTGTTGTAAGTTTAGGCAGTAGATTTCAGGAGTTTGTTTTGCGGGCAGTGTACATAACACCAATGGAATATTTTCCGCATCTTGGTATAACTTATTATTATGCACTCCCAGATACGGTACACTTAAATTCAGAAGAAGGTTCCAAAAGCGTTTAAGTCTCCACCCTAAACATATGTATCCTAAGCTTTAAACCAGTGTTCTTTGACAAAATGTTCAAAGTCCCAGGATTTTCTAGACGCTTGTAACTTGTAAAATCTGCCATTGATTTTTTTCAAACTTGCTCCACTAATATTTTCCTAAAGGCTATTTGCATGTAGGCTATAATATATACCAATTATTATGACCAATACTTCAAATTTGATTAGTATCTTCTAAAACTACAAAAATCTCTGCTCTCTTTGTGATAAAGTAACAATTTGTTTGCAAGTTATAACATGTATGTTAACTGTTTACCTATGCAAAATCAAAACATGGGGAAAGAGCAAATCTGGATTCAAGTGCAACTTGTAAGATCTTATCAGCAATTGTTTTGGCAAGTGAGCTTGTGCATGTGGTTGACAACATTTAAAAAAACATAGTCTCCTTTGTAATGGAATATTGGCCCCAACTCCTGCTCGATGAAAAAGTGTAAGGTTTATTTTTTTCATACAACAGGCCTATTGTGAACATCAGTGGAGAGATTTTATTAGCCCACAATAAACGAGGGATGAATAACCCCATTTTCAGGAATTTTTCTTCTAGATAATTAGGTTTGTTCTTATTTTTATAAAAAAAATTCTGTCAGTGTAGCAAAGTCAACAGAGTGGGTAAGTCAATCTGTTTCAGGATATGTGTCAATGTCACTTTGTAAGTGTGTGGTAGGTGTGTATGTGTAGCTCAGGTTGACTTGTCCTTTGATTTTCCTTTTCTGTTCCTAGTGAAATACTTCAACTCTTCTCTCGGTTTCCACTGATTTGGGGAGCTCAAAATATGTGAGAAATTCATGCATGCAAGCACTATGGAAGGAAAACACTACAGAAACAGTCATTTTGAATACAGCATAAACATTCTTATTTGGTTACTAGTATATCATTACTCTGGTTCATTGTACAGAAAAGATCAAGCAAAGGCTTTGTGAAATGAATTAGCACCTAGTGAACCACAACCATCTTGCATGAATAGCTTTCACAACAGGTATTGAATACAGAATTGGCATGCTTTCAATTTGCAACCGAGATTAGCTACATCGAACAGTAAGCATAGATTCTTTTGTGGCAGTTCAAGCAAACGTTATTAATGGAAAATAAATCCAGTTTTCATGGTTCTTTTTAACTAACTGCAGCTTCTCAACTTACTAAGATCTTTCATATGATAGCTTCTCTAATTAAGTCGATTACTGAATATCTTCAGTAAAGAAAATAAAACTGACACACAATGAAAGTTGAGAATTCCCTTAAGATGATCATTTTGGGTGCGTACAACAACAACAATAAAATTATATTTGTATAACTTCTTTCACGTGGGGTGGACGTCCCATGGCGCTGAACAGTCAAGAGGTTCAGAGTTGTATCGTTTCATACAAGCTAGCAGCATACCTGATGGCAATTTCCTAGCTAATTTCTTTAAGGAAGTTCCTTTTGCAGATCATAAAAAGAAGCGTGAGGAAATATATTACAACTTCTTTGGACAAAAAATAGTCAAGTCTCACTATTTCAAATTCAAGGGCTCACAAATATGTCCTTATGAGTTAATAAGGAGCTCCTCTAAAGATCTTTTTGATAAAGTGAAGGATTGTAACAACAGATTCTATTGTAATCAGATCTGGCAGCATTTTTAAAAAATCATTACCCACACAACGTTGTTTTGTTTAAACGTAAATTGCTTAATCTTTTGTTTTTCTCAAGGAAGAAATTGGAACCTAAATGATTAAAAAGATTGCAGTATAGACACTGACATCATTCTAGCGGAAAAGTTATTAAAGTGTTTTTGATGGGAAGGTTCTGCAGGACCTCATCAACAGTGTAATGATTGCAGCAGTCACAATTCTATTTTACTTATAGCAGATGTTGTGAGTTGAATATTTTCTAACAATCACCAGCTTGTATCAATGTCTTAAACTCTGTGGGAGCAATTCCATAGCCAGATGTTAAATTTGAATAAGATACACCAAAGCCAAGACAGCATTTATTTTCCTCTTCATATATTCACATTTTATTACCATGTACAGAGTGTACCTGACTGGCACAGGGTAATATCGTTTTGGTTGTAAAACATCTGGAAGCAAAAAAAAACTTCACTTGATTATCATAGTAGCAAAGTGCACTAGTTTGTCTGCAAATCCTCATTACTCTAATGTTCAAGTATTGAAGGGAGGTTTGGAATTTTCCCAATACGCTATTTATATTTGAATTCACGCTATGGCCATTTCCTACTATATATATATATATATACATTGTCAGGAAGTGGAGCAGAATCTGTGTTTTTTTCCCAGTCATAATTCCACAAATCTAGCCTCTTGGATCAACATATTCACCTACTATTCCAATATTTACCCTACAGACATTTGAGCTCCATTATCTAATTATGTTAACATTGGAAACCACAGCTATATCTTAATGACAAATGCAACATTAGTATCACTTTGGAGTATTGTAAAAACAGCACTAATATTAATGTTTGTGCTATTGAAACAAATAGAAGCAGCGTTATCACATTACTGGGTTGCATAAATCCTTACAGGTCATTTTATTTTGAGAAAACACACCTGGCTATGGAATTGCTCCTACAGAGTTTAAGACATTGATACAGCTGAAGATTATTATACTTACATACCCCAGCAAACGTTCTGTCTAACATAATGCCTTTAAATAAATAAACTATTTATAAAAACAGAAATGGTACTGCAATTCCGAAAGGTTTAAAAATGAATGCTTGTTGGATTTAGGATTTTACATATTGGTTACCTCCAATTTACATCCAAAGCCTTAATTTACCTTCTCTTTGAACCATATGTACATTTTAAAATCAGCAATACAATTGGCAACATCTCGGGAAATAGGTATAATCAAGAATCAGTTGAATTAAAACATACTAGCTATGGATTTGCAAGGTAGCAATATCCATTAATATACATCAATTACCACAACTTGCAATTACATAGCACTTTCACATAGGATAACATCTCAAAGCTCTTTACAAACATGATGTGGATCACTAAATTCGGTGGGGAGAAGGGAGGTTTGAGGATGTTGATCGAAGAAATAGTCAGAGAGTTCGAAAATGTTGAAGTCAGGAAGGAAGGCTGCAAGCCTAAGGGATTTAGGGAGAGTTCCAGAGAACAAGGGCATAGTGGCTAAAATCTTGGCCAGCAATGTTGGGATCATGAAGGGGAAATGAACAAGCAGTGTTGGAGGAGCAGAGGGTATGGAAGAATGCTGCTGGAAGAGCTGGAAAGGAAGGGTGGTGCAAAAACATGAAGGTTGGGATGAGGATCTTGAAGTCAATTCCCTGGAGGACAGAAATTCAGGTGTCATAGCATTTTGGATTCAAATGAAAGGTTCATTAATTTCCACACTTGATCATGATAGATTTGCCACCACCAGTTAAAGTGCCTTGGTCAAGGAAAGGTTGATGTGTGCATGGGGAGGATGGGATTGAGTGCAAAAAAGATACAGAATTGGTAAAACAAAAGCACTGAAGACTCCACCACATTGCAAAAAAAAGCCATTGGAAGCCAAGCAGTTATCTGGATTATTCTGTCAGAATCCAGTTGCAATCAATTAACTTAATAATGAAGATAAGTATGGATAAAATAAATTTAAAGAAAAAAATATTGTATTTCACATTAAGGCCTTGGGCAACATCAATCCATCAACAACAATATCCAAGTCAGATTGAGGAACCCTCAAGTAAACAACAATTCACTGGCAATGGAACAAAATATAAAACCTCTCTAATAGTTGGTAAAAAAAATATTTTTATAAAATTGTCCTCTAAATCTAAAATGTAACAAAAATTCCTTACAAAATGAAACACTGATATCACCAAAGAAATAAAATCCTTACATTTAGTATTTTTGGTACGACTCCTTTCACATCAGGACGACGTCCCAAAGCGCTTCACCGATTGTACTGTAAGGTGCAGTGACTGTGTGTTTTGTGGGCAATCACAGATGCAGAATGATCTTTGACCAATTTGATTTAATTCTTCTAGAAACCCATTTTACAGTCTTCACATTACAAATCCAATTTGTTCCTTAGATGGGTCCAAGGACCTGGCCTCAACCATCCTTCCTTATAATCCTTTCTCATAAGTGTTATCACGCTATATTACTTTTGCCCTAGCTTATCAGGCAGTTCTCAGAGCTATCCCTCTAACACAATGATCAGCCTTGTTGCTTACCTTTGTAGCAACTCTAATGTGTGAATAGCACCTTTATGTTGCAGCAATCAAAATGGTAAAACATGCTCAAGGTGTGAACCTCTAGACAGCTAGAGTGTTATGTATGGATATTAATGTGATCTATAATCAAATGTACAATATGCATGAACATATCAGTAAAATGAAGACCTACTTTTAAACTTTTAAAGAAATTATGAAAATGGCACTCACCTGCAAAAATTCCATACAACAAATTGAAGAGCAGTGCTGTTAGAATTCCAATTGAATTCATGTTTATTGAAGATTATATTCAGTCCTAATTTCTTGGATAAGCAATGAAGTCTAGCAGTGAATCAGTGGTTCTACAGTAACTAGGTTCTTCACTACATGTAACTTTTTCTGAGCAACATAGACGAATGACGCAGAAATCTTCTGATCTTCAATGATGCTCTTCTTCAAATCTGGAAGGGGGAAAAAAGTAAATAAATAGCAATGCAGTATTTATAAACCACGAATTTAAGGACATGTGCAAAATGGATCAACCTTGGTTGCAATTGTGCTGGCAATTTTTTTTAAAAAACACACTTGTAGTACAATCATAGTGTTCAATGAAAATATAGATTTTAATCCATTCATGGACCTGTCACTTCTTTTCTCCAATGCAAATAAATTCAATTTTGGGAGCCTCTACTCCAAACTAATGAATCATAATTTACATTTTATTCTTAAAATTTTGAACATGTGTAACAATTAAATGCAAATATGAAAACAATTTTAACTGTTTCAAATAAAACTATATGAAATCAAAATGATGTCTGGTTACAATTTTAACTTCTTATATTATACTCTGCTAGGATTATATCCAGCTGTTGTTTGGTGAAACCCTATTTTGTACCTCTCATTGAAACCCTATGTGGGCTCTGTTCTTGGCCCTCTCCTCTTTAATAGCTACATGCTCCCCCTTGGTGACATCATCCGCAGACACCGGGTCAACTTCCATATCTATGCGGATGACACCCAACTCTCTTTCTGCCTCCACCCACAACTCCAGGACCACTGCTGTCCTGACAGACTGCCTGTTGGACATCAAGTCCTGGATGGGGGCAAATTTCCTAGTTGAATGTGAACAAGACTGAGGCCCTCCTGATTGGCTCGCGCTAGCGCTTCAGCACCTCAGGCTGTTTGACCATGCCATCGGTCACTCCCCTCCCCTCCCTTCTCCCCCCTGACCCCAGCTCGGGTCTGAAATGCTGTAACTGTCCAGCACCTTGGGACGTCCCCCAATGTGAAAGGCGCTATACAAATGTAAGCTTGTTGTTGTTGTTATGATGTCTTTGAGATGTCTTAAAGCGCTTCACCGAATATACCGGCAAAAAGCAGCAGCCAATTGCACACAGCAGTGTCCCACAAACAGTAGTGGATTGAGTGACCAAATTATTATTATTTTTAGAAGGGATTATATTGTTTAAAACGTCAACATTCTTTAGTTGAATTGTAAATAAATCATAAGAAACAGTTTTTTAAAAAAAGAAAAAAAACTTAAAGATTTAAAACAAAAAAATCACTTTGTCGCATTATTTCTCCAGCACTGAATTTCTTCCAAAGCTAGAGCTGGCATAGAAGATAGCTAAAGCAATTTAATGGCACAAACACTTTCATTTACATTTTACAGAGAACATTTTAACCCCGAATCCTAAACCAATAAATTAAGAATTTTTTTATGCAATATAAAATATCTCATATTACATGCAAGTGGCTGATATTGTTATATATAACTGATATATATACACACAACATTTTACGGTTGGTAAAGTAATTGAAGTCTTGATGAAAAGATTCAGTAATCTTTGTTTTGTCGGTGCAGCAATTAGAGATTTAACATTCCTGTGTCATATTTATCAAATATTTATGACATTGCATACATAAAACTCAACTTTGTGTTTTATCTATAAAGTGCTAATTTGCCTTTTGCTAAAACAAAACAAAATGCTGAGCACTTGTTCAGGAAGGTGGTGCTCTTTAAAAATGTATCTTAGCAGGTATCCAAACAAGAGTTATCAATTTATTACAGAAGGGCTTTCCAGAAGGGTGAAAACAGATAAAAGTGCGTATAGAATAACAGTTATACGATGAAAGTTCAGAACAGCTGAAAGGGATTCTGTACAAATTGCTCACAATTCTAAACTTCAAGATGAAACCAATGCCCATTATCCATTTTGTATTTGCAGAATCACAGTATACTGACAATACTGATGTGTAGTATTGATTTCAGGAATTTCTGGGTGCAAACTCTTTCCTAACTAAGCTATAATAAATTAGCAATATTATTTTTTCCAGATAAGTTAAGGATTAAATTCCTGATTTTATGTAGAATTACCATTTCAATTTTGGCTTAAATGGATCTTGAAAGGAAATTATTCTGAAGAAAGATTATCATAGATCATTCTCTTCACAGATTGTGTTCAGTTTCAGGGACACAACCTTAGAAAGGATATGCTAACCTTGGAAGGCATCCAAGCACAATTCACCAGATTAATACCTGGTATAAAGGGATCTAGCTATGATTTCAGATTGGGTAAACATTTAGGAATTTAAACAGTGATCTCACTCTAGGTGTTTAAAATAATGACGGGAATTAACATTTTGAGCTAAGCCTGTTAAGAAGTTGGATTAGAAAACACTTCACTGCTCCAGAAGCCACAGATGCACTTGGAACTCTCGCTTCTGAGATAGAAAGTTGTGGGCTCATGCCTCACACCGAGACTAGGAACTCATACAGTCTAGCACACTCCAAAACTGTACCAGGAATGTGCTGCATTGTTGGAAGTGCCGTCCTTCAGATGAGATGTAAAACCAAGGTCCTGTTTGCCTGTTTAGGTGGACGTTAGGATCACATGGTACAGTTCCAAAAGAAAAGAGAGTTTCTATTTGTGTCCTGGCCAACAATTTCCCCAAATAAAACTGATCATTAACTTCATGGCTTTGTGGTGGTATTGCTGTGCGGAAATTGGCCCATGAAATACACTCATTCCACTTCACAGTATATTCTTTGAGAGGTTTGAGATGTCCCCTGATGTGAAAGGCAACTATACTAAATGTAAGAATTGTTATATAATTATAATCAATTCAGATATTCAAAAAAGAGATGGGTATCTTCTTAGAAAGTAAAGGTAACAATAATGACTCTTGCATTTGATATAGCGCTTCATCACGTCTTCCAGACATCTCAAAGCATTTCACAGAATATACTGTAAAATGGATCAACATATATTTTGTGGACAAAACTTGGCAGCTAATTTCACACAGCAGTGCCCCACAAACAGTCATGGATTGAGTGACCAAATTATTATTATTATTTACTTTTTTTAAAAAGGGATTATTAGCCCCGGGAAAAGCGATCCATCCGCCAATTGACTGACAACCAGATTCCTACTTACTGCCTAGTTAAACAGGCATGTGGAGTAAGGAACCTTGCCTAAGCTTTCACCCTTCTGGCAATTGAACCGAGGTCCTCTTGTTTGCGAGGCGAGTGCTCCGACCACTAAGCTGCAGAACTCCCCACAGGGTAGTAAGAAATGTGGTGAGAGTGAGAAAAACATGATCAAACAATCTGTCGTAATTAAATGGGCAGAACAGGTTCAACAGGCTTAACAGTATATTCTTTTTTCCTGTATAATGTATGATCAGCAAACGGCACAGGTGCTTTGAGGCATCCTTAACTTCCCAATTTCCCCGAGCCCTATTTTTCAGCCTATTGCCCTCTGCTCCTCTCACTCTGGTCTACTACTCCTTTCCTCACTCCATTTGGCCCACCATCAGGTACCAGAGCTTTCAGCCACTTCTCTCTGGAACTCCCCCCACCCCAAAAAAAACCCTCAAAATTAAAAAGTCACGTTAATTATCTCCCCCCGGATTGTAAAACGTATATATATATATATATTCATTCTTCCTGAAACGACTCATTGCTGAGATTGCTGATTGCAAACCTCTTCCTAACTATAACGCTGTTTTTGTCCAGAATAAGTTACGGTAAAGCAGTGTATTTATTACTTTGTGTACTCCATCAAAAGCATTTCCCCCTGTGTGGCCTACACAAAAGCAACATGTTGCACACTTTAGTTTTCTTTTTGCATTTGTTCGTCCTTTTTCTTTTTTAAAGAAAGCTTTCCGTGTCCGTGCAAAAAAAAACACACACACACACACACCGGCGATTGCGGAATCAATGTCACTCGGATCCCGCGACACACGTCCGAACATAAACAACGTGGAAAAGAAAAAAAAATGCGACTCTCTCCCCCCCCAACACCTAAAGATCCTGAAAACACTCACAAGAGCCGACGTAAATATAAATAGTCGGCAACACGTTGCGCGTTTGAAACGGACCTTTGGATTTACCCATCACACAGTCACGGACCGACTACAAAACGATTTGGTTCTGTCAACAAACATCAGTCCTCCTCCTCCTCCTCCTCTCCCCCCCCCACAACCACCACACAACAAAAAACTTTCTGACAGGACACGTTCAAAACAAATCTCCAAATCCCCGGGAGTCGACAAAACTTCGTACGAACTGTACGCGCGCACATACCTCGGTTTCCTTTCGCTGTCAAAAAACGACACCACCACAACAAAAAACACACGGAGCGGAGAGAGGAGGGGGCGAGGGGTGGGGGGGGTGGGGGTGGGTGTGGGGGGGTGGGGGTGGGTGTGGGGGGGAAACAACCGATATCGCACCAAGGGCCGAAGTTAACGTAAACGTTGCGGCTTCGGTTTGAGGTGATGGTGAAGATGATGATGATATAAACGGGAGGGTTGAGCGACGCGTTAACCTGCCGGTGTCCGAGATGCCGATTGCTAAATCTGCAGCCTACAAGAGGAGAGCGCACACTCGGGGGATTTTTTTTAAGGTCTAAACTCAGCGCACGTTCACGTCCTCCCGAGTTAGTCCCCCCATTCCCCCCTCCCACTCCCCCCCGAGAAAAAAAATTCTCTAACGCGCATGCTCCACTCCCCGCGCCTCGGCACCGCCCCGCCTCCAGCCCGCGCTCATTGGTCCGCTTCCGGCTCTGTTCGCGGGGGGGGCGGGCCCAGCGGCGCGAGCGTTCGGGGAGACTTCAAAAATAACGACCAAAACCTTCTGGAAGGTGCGCGGCGCGCGCGAGTCGACCGTGACGGCGCGCGCGCTGTCATGAGAGAGGGCGAGAGAGAGAGATAAGGGAGGGAGGGAGGAGAGTGAAAGTAGTCTCCAGATCTTGGCGGAGAAGGTCTTTTATTAGGATGCGAAATGGAAAAGTAGCTGCTCACTCGGGGCTGGCGATTCTAACACGCTAATGGGAACTTGAGGGAGACTAACCAACTCCTTCAGGGGGGGTGGGGGGGAGACAGAACCAACGGCATCAGGGAGACTAACTGACAACACCCTCGCTTCAGGGAGAGAAGTCAACGCATCAGGGAGATGCAGTAACTCCACCCACCCCCCACCCCCCTCCGCACGAGTACTGCGCCAGACGAGAATGGTGCGTATGCGAGGTACTGCGAAAGGTCCGCTGTAATGCAATGTACCACAACGGAATGAGCGAAAAGAACCGCATTCGTTGAAGAGTCACACTGTCGGTTACTAGTGAGGTCCGTGACCCACGCATTAAAGTTCTGGCTCTCCCAGTTTCACCCCCCCCCACCCCCCAAAAAAAAAACACGCAGCCAAACTGGACAGTGAAGCTGTGGTTCCAGGCATCACTGTTACGAAAAATGCTACGTTTTCTGTGTGGTGTTGAATGGCAGTCAATTTCCCGAATTCCCTTTGACTCTACTTACCCTCAGTGCGCGTTTTTTAAAAAAAAATATATTTCCTGGCCTCAATAGTCTACTTGGCTCTGCAACGATGACCAACTCACGCAAAACTGTTAGCATTTCAGAATACACAGTGCACATTGCCGTTTTGGGGAAAATACAACTGTTGGCAGACATTCAGCGCAGGACGAGCTTGGAGCTGATCCACAAGTAAATCACTACCGGATGGGTCCTGGTGCAGACGCTTGGTAATGATTTTTCAGAGGTCCAAAAGCCTCCAATTTGACCCGAGGCTCTCTTACTCCCATTAAAACCAGTGGATCTAATCCAGCAACTAAATCGGAGTCTCCATGTGGCAAAACATGCGATTAGAATTGTTTCCGGCTGGAAATGGGAGATTTTTCCTTTTCTCAAATATGAGGAAAGGGCTTACGTTTTTAATCATGTTACCTGATTATTTTTTTCACTGTAAAATAACTTATCCATCAAGTGTAATCCATATTTATCCATATTTACTATTTTATTGACTGGAATCTTCTCCTGCATAGTCTTTTCTCAATAAGATCATGTAATATTTAGCTCCATTGGCCGCTCTGTGTAACTAATTGTTGTAACCCGGAATCATTTTTGCTAATCTTGTTTTCAACACTTGTACAATGCATTTATTTTCTATTTACTTTAGTGATGAAAACAGGGTACACTGATCGAAGTCATTTGCAGAGTGAGAGTCCAACCCTTTCTTGGGTGGATTCTTTTCTTAAAACATCTGGTTTCCATTGACAAACCATATATTAAGTGCGAAAGATTTCAACATTTGGTTAAGAAGAACATCTGACTCGCTTTCCTGCTGGGATTTCTTTAATCATAAAACATGGTGGCGTAATCAAACCCTAAGATGAGTGTCAAGGACCCAGATACGACAATATTGTTCAGGTTTATTTGGATTAAAACACTTGCACTTCTATTAAATACAAAATAAGTAGAATTAAAGCTACGTATTATTTCTTTGTTCTTATTTAATAACATACATTAATTACCGAAAACTGACAAATTAAAAATATTGGATTGCAGGGTATTCCAGATGGCGGTGGAAATAGTGCTTGCCGAAAAGTAAACACTTGCAGGTGTTCATTGGAGCACAACGGAGAGAGATCGGTGAGGTTTAGTTGTACTGCACCACAAGATTGAAAAAGTTTGACACAGTAAAATATATATTAAAAGCGGCGAAATCTGAATGCAGTACTTCCATTAAATTAAGTGACAAACTTAAAAGCAAGAGGGTTATTTAGCATTGATATTCTTCTTGATTAATACACTTTATTGGAATCTATTAATAGCCAACATCCAGGAAAGCATAGGCAATTTACACAAATCATATGGGCGTTGGTTAGGTCGCTAATAGCTTTTAACAACAAGATAACAACAAGATTACATTTGTATAGCGCCTTTCACATAGGGAGAACGTCCCAAGGCGCTGTTAGTTTTTAACGTAACTAATAGTGAACACTAAAAAGATATGCCAACTGCAGCCGATTCCAACCTAACTTTTCACTTGACATTTATGAAGAAGATCACGCAAAATATTTTAGAATATGTTCAAGAATTAAGACATGTTATGGAATAAAGGGAAAACATCCTTGAAGTAAACATTCTACAATACATTGTAATACTGGCTGAAATAGCCAGAGCCAGAGCTTTTGAAATGTTTACAAACTTGTAATCATGTTTAATTCAGCGCAATCTATAGATACATGAACCAACAGAAAATAACTGAACAACTGAAAGAATTCACGTTATTCATTATCTTAAATAAAATGTATTAGATAAAGAAATGGAAAAAAACACAAATAATAATGTCAGTAATAACGTACTAACAGTTCGCGTTATATTAAGGTTTTCTGAACAGTTGCCCAATGTGTAATCCTATAGATAAATAACATTTCAGAATCTTCGAAATCACTAATAATGTTTACATTCTGTCATGGGATGTTTCTTCAAAAACGTTCAAGCAAGTTATTATTCACATAGTCGAATAAGTCCAGTTAGTTATTATATCAGTCAAACTACTGTATAACGTAACTCGTTTGAAAAGGCAGCACAAATATAAGAGAGAACATGCTCGACACCACAGATTGTAAATTAATTGAAAAAAATGAATTCATGCTTCTCTAAATATGCTTTTCAATGCTATATTCCTGAGAGTATAAATTACCTTCAAACGGTTGGGAAATCCAGATTTCGTTGAAGCTGTTGAGTTATATTTTATTTTACCAGCGCTTTATACAACAGCTGCGGGAGGAAAAACACACATCCCACTGTTGGTGTCACGTCATGGCTCTGATAAATCAGTGCAATCAAACGACATTTCAATCGCGCTGCTAAAAGATGAGGGTGGGGAATGGAGCAGCTGCAGTGTTTATCTGCCATCTGCTGGCAAGAAAAATGCCTGTAAAGGGATTCAATGCTCATTAGTACAGCAAAAATTAGACACAATTTATTTTTGGTTGTGTAAGCTATGAAGATTTCCCACAGAAAATCAAGCGCCTTGTCAAAAATTCAAAATGTGAGGATTGCTCCTTTAATTGTTTCAAAATAAATCATTATTAATTCTTAATAATATTTGTAATACAATTGGATTTCTTGTTTCGTGCCCTTATTCAACAATACTATTTGGCCTCTCCCACTGAGTGAACTTTGCATCTGAGTGTGCAGCTATTACTATTATTACAGTTTTTGAGCAATATTTTAAACTTTACTTCATCAGTTGAGCTGGATGTTGCCCAATGCAATCTGAAAAACATCTGCATTAATCTTCACAGTGGATTACTGAGCAAAGGTTATTATAAACTACCTATGGTAAGCCATGAACTCGAATTTGTCCAGTATTTTATTTTACTCATAATGTGTAAATATCATTTATAATTAAATATTCTCCCATTCCATTACCATATTTACAAGATGATACTCTGTGATCAGTGCAGCAGATAGACTACTTCCCAAGTCGGTGCCAATATGTTTCTGATTATTATCCAAAATCAGTGTGTGGGAACCTTTTGGTGAGATCTAATGTACAAATTATATTGAATTATTTTGTTTCATCATTATGCACTTGAGAATCTATCAAAAAATAAGTGGATACTGGGTTTCATTTTATAATAATAATAATCCTTGCATTTGATGTAGCACCTTATCACGTCTTCGACAGATCTCAAAGCGTTTCACAGGATATACTATAAAGTGGATTGACTATGTATCTTGTGGGCAGCCTATTGCACACAGCAATGTCCCACAAACAGTCGTGGATTGAGTGACCACATTTTTAAAAAAATGTTTTGAAGGGATTATTACCCCCAGAAAGCGATCCGCCAATTAACTAGCAAATTAGTTCCTAATTATTGCTAGGTAAACGGGCGTGGGGAATAAGGAAACTAGCCTAACATTTTGCTCTGCCCAGGAATCGAACCCAGGTCCTCTCGCTTGCGAGGCAAGTACTCTATCCACTAATCTACAGGACTAATCAAAAATGTGTCCTCTTCTTGCATGCAATTTTTAACAAAATTCCCTCTAATTTCCATGCAGCTCTTATCTGTCTGTCTGTGTCTCATTGTGCCACACATCTTTGCTGCATTATGGCATGGCCCAGTTGTGCTAAATTAAAAAAAGTTTTAAAATTGTAAAATTGATGATTGTGATTAATTATTCATGCTTTTTTTTTAACTGGAAGCTAAGCTAAATGCTGAAACCTAACTTTCGATCCCTGTGTGCAACCACTTCCTGTAAAAGACTAGTGCAAATAATTGCTGTATTACTTTATATGGTATATTAACATCCTGTTTTTCAAAATTGTTGGGCTGCTTGCCAATTGTGACAGAATTTTTTTAAACCAAGGAGAAAATACCACTTTTTACACAGCAAAAAAGAAATAATCAATCATATTGTCGCACAATCCAAATGTTTTTAAAACCAAAGTATATGTACACTCAATGCAGTCTGTAGTCATCCTTAAACTGAGTTTTATGCTTTAAAATTACCAGTTAAAGATACACTGGTGGCAAACATTTTGTACAGAACATTCCCAAATATGATATTCAGGTGCAATGACAGGAATGATGAGTATTGCCCATTAGTCTCATTCACAAATGGAACTTTGTGATGTCACACCAGAAGGGTTACTCAAAAAGTTTGGGCCTTTAGGCAGCAATTTAATACCACATAATTAAATTTATATAATGCCTTTCCAATTGGGGACCTGAGCTGGGGAGGGGTTAAATCAGATTTTCAAAAGGGTTGTGAATTGTTTTCAGTGAATCTTACTGAAGGGTATAGAAACACATTATAGGGAGTTTTATATAACACTATTTATGCTGTTTAAGCTTAATCAGACCCAGTCTCATTTTTTGCACTTTACCCAGTCAGAAGGGATCACAATAATTAGAGATGCACAATGAAAGTCATATTGCTTTGTAAGTAAGTGACAGCTTTTGATTGCATTTAAGCACCTTTCATGTCAAGAGGTCTTCTCAAAGCACTTGCTTCATATAACTTACTGTGGAGTGACTGTATTTGTAGGTGAAATACAGCCCATTTGTTCATAGCAATCTCACAAAAACCCACAAATAGAATGACCAATTTTATTTGGGGGATTGTTGGCCAGGACACCGGGAGAAACTCTTCTTTTTCAAATAGTGCTAGGGATCTTTAACATCCATCTGAATAGGCAGACAGGATCTCAGTTTAATGTCTCATCCAAAAAATAACACCGCCAACAAGACAAAACACCTCCAGCACTGTACTGGATTGTCAGCCTAGATAGACCATGTGAGTTGAGTCTCAATTTGGGGTTTGAACCCACAAATTTCTGACTCAAAGGCGGCAAGAGTGCAATCAAAACCAGGCTGACACATTTGCTTCAAAGCTGCATTTGTGCCAATTTTGCTCAATGAGGAAATCTTCATTGAAGGACCATTCACTGACATGCATGCAAAGTTCTCCGAAAGGCCTTTGTGCCTAATTGGTAGAGGTGGATACCATAAAGTAGACTCTAGCGACCTTGCCCTTCCTGCCATGACTGGCACTGCTTACCACCACCTCCGCAACATTGCCAGACTCCGCCACTGCCTCACCCCTCAGGCTGCCGAAGCCCCCACCCACGCCATTCATCACCTCAAGGATTGATTACAGGAATTCCCTCATCGGCTTTCCAACCTCTTCCCTTCACAAGCTGCAGATCATCCAAAACTCTGCAGCTCATGTACTCTCACACACCAGGCTCCGTGATCCCATCGCTCCCACCCTCGCCCAACTCCACTGGCTCCCCAACCCCCAGAGGATCCAGTTCAAGATCCTCGTCCTCATCTTTAATGCCATCCATGGCCTTGCCCCCTCCTACCTCCCTGACCTGCTAACTCCCTACCAACCTACCAGCGGTGTCCGGGCTTTCAGCCTCTCTGCCCCCACCCTCTGGAACTCCATCCCACGGTCCCTTGGCCTCGCTTCCCCCCTCGCCTCCTTCAAGGCCGGTCTCAAGACGCTTCTCTTCGACCGCTCCTTTGGTCTCCCTCCCACCTCTCTGCCTTCCCTTCCCTCCCCCCTCCACCACCCCTCCCCCATGCTCAGGCCCGGACATCTGACTCTTTAGCGCTTTGGGACGTCCTCACGACGTGAGAGGCGCTCTATAAATGTAATTTTGTTGTTGTTGTTGTCATTGCAACTCACTGGGAAACGCCCGCATTGTATTACAAAGCCGTTCAATCCGCCCCTTACTTTCGATGCTACCTCGTCTTTGCTTAAGGAGAGAGCGGAGTGACTTTAATCGTTCTATGTACTTTTGCGTTATTTTTTTGAAAAAAAACCCTCCAATCTGCTGGTTTACCGCGTCTTCAGTTTAAGTCTAAAGTCGCTTTAACTTCTTTCGGGCGAGGAATTTCTGAAAAGAAGGGTTGGCGGCGTGTGGTCGGTTTTAGGCGGTTGTGGGGTCTCTCCCGATTAAAAAAAAAGAAGTGCAGTCCGACTGACCGCTGTGCGGCGCAGTGTCCCCGCGAGACGCCGCTCTCGGCGCTGTTTGAACTCGGTTCGCGCTAACGGTTCATAGCGGCCGTTCGCCATTTTGTAAAAAAAAGGCCGGTTTTCCTCGGGATGAATTAACGTCAACCAGAAACGACAGCTTCTCCCACAAGAGGGAAGAGGAAACACGACGACATTTTTTTTCACACACTCTTTTAAGTATCCCGAGTATTTTTTTTACTGGTCTCGTAAATGAGCGGTGTTGAAAGTCGTGTGAACCCGTGACAAATGGGAGCACGAGTTGTAAGGAAGCAGGTGGAAGGCGGAATTAGCAGGTTTGGAGCTTGTTGTGACTCTCTCACTGCGGTCATCTCTCTCTCTCACTCTCACCCCGGCCACAGCCTCGTGGGCAAACCTACATCAACCCCCACACGTCCCCCTCCCCCCCCTCCCCTCCCCTTTATAACCCTTTCCAGGTTCCCCTTTTTTTGTTGCCTGAAACGAGGTAAAGGTGAGAGGTTTGCGCGAGCAGCAGCTTCTTTCCTTTTGCTCTGAAACCTCGTGTTGGAAGTGAAACTTAATTGAAATAATTCATTCAAGACTTTTGTCTTGTTACGTTGCAGCAGCAGACACGCGGTCTTAATACAACCAGCCAGTGATTAAGTGGTTTAATTACTGGTATCGGATTGAACCCTTCAAAAAAAAAGTTGCTGGAATATGAAGCTAATTTACTGTTCCACTGATTAAGCGAAACCAGGTCTACTCTGAAGTAAGTGATGTGTAGTCAAATGGAGCATCTATGGGTTGCAGTTGCGGGGTGTTTTTTTTTTAAACGACATTACAAATAAACCCACGACTCACTTCCTTGGTGCTTTATAAATCCACAGATTTAAAATAATTCGCAATTCACCAGTATCTGGACTGAAACCCGTGTTCCGCCGAAAACATCTGTAACAGGGCCTGGTGTTTAACCCCGGGCTGTAATATTGGGCCTTTCCAGATTTTAAGATGCCTTACCGGTCTTTTACACCTTACAGCCATAAATAAGTAATTGAATATCATTTTATTTTGGACTATTGTGTATTATCTATATTTACGCTATTGTTTATTTTCCACACGTTTAATATAAACAATTTCTACTTTCTCAAGTTTGTGAAACTTAAATTGTATACACTGTGACAAATGTTAGTAAATAAACCTGGAATTTATCAATAAAAGATTTGTATTCTGTTTTGTTGAATTAGAAGCAATCGTGGATAACTGACTACTTCTGGATCATTTGCGGGAGACTCATGATTGGCTGGTGTACTTTCATTGTTATCTAATTTCCTCCATATTTTAAAATTGATGATAAAACAACTTTTAGTTTTGTTACCTTTTGCCTTAATCATTACCATATACATTGGCAGTTTTAGAAAGGAACAGGATGTTTTAATAAGGCATTGCTAGTATATTCACAGATTTGAGAATTCTGAATCAACATATTGAAATATAACTAACGATTTGAAACTATTCTGATGCAACTGAAGCCACACTTTTGGATATGCACATAAATAAAGTGCCTTGTGTTATTCAATTGGAGCCTCCCTTTGTTTGCCGAGGATATATAGCACAGTTACAATAATTATAGGCTGTATACCCTAAAGGAGAAATGTATAAACGATCATTTCCTTCCTCATTTCAAATATGTTCTATTCCAAGCCCCAAGAAAAATATTTTCTCATGAGGTGACATTTGTGTTTTTTGCAATTTGTCAGAACTTGGTCGGTTTTGCCTTACTTGAAATGTAAATGTATATTGCTAATGGTTATAATATCGAGTATTACATCATGTCGTCATTTAACCAATGTCCATTTTAAACTAATCAAGGGCAATTCTGCAATTAGAGATAGAATTGGTCTGATGCTTACTGCTTTGACATATTCAATCAGCCAATTATCAAGATAAATAGTTCTGCTTGTGTCGATTGTGTGAATAGAAGATGGAAAATGGAATCAATGACTGTTGGGTAAAATAGGCTACATTTCGTTTGGTAGAGCAGGTTAAGGAGAGAGATGATTGAGGTCTTTGTAAGTGAATTAACAAAATATTTTCCCCTATAATGGGGGAAATCCAGAAATGCAAGATGTATAATCTTAAAAATGAGAAGTAACTGGTTAACTATGAATTCATAAAACAAGAGATTGTTAGAAGCAGAATCAATTGAAGTTAATGGGCCCAAGAAGTAATTGAGAGTATAAAGAAAATGCAACTTAATGGAATTAAAAAGCTAGAGCTGCAGTGAACTAGTAAAATGGCAGAACAGGCTTAATAGGTGCAATGGTCTCCTGCTCTAATGATGCAGTATTTATCCAGCAGATGGATCCAGCTAAAATGGTTACTGCTTACGTTTCTGATGCGTATGTCTACGTGACTAGAATAAATGGCCTTCTTTGAAACTTGAAATGATTCCAAAATAGCCATACAGACAAGGTGGGTCTACTATGCACTTCTAATGCCGCACTACATCTTTTGGATTCTGAACATATTGTTGGTACTGCGACTGGTTTAGTCACAGAACCGACACTGGTTTATACAATGTTTATACTCATGCTTAAGGGTGGGAAAAACTTTCTTTAACGTGGGTTCTCATTTGTGTATGAGTGAAGTGAATTCCACTGCCAAATGTTAGTATGGTATATTGTATTCTGCTTGTGTGTAGAATGGAAACAAGTTCTGTTAAAATCAGCCATGTTATAAATGGTGTTTTTGATATCTTGAAGAATGAAAGTACTACGCAATATCAGTTCTTTTTGTGGAATGAAAGCAGTTTTCCTTCAAACATTAGTGTTGGTACCTGAATTTGCACAAATGAAGTAACACTTTAGTACAATAATTATCTGATATGAGCTGTTGCTCTGATTCTTTTTCTTTCTCGGTGCACTAGCTCATTCTAGGCTAAGGTTGCAAAGGGCATCAACCATCTTAGATCTTGCTCACTTGGCTACTTTTCATATACGAGTCCACATGTTGAATGTCAGCAGAGTAACTAGATTTACAGCATTGTTCCTCCTTTTTGTATTGGTGTGAGAAAGGAGGAACCATGCCGTAAATCTAGTAAAGCAACAAAATATAGAAGATCCTTCCACTGCAACTTAATTGACCTGAATTTGAATTGTATATTTTAGTCCTATACAATTTTCTGAGTAAGAAAAAGTTGTCCCCTCATTATATAAAACTGGCATTTTCAGTAAAATCTTCAAAACTAATATAGAGGTTTATAGGTGGGACATTGCTTGTAAATCTGAAAATGGACATTGGCAAAAACAATATTAATAGTTTGGGAGATGATGTCAACAAATTAGCATAAAGTTGAAATTTTGCTACGGTAAGAATTTCTAGACAGGACAATCATGCTTTATTTGTTGGAAGCAGTTTAGAAGATGCCTTTTATTATGGCTTTCAACCATTACTATTAGCAAAATGTTGTTTATAATTAGTCTATGCAAAATTAGGAAAACTCGCTGCTTTGTTTCTTTGTGTTCAGATGTTAACTGAAGTGCAGTATTGGGAGTGAAGCGTGTTTGCGCTAGCTTTGGTCATTTATTGCTCAAGTACTGTTTGTTATTTCTGGACTATTTTGTTTATAAATCGCAACAATTGGTGATTTTTTATTTTTTTACTTTTAATCCAAGCCCACTCCTCATATCATTCCTCAATTGTCGCATTTGCCTAAACGACCTTTGTTCTAACATGTTTTTCTTTCATCAGTATTTAGGAGTGGATAAACAAGCTATCATCTATTTATTGCCTTGACAATGATTGTAGGATATTTACATTCTAATGGGAGAGGGAATGTGGAATAATACCTAACAAACATGCAAATCAATTGTTCTTGTAGATGATTAAACATATCTGGTTTTCCTATTGAAGCAAAATGTAATTTCTCTTTCAAGACAACATAGATGGTGCTTTATAATCTGAAAGCACTAGAAAAACACTCCCCAGGTGTCTTGAATAGCTTGCAAAGCCAAGCATACAATGTGATTCTACCTTTCAAAACTGGTTAGAAGCAGCTTCATGCAGCAGCCAATAAGAATGCTGATCTTACCTCTCCTTCCCCCCACCTCATCAGTGACTTCCAATTTTGCCACTCTCAATACAACATTAAAAGCTAAGAAAGGAATTAAGTCTCAATTGGAAGACACAGTGGGCCATTATTTTGTTGAATGGAAGAATTATTATAATTGCTAATCAAAATTCAGAGAAGTTTCCTTTTCTCAATCCACATTCTGTTAACTGTAACTTATAACATTGTCATCTCTGTTTTCTCTGATCACAGACAAAGTACTCTTACAAAATAGATGTTCTATTTCCATTACTTTGTTCATAAATTCTGACATTTTGTAATGAATGAAAAGTTGATTTGCATTTACGTTACTAAGTGTAGTCAGTCATTGTAGTCTATTCTTGGCATCAGTGAAGCGTTCAAGATGTTGCAATGGAACCTCTGTTTAATGGCTTTATGGGAGAATCAATCTATAGCTAAATGGAATTTTCATCCTTTGGTAGAATATTCCGTAAAATGCAAATATTGACTGCAACAATGCAGAATGAAAATGGTTTCTTCTTTTTGTGTTGACCACAACCCATTGCTTTAGGATATAGTCTAACCTTTTTACAGATACTGCTCAACAGTTCACCGAGATAATTTAGGCTGGAAGCATCATGATGTCATTTGCTAACTGCTACTGATGGGAGAGATGGTAGCTAGCTCATCCAAGATGAGGCACAGGCTGTTCTTTAGTGGACAATGGTTTGTCAATGGTCAGTGGTTTGAATTGAGGAATAAACTACAATAGCTTTTTCTTTCCTCTACACCCAAGTTTTATGAGAGCCCATTTTAAAGAGGACCTGACACTAGTAAACAAATCCACTGCAGTGTTGACTATCATTTTTAGCAGATGAATCACATTGGCACTAGCCTTGCCACCAGAGAATCTCCACTTATTTTGCCTCCTTCCCCCAAGGATGAACATAACTTGTCGTCAGACTACTAACGAGCTACTAAATTTAAACTCGCAAGATACCAGGTAAGGTATTTCTCCCAAGTGGCACTTTACTACCAATCTCCAGAAAGTTACAGGTCATGCACACATTCTTAAGCCACACACATGTATATTTAATTGAAAAGCATTATTATGGCCCTGGTTGTAGTGATTTGGTGGAGCATTGAGTGAAGAATCATAAATCTGCTGTTAGTCTTGAAAGGATTATTAGCCTATTACAATTGACAATCCGAGCTGACACCTGTAGAATGGATGATATTTCAATTTGAATGAAGATCCAGGAAGTAGGCAATGTAACATTTATGTTCTTCTGGCTTTGAACGTCAATCTCAGAAAAATCTCCATCAGAATAATTTTGGTGGTGCAAAAAATTAGTCAATACATTGAAGATAAAAGTGCCTGTGACATCTTCCAACTTTTGAGAACAGATTTCATTTATTAATTGACATTATATTATGATGAGCAAGTATTCATTCAGCAGTTCTGTACAAGAGACAATTGTTTTTATAAAAGGTAATCATCCAGTGGAGTGAGGGTCCACCAAATTATATTGGATTGTCATTGGCTGTTTCTCAGACTCTGTTCACGTCAGATGAAGTTCTTTGGAAGCTCATCGATCAGGCATTGAAATAAGTTGCATCATTCCTTTCAAAATCAGGTTTCTTTTCTCTAAAGGAATACAATTCATGAGAAATATCTGGGATTTCTTCAAGGAAGTGAAGTAATTTATTGTAGCTTTCAGTTTCAGGTTATGTCATGTCCATTCATTGATCTACATAAAGGAATTTTGTATTGAATTTTTAATAAAAATCTTCATTGGTAAATGGAAGTTTGGGATCAAATTTTAAAGAAATTGAAACAAAATCATTCTGTGTAAACAACAACTTGGATTTATATAGTGATCTCCACGCCGGACGGCGTCTGAGTGCTTCACAGTAACAGATCCTGGGGCCGAGCCAGGGGAAGGGGGAAGAAGGTGACCAAAGGCGCGGTCAAAAAGAAAGGTCTTCAGCCGAGACCTGAAATGCATGATGACAGAAAGTTGCAAAAGTTTTGATGTTACTATAAATCAGTGGAACCTGTAATGTTGGTCATCTAAGTATGGTTAGATACCTGGAAGGAAGAGATAACAACTGAAGGTGTGGATCAATCTGCTTTTTTAAAATTTTGCCCCTTAACCCATATACAAATGCACACATTCTTTGGGCTGCCCTCCATGCACTTCTTGCAGATTGTGCTGTAACATTTCAATGTGATGGATGTTTGGCTGCCCATGATTTCCATCCTGAAGGAAAGACTTGGTTCATGTATGACATCTCTGTTTTCGCAAGAAGACTACACAAAATCGTAATGTGCAAGTCTTCTCAGAAAATGGCATGTTAATGGATTTATTTTTGTGAATATATTGCTACTTTATTTAATGTCTTTTTAACAAAGGGATAGTATGAGGTGTTTTGAAAGGTTGTACCATGAACATGAACTTGATTTCTCAAGGTAATTCATTTCACTGCCTTCCAGTAGCATTTCAATTCATTATAATTGAACTGCATTAGCATTTATGTGGCAGCCTATGAAATTTATATCAGGTAGAGGAGAGCTCCTTCAATTTTGATTCTTGATTTTATTAAATTAAAAATCTCAATGCATTAGAAGTGCCAGATTTTCATTTTGTCCTGAGGTTTTAAACTTGTACAATAGAACTGATGTATTCTCCACACCCTTGCTTCCAACCCCCAAAAATGGAATTGAACTGGTGCAATTTTTAACTGGTACTATAAGACCTGGTTGACTGGTCATACAGATTGTAATTTTTTTGTCCTTGATAATCACAGCTAAAACTGATTATATCGATGGGGAAAAAAAAACTGAAAAGACCTGTTCAGGACCAAACTTGTCATTTGTTTAATTGTTTCACTTGATCAAAACTTGAGGACGGCTATTGGGACAAAGCACAACTTTGATACCACTATTTCTTTCCCCTTCGCCCAAAGCACATGATTGAAGTTGACATTTTTCTAAGTGTTTAAACTGACCTCTAAATCGTAAACTGCATGATTTGAATGGATTAGATAAAATGATTTATGTTGATAAATCTACATAGTTACAATAATGAAATCTTAATATCACATTCACAAATGTTAGTGCTCTTTATAATTTTCTTTCTAGGAGATTTGGATTTTTTAATATCTGGGACGTGTTTCTAAATTCAAATAATGTAAATAGGATTTGAATTCATTGATCTGTGAAATGTATAGAACTGCACAGTGAAATGATTTTCTCAATTCTGTTTGCACTTGGCAGGTTATGCCATGAAACTTCAACAGGATTATTGATCGGCCAAGGGAGTTGGGAAATGTAAGGAAAGTATCGCATCCTACTGGTTTGTGTACGAGAAATTTTAAATTTAAAATGTCATCACAAGTACAGTCGAATCCCCAGAATGAACCTACAATTGTGAATCCTCCACCACCAGAATATTCCAACTTGAAGAAATCTAGTCGCATGACAAATCAGCTCCAATATTTGCAGAAAGTGGTAGTAAAAGCTTTGTGGAAGCACCATTTTGCGTGGCCTTTCCAACAGCCTGTAGATGCTGTGAAGCTAAATCTGCCTGTAAGAATTACATTTTATCTCGTCACAATGATATCAGTTGGTAGCACTAATAATTCACAAATTATACTGCAGAGCAAATGAAATTATGTCTGCAATTATTGTGTTTTAAGGTGTTCATTTGAACATGCACAGGAAACTTGCATTATTCATATGTTGAATACTTTTGAAGTTTAGACAGCTGTCCTTCACTAGTGGCAACATTACTGATGTTATGTACACTGCCAGGTCGCCGAAATGATAGCCTTAAATGTCTTGAGACTTAATACTGGAAATCTCCCTATAGCTGTTTCAGCTATGATCACTGGATGGTCTGAGTTTTGGAAGTATATGGTACTTTCAATTTATGTTGATCAACAGAGATGGCAAACCTGAAGAGAATCTATTTTGATGATGTACTAAATTATATAGTGATTCAAAACTTCTCTAGTTAGGGTACACCAATTTAAATGTCAATTCTTGAGAGCTTAATGCTCTGTTCCAAGAGCTCCTGAATTGTCTAAACAGCTGTTAGTTTTTACCCAAGCTGCACAGTAGTATTTTCCACTGGAGCAAAATGGCAGTCTGGCAGAATGGCAAAAATGGCAGATAATCAATAACAACAACAACAAGATTACATTTCTATAGCGCCTTTCACGTCGGGAGGACGTCCCAAGGCGCTGGACAGAGTACAGCACTTCAGACCCGGGTTGGGGGGTAAGGGAGGGGAAGGGGGGTGGCCGATGGCATGGTCGAAGAGGAGGGTCTTGAGGCGGGACTTGAAGGAGGCTAAGGAGGGGGTGAGGCGGAGTGACTGGGGGATGGAATTCCGGAGGTTGGGGGCAGAGTGGCTGAAGGCTTTCCCGCCAATGGTGGGGCAGGTTGGTCGAGGGACGTGGAGCAGGCCAGAGCCGGCTAAGCGGAGGGAACCGGTGGGTTGGTAGGGGGTTAGGTGGTTGCAGAGGTAGGGTGGGGCGAGGCCATGGAGGTCTTTGTATGTGAGGACCAGGATCTTGAACTGGATCCTCTGAAGGATAGGGAGCCAGTGGAGTCAGGCAGAGTTTTGTGCGGGAGAGAACACGGGCTTCAGAGTTCTGGATTATCTGCAGCCTGTGGCGGGAGGAGGTCGGAAGGCCGACACGCAGTGCGTTTGCATAGTTGAGCCTGGTGGTGATGAAAGCACGAACGAGATTCAGTGGCCTGGGGGGGGAGGTAGTGGCGGAGTCGGGCAATGATACGGAGGTGAAGGAGTGAATAATTATGACATTAATATTTGTGTACTTTTATATGTGCTCTTGACCATTAACTACCAAGGTGGAAACGGTAAATAACTTCCAGAAAGTAATCTAGTGAATGATTAAATGTTCACCAGATTAAAATCTATTTCATAGGATTTTGTTGCAAGAACCCAATAATTCATTATTTTTATATCCATGGTTTTAATAGATAAGCTGATTGAAGACCAGGGTGCAATAAAATGTATGCAACTAGTTAATGGTTGCATGAGAGTGAATAACTGTTTATGTTCAATAAATATTTTTTTCACAGGTTTGCCATGCTGCTGCTTAGCATTATTTCTTTTTTTTAGGATTATTATCAAATAATAAAGAAACCAATGGACTTGGGTACCATCAAAAAGCGCTTGGAAAACCACTATTACTGGAAATCTATGGAGTGTACAGAAGATTTAAAGACAATGTTTACCAACTGTTATGTGTATAACCGGGTATGTATAGTTTTAGAATGTAGATGAATGATTGCATTTTTTTGTTTGACGAAGAGTATAAAGTGTTTGTGTTTGTAGCCAGGTGATGACATCGTTATAATGGCACAAACATTGGAGAAACTTTTTCTACAGAAGTTAGCACAAATGCCACAAAAGGAAATCGAGTTTTCTGTGTTTGGAAGAAAAAGTGGAAAAAGCAAAAGAAGAAAAGGGCGAGGTAACTGTTTATAGAAATATTCTTGTAAAAAGACATGATATTTGGAAATTGAGAATTTTACACAAATCAATGGTACAAACAATACAAAAAGGCTATTGATATCCAATACCCATATAATATAACTGCTAAAATACTAATATAAGATAACAGTTCCTTAGTGTTCAGTATTTGTTCATTTGTATGAAAAATTCACTTGAAAAGAAAAACACAGTTAATGTTTAAAAAATGACTGATCTGCTGCATGGTTGATTGAATGGAGTGATACTTACAACGTAATGATTAAAATCTGAGTTCTCAATGACTGCGCCGCAGATGTCCTTTGCTTTTATTGATCCTGCTTCGCTGATTGCCATTCAGCCTTGTGTTAGGGTAGGGGCTACCTCTGGCACATCTTGGTAAATTTTCGGAATGATAAATATTGAATGCATTACTAAATCGACTCAATTGTGAGTTTTCAAGAGATTAGCTTTTTATTGAGCATTTGGATATTAATTAGATCAATCAGTGAGCCCTGATTCATCATGATCTAACATAGTGAGGAAAAGTAAAACTTTTAAGGTTAATGGCTGTGAATCTTTCAATTATAGGATTTTTATATTTTGCATAAATTTAGCATTTTATGTCCATCGATATTACAGTAATTTTACAAAGAATTAAGTAGGTACTGAAGATGACACTTATAGTTTATTGCTTGAGGACAGTCCTGCGCACCTTCAAATGCAGTCAGCTGCTACAGTCATAATATCGATATTTAACTCTGGACTGCTTCAACTGCAGTGTATTGTTTTGGTAGTAACAGTGTGCTCGACTTCACAAGCAAAATTACGATCAACTGCATCTGGAGTTAGAATTCCACAACCAGTAATGACTGTGGTGCCACCTCCAACAAAAGCTTTGATGCCTGCTATTGCATCCCCTCCTTTAATATCACCAGCCAAGCCTGTTGCAAAAGTAAGTGTTATATTTCTAATTCTGCATAACTTGCAGGTGTAAAGCATCTGTGATAATTTATAATAAACAATATAAATCTTGCATTTGATATAGAACATTAACACATTGTCGAGACATCGCTTCTCAACTCACTTCTGTAAATCCTTCAGTTATCCACTGTCAATCCTTGGAATATTTTTAATCAGAGCTGCTTTAGATGGGAAGCAGTACTTTTAGTATGGCATTTCCTAAGATTTTAATGCTACACGTATTTATCTTATTAAAGTAACATTCCCATAAATCTACCATATGTAAGGCAGATTACTCTTCAATATTTTAGTAGGAGAAAAAGTTGTCAAAATATTTTCTGTTGGTCCTGAGAGTTCCTAAGAAAATTATTCCATCAAAGCCCTTTGCCAATTTCCTGAGTTGATCAGAGGTCATTCATTGCTTCCAAACAGCCTGTAAAACGCAAGTTAGTTGTGTCCTTTTTTATTTGTGTATTAAGCATCTCATTGTATCATCTTTTACTTTTTTTCTAAACAAGGTAAAGAAAGGTATCAAAAGGAAGGCTGACACTACTACTCCCACCGCTCCCATTATTGCTACAAGTAGTGAGTCTTCGCCAACATTTACAGAACCAAAGCCTACAAAATTTCCTTCAAGGAGAGAAAGCAGTCGATCAATTAAACCACCAAAAAAGGATCTACCAGATTCCCAACAACAGCATCAAGTCGGAAAGAAAGAAAAATTATCAGAACGTTTGAAATATTGTAACAGTATTCTTAAAGGGATGTTCTCAAAGAAGCATGCAGCATATGCCTGGCCTTTCTACAAGCCTGTAGATGTTGAAGCATTAGGACTTCATGACTACCATGACATTATTAAGCTGCCCATGGATCTTACTACTGTGAAAGTAAGTTTTTTGTTTCTTTTTGGAGGGGTGGGACTTTTTCCTCCGACCACCACAAAAAATGTGCTAGAGGATGTACATTTGGAGTTGGTTTATAACTGCATCAAAGTGTGTCCATTTTCCATAAACTACACAATTAAGTTTAAATATTTTTCAATCCAGCAGCATGCGGAATATCAGAACACAAGCTTTTAATGGATGATTTGACATAGGAAAGCTCACAATGGCTTTGTAACTGGTAATTGTAAAAATAACATTAGTAGAAACTAAGCATCTCTGAAATTTATCACTTGCATAAAATTCCAGCTTATTTTTTGATTTCATTAACTGGCAATCTAAGAATTTTAAGATGTCTGCTTTATCATGTGTTCGCATGTATTTTCATTATTTATTATACATATTTATTTTACACTGAATTCACCCTGAACTAATTTTGTAAAATTGATTTCATGTAAGTTTTATGTTTTAATCTTTCCTGATGAGAAACGAATGGAAAACCGCGAATATAAAGATACCCAGCAATTTGCCACAGATGTGCGATTAATGTTTCGGAATTGTTATAAGTATAACCCACCCGATCATGAAGTAGTAGCTATGGCCCGAAAACTTCAGGTAAGAGTAAACCTTAGGTAAGAATATAGTTTTAGTTTAATGTAACTGTTATGTCCTTTAAAAATATGTGTAACCTTCAAAATCTTAAACTGTTAGATCAATAATCATCTCAGTGACTCTTTGTGGCAAAGCTGCGAAAAAGTTTCTTCAAACCTCCCTTTCCCATCCAATGATGATCCTGAGCTAATGCCCCCATATTACTATTTTGCTAATCATTTTTTGCTAAATTAAAGAATCATTTTCTGGAGATAACATAATTGGGATTTTTGTCAGTGTTTTGTGCAGCAATAGAGATTCCATCTAAAATTACTGTTTAGCTCTAATTTATACCAATTATGGCAATGATGTAACATTTGGATTTCACTTGTAGTGTGGGTGGACTTAACCCATGAACACATTTACGGATGAATTGTGATGATTGTAAATAGGATATCGATTGTATTGATAACTTTTCACAAGAAGGGAAGAAAGCTTATGATGAAAAATGCCCTTCAACCCATTTATTGTCTTTCCATAAGAGCATTGGTTTCCAAGTGATCTCAAATATCTTATTTCACCAGGATGTTTTTGAGAAGCATTTTGCCAAAATACCTGATGAACCTGCTGAACCTATGTTAACATCACAACCCAAAACCCAAGTTAGAAAATCAATAGCAAGTGAAAACACTGATGAAAGCTCATCTGATAGTGAAAATGCATCTGAAAACTCTGAGAAAGAACGTACGGAGCGCCTTGCTAAACTTCAAGAACAGGTAGAAATATTTTTTTTTAAATATTCTTTTCTAGGAATCCAATTGTTTTTGAACACTTCTAAACATCTGTGCATACAAGATAAAATTCCAATCTGTGATAGCTTCCTGAGAAACTATAAGACTGGAACTGTGTGGGATTTTGCTATTATTCTATGTTAAGGCTTTGGATTAATTAACAGTGTTGAAATGTATTTCTGATATCAACAATTCTGAGCATGTCCCTGATCTCGAGGTGGGTGATGGAATAGACAACCATCAGATAGTTCTCAGGCTGCAACACAGGAGAGAGAGGTTCTCACTGTAAAACAGGTTTACAATATTCCATTGCCAATTTATTTTCCTCCATGCTCACTGCAGGAGGGATTTGTATTGGAATCATCAGTGATTTAATTTTGTTTCAGTATAGTACTAAATGGGGTACAAGAATGTTTAAGTCCACTTTGCTGGTCAGTACCAATGAGCTGTAAAAAATAAAAGAAAATTAAAGAATACTTCCTAAAAATATTCACTGTACTATTGTGTACTCTTGGAATTGCTTTTCTCACTTACATATTAAGTGAGATAAATTGAATAAGCCATATAATATTAGCTTGATTTGAATCAACTTTTCCCGTGACAGCTGAAGGCAGTCCATGATCAACTTACAGCCTTATCTCAAGCTCCACTGTCTAAACCTAAGAAAAAGGACAAAGCCAAAAAGGAAAAGAAGAAAAAAGAAAAGGAGAAAGACAAATTTAGAAAGAAAGATGATGAAAGGAAGAAAAACAAGTCTAAGCCAATGCAGCAAAAGAAGTCCAAGAAAAGCTCTACAGGAAGCAGGTACGATCAGATTAAACCATCTCCAATTTTCTCCCTCTCTTGCAAACCTGCTGAGATACAACAGCACCCTAGCAGTTCAAATTAGCCATTCTATGTTTGAACCCAGACTGAATTAGCATCATAGTATTGTTCCACTGTATTCATTTTTAAATTAAAAATAAATTCCAATTTATGCATTATGGCTTGAGGGTAAGTTTTGTAATGCGACACAGTTGTGGATATAGCTGAATAATGCATCAAAAGTTGTATATGTATCTACCAGGATGATTATGTAATTTCCCTTCGGTGCCTTTGGAAGTTGGTTATAAAGGGTGTCCTGATTTGAATATGCTAAGTTATTTTTAAGAAGAATCATACTGATACTAAGATGCCCTTAACTAAATCCAGTTTACAAATGATTTAATCTAGATTCTTGTTGGTAGTTATGAGTTGCAAATACGTTTTTTTTCCCCAAAAAATTGGTTAATTTTAATGCATTAATTACAAAAGCCCATAAGGGTAGGAAAAATATTGAAACAATTTGCTGGATATTAACTGGTGAGTGGCTCAAAACTGAGCTTTAATGTATAACATTGAAACTATAATATTACCTAATTTGGAACAGAATGATTTGTAGATATGGTCCATTTCTTAATTAATAATATTTATGAATGTACTTTGTTATACAGGCTGATGAAAAAAAACAAACAGCAGGCTCCTCCCGTTTGTGATTCCGAAGAAGATAATGCAAAGCCAATGACATATGATGAGAAAAGGCAGTTGAGTCTTGACATCAACAAACTTCCGGGTGACAAACTGGGGCGTGTTGTGCATGTAATACAGTCTAGGGAACCTTCTTTGAGAGATTCTAATCCAGATGAAATAGAAATTGATTTTGAAACGTTGAAACCATCCACATTAAGAGAATTGGAAAGATATGTTATGACTTGTTTAAGAAAGAAACCAAGAAAACCTTATTGTAAGTAGTAAATGCTGTTACATTAACTATTTTACCTTCTTTAGGCAAGTATTCTAATATGTGTACTTGTATATTATATTCAGCTAAAAAGGTTTCTGGAAGATCTAAAGAAGAAATTCAACTGGAGAAAAAACAAGAACTGGAAAAAAGATTGCAAGATGTGAGTGGACATTTGAACTCTGGGAAAAAACAAACCAAAAAATGTATGTACTGTATTTAATAAATGTTGAATACGCTAGAATTTATATTTTTCCTGTTTTTTTCAAATTTAGAATGTTTGAATTTTTTTATTTAATAGCTCAGAAGAATGATCCAGCCATGGAGATGGGAGGATTGTCTCGATTAAGTGAAAGCAGCAGTTCCTCAAAGTCTGGCAGTAGTAGCAGCAGTAATGACTCTAGTTCTTCAGAGAGCAGTGATTCTGAAACAGGTTAGGTGTCATCTTCCGTACATATATGTACAGCCAAGTGCATCCAACTTTCCAAATATCAGTCCTTTCTCCCAGTTTCTACTACTCAAAAGGATTTATTGTAGCATTTGCCTGGAGGCATCGCACAAATCAGAAACGGGTGCAAACTTATAGATCTTGCTGAAGCACTGAATGTTGGAGGCTGGAAGTGTTCCATAATATTTCAAAGATGTCCCAACCAAATGAAAAAAGAGGACATTCGTAAGTGAGACAACTATGTTTACAATGCAGAACCTTTCACTCTATTAGTCTCAGAAAGTAGCTTCTTTCAAATTGTTTGAAAGTCAGGTAAGGAAGAATTTTTGAAGCAAGAGCAATGTAATGCATACTGTAAATGTAGAAAGTAAATTGATCAGGTGAGGAGGAATGACTTATTTAAGGCACGTGCCTTGAAGGTTTGAGTTGCTAAGTGACTGACTGAGAACTGTAAATACAGATGTATTATTGTGACAAAAGTCACACAGAGTTGAATTGAGACATCAACCATGTCATGCAGGGTTAGTTTGTATGTCCATTTTTGAGGGATGTCTTATGATATCACTGCACAGGGTTAATATAATGTAGTGCATGGCATCTTGGGTTCTTGCATTTTTGCAAAAGACATTAGTACTAAATGCTGGAGATATTTTGGTTCAATGCTGCTGAGAACAATGTATATAATGGGCTATCAGAAATAGACTTTTCTTTTCCAATACCATGAAAAAATAGTCTTTGTAATCCAATTATTTTGAACTCTTATAATAGTTCTTGTAGTCTTTGTAATCAAGTAGCTTAATTTTATAAGAATTCCTTTCTATTGCATTTCTGTATATTGCATTTAAGGTCACGTTAACCTTAAAACTGACAAATATTGAAGATCAGATCCAATAACGCAAAAATTTGAAGTCAGTTTTGGTGCTGGGGATGGAGGTTTGCTTGATCAAGATCTATTTTCTGTATAGTTGTAAACTGCAGTTATTCCGTTTCATAACTTCCTGTATTTGGAATTAATTTTTTGTTGAGATACTATTGTTTATTTTCTGTATCAACATTTAAATTATTTATGTTTGGCAAATAAACTTATTTCTAGTCCAAACTCTGCTCTGTGTGGTCTGTTCTCTCTTTCAACCCCTGCAGTTGGAGATATCCTTAGCTACAACTGTTTCAGAGGTCTCACTCCGTCAAACTGCCCTTTTTCTAACTCAAATTGTCTGGTTACATTTGAAGTTTTATTTCTTACTGTCTCATATAGAGACTAAAAACATCTTTCAGTTATTACAATTTGTGTGGCTTTGTATTGGAAATTTACTGTTAATTATTGACAATGCAGGGATTGAAGGAAAAGGACCTTTAATTACTGTTAGTACGCAGTAAAATTGTAGGCTGTAAAGAAACACTGCCTTCATTGAATAAACGTTATTATAATAAATTTCTACAGCTAGTTTCAGACATAAGTGCAAAGTTAAGGCAGGGTCAACTGAAGTGACATTACATTTTAAGCAACCTGTGGTTTAATGTTTTCCGATTAGTTGCTTATCTTTTCATTTTTTTAATTGATGTTTAAACAATATATTAAATCTAAACGTCAAGATTGATGTCTTAAACCAAGTCAAGTTGGAGTAAGTCAACTCCCGCTCCCCCCTCCCCCACAGACACTCCCTCTCTCTCCCCCACTCAGGTGCCCAGCTAACAATGTTGTGTTGTTACATATATCCCAGGCGTTTAAAGCAGAGTAGAGTGGACCATGCCAGTTAATTTTTATTCGTTTGGCTTGGGTGAGAGGACGGGGGGGGGGGAGTAAGAATTTGAGATTTGTGAACGTCTATATAAAATACAATAAACTGATTATTTGTCACTCCAAGGGAAAGGGGTTATCCAGAGTTAGGCATGTGTATAAATGCAAAACTAATTGCGGCTGGGATATTGATAGCATGATGACTTAAGTGGCAGTGACAAGTTAAGGCAGGGTCAAGTTAGCAGGAGTGTACTGTATTACCCTTTAATTAATAGGTCATACCTGAAATGCACCTTCCTTTTCACACATCTTCCTTTTTCAGATGCCCCAAACTGTATGTTTGCAGCACTTTTGTTCATTTCAGATGGTCAGCTTTTTTTAAGTTACCACGTGGGAAAAATAGTCACGAACCGTTTCGTGGAACAGCATGTTCAAGCTCAAAAAAAGGTCAATTTGCTCTATTTGTAGGTGTGTTTGGGACATGGGAATGCAGCTTTTCCCACCCTAAGATCTTCAAATGGGTAATTCCATAAACTTGGTTACCAAATAAACTTTCTGAGCAATTAATTGGTAACGAGCAAATTATTTATTCTAAAAGATAAATGTGATAAATTGAAAATTCTGATTTTCAGTCAATGTTGTAAGGAAAATAGCAACTGCCACAAGAAGGAAAAGATACAGGGAGGGTACAACAAATAGTTTTTTTTATTTATATATATATATATGGTGAAATTATTTAAAAATCCATGTAATACTCTATTTACGGTACTTCATTATACTATTGTTTACCAGCACTTAATTATTTATTGTTGCATTTCAAAATTTTAATCATCAGTCTTTAACTTTTCTGCAGAAATAGCATCAAAGCAGAAGCCAAGGAAACGATGCAGTGTTATTCCTAGAGGGGGAATAAAGGTAACCAATGTACTGCTAGAAATTTTTCTATGTGCCATTTCTTTTCATAAATTTCTAAATCCATTCTTTTCCCAACAATTTTTACCAAAACAAATGCCTTCTAAATTAGAAGAAAATCAGATGAAATGCCTTTCACCTTGACCAGCATTGGATTCTGTTCCTCAGGTGCAATCATTGCCACATCGAAAACTTGCAGAGATACCACAGAAACACAGTCAACTTCTTTCATTGTCCTCTCACCAGGCAAAGTTGCAACTTTTTCAACCACAGTGTAATGTACCCCAAGAAGAACGAGAACACATCACTATTTCACCACCAGGTAAAGACTTAGCTTGGTTGCATACAACTGGTTTAAACTAAATAATATTTAGTAATCATATTGCCTACTCCAGCATTTCTTATGTGAAAGAGAATGAAATAAATTTAGATTTCAGATGCTGTCTGATATAAGACATCTAAGGAGCTCAGCTGGCAAATATTTTTTATATGTGAATGGATACAGTTTCTGAAGCAGCTATATTGCGACATGCATTGATCTTACTTTGTGTGTAATTTAGCACAGATTCGCTTTCTGCCAGGGGCATGATAGGTCAATAATGCTTGTGAAAGCACCCACTCTTCAAACTAGAAATTCTCCAAACACTGCTGTGTTGTACAACAGCCAGGAGCCAAGATCGGAGGGAAAAATAAGTTCCAGCATTATGGAAGGGTGAATAGGAAGAAACTATTTCCATTGGTAGGGGAGTCAGTGATTAGCAGACATAGATTTAAGATAGCCACAAGGAGAACTTAGGAGAATTTTTTTTCACACAAACGTGTTGGGATGTGCAATGGCCTGCCAAGTAAGGTGGTAGAGCCAGAGTCCATTGTGGGCTTCAAGAGGGAAGTAGAAGGGTATATACAATTTACAGGCTTGAAGGGGAATGGTAATAGGCCAGGGCAGTGGGATGAAAAGTAAAGCTTGTTCTGAGAGCTGGTGCAAACCTGATGGGCCAAATGGACAACTTCTGTGCTGAAACTTTCTATGTCGTACATTGACTACTCTGAACAGAAAGTCCTTTAACACAACTGTGTTCCAAATGGACAGAATGTGAATGCCCTCAGAATCTCACTGATAGTTTTTGTACTACTTTGGCAAGTCTTATTTGTAAATGGAGGTTCAATATACAAGGAATAATATTTATTACCTTCCATAGATATGGTTATATTCTTTGAAAAAAGTAATATTCCACGTAGAAAGCTTCATCCAAGCTGATTTGTTTTCTCTTTTTGGTTTGATGTTGCTAGGGGGGTGGGGGTGTGGCGACTCTGTAGCTTTTATGCATTATACCTCTTTACAATAATTTTGACAGCCTCAATGCTTTCTGGATACAGAACGTAAAGTATAAGACCTGCAAACAGCTCAGTTTTTAAATGTGACCGTGTCTCTACATATTCTATTCTTTGCCTTCCCTTGGCTCCATCCTCTGTGGGATAATACCAATATTCTATTTTTAAGATACTTTAAGCAACTTTTGTCAAAGAATGAAAGACCTTAACTAAGGTCTAATATCTGTTCCTTTACAACTCTGCTGCACATGAAATTGGTGCCCAATTATAGAAAGGCTCATTGTGAGGAATGCAATGGCTATTAGTATTATAGAATCTAAATAAATGATTTGTACAGTATTTACTTACAATTACTAGTTTTATTCCACTTTGGTTTCTTTAGCTTTACACACTAGTTTACCACCACAGCCATCAAGACCGAGTGCCAAGGCAGCACCCTTACCTCCCAAACACAGACTACCCATACAGTCACCATCCAAACTACAACAACCTGAGATACAACAACAGTTGCCACTAGCTACAATTCAGCAGTTGCAGGTTCAGACTCAAAATGTTCTATTACATCCAGTTCATGTGCACCCTTCCTTACCAGAGCAGTTGAAGCATCAGGTTTTATCACCACCACAGATCAAGCCATGTTATCCAGTGCCATTACCAACCGCAACTCAACCACAAATAAAACTTCAACAGCTGGTGCAAAACCAACAAATGCATATTGATCACCTTGATGCCCTTTCAATGCAGCCACAATCCTGCCATCAAACACTCATTCAACAGCCACACCCACCACCACTGCAACATCAAGGAACTGAGACAGAAGGTAAGAAACAACAACCATTTTAGACATGTGTATTAACAGACATAATAGAAGGCTACTGGGCGTACTTCCAACTTTTGAGACACAACTGGTTTTATCCTTTCTAGGTTGCCTGGTTACATTTATAAAGGATTATACAAGATGTTTAAAGTTGGCTGTTGGATTCTTGCACAATGGCAGCATTCTTCGTTCTGTATGAGTAAATTAGAATACTGTACTGTCGTCCATACCAGAAACTGAGTAGGAATGTGGACTAAGGCCAAAATCTTAAACCACCCACTTATATATTTTTTTTAAATTTTCTACACGGTTTACAGAGGGCTTGAGAATCCTCCAATATCCTCTTCTCCTGCACACATTGTAAAAAGTTCTCAGCTTTCTTTAGGTAGTTGGTCATGAGTGGTAGAAATTTTAAAGTAATAGTGGTTAATCAAGAAGATTAATGTAGGATGAATTAATAACGATGATGATTAATTACTGTGTGCTAAGGATGGTAACGCTGAGAACTTACATCCTGATAAATTCTAATGACTTATTAGACAATTTTTCAGATTTCCATCGAGCTGCATATCATTTTACTGTTCTGGGGTTGGCTTATTCACTTGACCATAATCAACAGAATGAAGACTAACTCAATCAGTTGAAGCCACATTGTCATGGAATTCTATTTGCAATTTGATGGCAGACTGTACTGTATTTATCATAAATGAATGAACTGATTTGGTTGCATCTCAAATAGTCAACATTGCATTGGATCATGTGAAAAAGACATTGCCTGCAGATCTTCTCCAATGGGGGTCGCATGCTTTGGGACATCTTAAGGATTCAGTTGACTTGGAAACCAACAATGTCTTCTGATAAGATTTACCAGTGCATTCCCACGGCCCAGCTTGGCATCTGTTATAATTGAGGCTCAATAATGAATCAATATTTTAAGTTCCAAATGGTGATATTGGTACTTTAATGGTTTTAGAAAAAATACTAAAATATTGGAAGAGCAACAGAGATTTTCTTATAAGAAACGTCTTGATGTAAAATTAAAAGAAAATAGAATGGATATTCTGAAAGCTCATACACCAAATGGTCTTCATTCATCACTCGCTTCTCATGTGATCTTTGAAATGATGGATAGCATAGTACTCTAGGTGGCACCCTCTGAGATACTCAGCATCAATTTAATAATCAGTGCACTGATGAATCTCACTGCTTTAAAGTGTTCGAGAGAATTAAAAACACACTTGAAGTTGCACTATTGGTCTCATTAGATCTGGATTTTATTTTGCTTTGTGCTGAATTTAACTTGATTTATTTTTGGTTCAGAATGTGTGTAGCTGTGATGGGAATTAATTGTTCAAAGTAATGTTTTGCGGATTTTTGCACGAAATTGTTTTCCAGTATGCGTAACCAGAATAGCGAAAGGCTATTCTACAAAATCTATAAACGTACAAAAGAAAAGCTACTGCTACACATGAAGAAAAATCATGAAGTTTATGTGCATGCTTGTTTTTTTAAAAAAACTATTTGTGGGCTCTCATTTGTTAACATATGAAATATTTAATTAGTCAAGTCCTTTTTCAAAGTGCTTTATTATCATTGGATTTGCAAATGAAATCTATCCTTTGTCATTATGAACTAATTGATATTCATTTTTTCTCTAAAAGGATTTTCTGCAGTTATATCACCTTTGCATTCACCTCTTTTGCTGCAACTTCCACAAGATGCACCACAGTCAGCTGACTTTTCTCTTCAATCCGGCCTTTTTAAAAAAGAGGTATATCAGAATTTGGTCTAAATTATTTCTTAACTGCTTTAATACTTATTTCATATAATCTTTAGTTTACAAAATATTTGACTATTGTTTTCCAGGAATTAAAGCCATTATGTGACATGAAAAACGATTTCAAATCTTCCCTAATTAACCAAACTGAGCCCACCTTTGAAACACATGGTGACTCTATACCAGCAGTAGCACAAAAGAGTAAGTTTGATCTTTTAAGCATTAGTCATTTCTGTATATATTTACATACTACCTTAATTATCTACCTTGACATGACACAATTGAATATTTATGTATGGTAAAGAGCTTGCTTGAATCATTTGGAGTGGGATGAGCAGCTTGCACTGCTTGAGAACATTCCCTGACAGAATGAGGAAAGAAAATTAACAGAAATCTCTGGATTCTTTTAACTTTTCATAATTCCATACATTTAGTTTTTAACTGCATAAGAAGTAATTAAATATTTTGATTTTGAAGCCGTCATTCCTGATGGAGGAGACCATATGAGTACTTCAATTAAGACGAATACAGTTTCCAAACAAGCCCCGGAGCTGAAAATACCAATTGCTCCAAAGAAAGTAGGTCCCTGGTTTATTTTTCTCTTTGATATACACTCACTCTGCATGAGAAACTAAATCTACCAATCCCAACTATAAGGTTGTAAATATTTGTTTGACATAACAACAGTTGAACTTTTGTTTATAAGCTTCACCCTAATAATATTATTGGTTCTTTGCATGGTGCTACATTGGTATTTTGTGTGCCAGTTGGATTCTGCTATGTTGTGCTCAGGGAAAGGAGGGGAATTTTTTTTTTAGAAAGCTTTAATCACACAAAGTTTTGAACATTTAAGAATCTCTGTAGAATTCTTGGATGTAAAAATAAAAAAAAAATTTGCTCTAATCATGCTTGACAGTGGATCTAATTTTGGACACGTGCAAGATTTTATAGAACAATGCAATTAACACATCTAAAAGCTGTTCTACACTTTATGGTAATAATAATAAATCATGTGAAGCACAAATAATTACTCTCTCACACAACCACCACCTTGTAAAGCAAAATGCTTCACAAATCACTTTCAAAAAGTAATGCTTTTTTTTCTCTTTAATTGCCAATTAATTCCACAAACATATTTTTGCTGATTCAGGACATCAAAATCAAGAATGCAAATTCTTGGACAAGTTTGGGCAAAATGGTGACAACTACACAATCATCCATAATAAAATCTTCTAGTGAGAGCTTTAAGTTGTTCAGAAGAGCAGCAATGGAAAAAGAGGAACGGGAAAAAGCTTTAAGAGCTCAGGAGGGAATCCGAACTGAGAGAGAACAAAAAAATATTCCTGTTCCAGAAAGGCAAAGGTAACAAATGTACCAAGCAGATTGGCTGAGCAAATGGATTAGAACAGACAAAGCAATCTTTCTGTGTTTCATGTTGGAATGCTGTAAATTTTTGCGCAATCCTATATTTGCAAAAGTGATGAATGCTGAATATCTGACTAAATGGGCATTTCAGCCAAACTCAATCCTGTTATTGTCTAACAAGCGGATGTTTGAAGTGGGAGGTAACTAGGAGGGATAAGGGTGAGGTGGTTAAAGACGCATCTCTTTGATTGCACCTTCAGACAGATTTTGAAAGCAGAGAGGGAGAGATTTTGAAAGCGTTCCAGAGAGCAGAACAAAGTGACTAAAAGCTTACCTTTAAGTAAGCAGTGTGCAGGGCATTGGAAAAGTGAAGTCTGGAGGTGGCGAAGATGATGATGGAGAGAGGGTGAGGTATGGGAGAAGCTGGGCAATGTTGTGGAGTGAGGGGGAAGCAATCATGGTCAGGACCAAGTGAAAGGTATCAAGGACAAGTCGGGGTTGAACAAAATATCGAGGTTATGCAAATCTTTTCTGCTAACTACTTAGAAAGTTAAAACTGTGTACCTACAAATTGATTAGTCAGGATTTTGAATAACAGTTTTCTGGCTGACTGAACCTTATCTGTATTCTACCAGTATTGTTCTGGCAGATATCAGATAATTAAGCCTGTAGAGGTCATAATTTTTACTAAATTGCAAATGTCCTTGTGTAACTGCCAATCAGCTTCTGTTTCAGAATGGAACTCAGTCGAAAATGGTTTATATAAAACCCTAATGGCTCCCAAATGATTGCCTTCTAATCTGTAACTTCTTTGATTCTATAATAAATTAAAATTGTTTTAGTGATTTCAACAAACAGATGACTGCTTCCTGTAACTTAAATTACTGAATTAATTGTTCATTATATCATACAAAACATTAAAAAAAAAAGCTGAGTGAAGCAATATTTCTTCAATTGTATTGCAGAGATCATGACAAAGATGATATTCTGGAACTTTCTCAAAAAGCTCAAGATGAAGCGTACAATAAATGCAGTGAGCAAAAGAAGAAAGAGCAGCAGCATCAGCAACTTGAGGCACAGCAAGTCTTGTTGGATAAAGAGAGAGAGTTGGCCAGGAAAAGAGAGCAAGAGCGCCGGAGAAGAGAGGCAGTAAGTGACCCAGGTTGTCTTTTTGACAAATGAATATAGTTCTATTTATTCCACAGCTATAGTTGAAATAAAATTGTCCATTTTTTTTTCTTTCTGCAATGAGCACTCATCTGAGATCATCATTAAACAGTACTGGTTCACTGAAATCACAAGGGTTGCTTTAGATAAATGAATTGCTTTACTTACCCTAAAATCTGTTCTATCAATTATATAGTATGCATTAGTTTAAAACTGGTTTTATTAATTTGATGGAGCTGTCTATTTCTAAGAGGTTGAATTGATTTATTTGATTTTAAAAAAATTCCAATGAAGTCTTTACTATTGCCTGTTAATTGTAATCAGCAGTCTTGATTAAAGGAATCTTACCTGGCATTTCTCTACTGATACAAGACAGAGCCTTCGCTACTTGTAAAGTAAATTAGGTTAAGAATCACAAAGCATTTAACTACGATTGAGTATATTAAACTATTGCTCAACAGCAAACTTAGCATATATGTGCATTGATAATTGACTTCTATAACTTACAAAAATTGCTCCATCCCCATCTTCCCTTTATGAAGGGGAAAGAAAAGATCTGTTATAGCAAAGTCTATCAAAAAGTATTGTTTAAAAGTTAATTGGTTCTTATGAAACCTGATCTATAAATAGTGAATAACATATATGATAAGCATTGAGAACTCCATGAATTAAATTGTCCAAAATGCAGAAAATACCAATGTTCTGATTGCCTTATGTTTAGCTCCTGAGTTGGGATGTTTTCCAAGTGTTATAACTAACCTTGACAACCATACATATTTGTTGGATTTTCAATGAAGCACAAGTTAAATGTATTTTGTACACTTAACAGCAATTTGAGAGTTGTGTGTGTTTGAATATACTTCTCTCTCTTTTTATAGATGGAAGGCACCATTGACATGAATTTGCAGAGTGATATTATGGCAACATTTGAAGAAAACCTTTATTAATTATCTCAAACTGGTGCAGGTTTTGTGGTCATAGAAATATGTAACCTGTTTTCTGCTTGAAGTTTATCCAAATTCGACCTGAAAAGCTTTTATGTGTGCTACTGTGTGTGTGTATGTATGTGTGTGTGTGTGTATATATATATATATAAATATATATATATATATACACACACAAGTGTGTCCATGATTTTGTCTGGTTTGTGGGCATTAGGTTACCTGTTGAAATTGTTCTCTGCTTACGGAGAAACTAGGAATGCCACTGGGGGAAAAAAAAGTGGATAAGTTATGGCGGCGAAACCTGATCTATAAATAGTGAATAACATATATGATAAGACAATCTAATAACCAATGTCTATTATGCACAAATAACCATATGAATTGTTCAGAACTTATCAATTTTGCACACATTTACAGCATGCTGCACTTAAAGTGTTTGAAATCCAAATATAGTTAAACCAGATATAGTTACTTGCAGTAATCTGTGCCTTTGAATACTGGTGTTTGAAGACAATTGAATAAGCAAGAATATTCCAAATGAACTGAAAATCAGATTGTTCTCTGCATTTTTTTCTTCCACGATTTTCTAGTTCATAAGCACTCTGTTTTTTCTGTTGCAATCACTACCAAGTGTGCTGTAATAAGTAGATTTTCTTTGTAAAGGGTAAATGATGTCCTTTGTTTCCAGTAATTAGATTATGCATTTGCACAATTTGCACTTTGCTAGGCATATGGTTTTGTACCTATGGCAAACATATTCATAATTGCTAGCAAATTAAACATTTGAAAAGGCAAATTGTTAATTTTGTTAGCTTGTGTTGCAATTCTATTGTTGAAGTTTCATCTTCAAAATACTGTTTCACTATTTATTGCTATTTCTATAGTAGAAAGACGAATGCTTGGCAATTTTTCTTTCTCTGTTTCCTATTTTCTTTCTTTATTGAAAATATATTCTTATTATCCTCAACCACAACATATTTTCATGAATGGCTGCTAATTTGTTGTCACTTATTGAGAGGAAGAAAGAAGAAGCTATGTGAAGTTTGTGCACAACAGTCACATCAATGCTTGTTATAAACCAGATGGTTGTGTACATAAATGTAGATGAAACACAAAACACTGTAATGGGACAGTGATGGCCTTATACCTGGTTATTGATTATATATATATAGACAAACTTTATTTTGTACTAAGAAATTGGTCATTAAATGTTTTACCTCCATCTTTCTTAGTGGCTGCCTGATTCCTGTTCTGGTTTTGCTTCAATTTATATAAATTGAAAAATCTTTATGTATTTCCATTTAGTAATTCAAATTAACTGACAATTGAATGTATTTCACTTGGGAACTGCCAACAGTTTTGTTCCTACCTTTAATTTCAATTACTCGTTAATGTGTTGCTGAGTATTTAAGAAATGCATTAAGTTTTGTACATTTCATATGTGTAGTAGTAGATTTTGTATTCTTTTGCAGAATATTATGAAACTGTGAAAAAAAATAGTCCTTAACATATTTATTGCTGCATTGTTTCAGTACAAAGTTAATAGTGTAACAAAATTCTCTTTTCCTTTGCAGTTTGCAATTAAAATATTTTGGTTTGCAAATTAAGGCTGAACATATTATTTGCATTAACTCTGTAACAACAACCATAGTCTAAGTTCTGGTTTCTGAATGTATGAAGGTGAGTATATTGTTCTGTAAAGCTGCGCTTTTAACTTTCATATATGTTTCAGGTTTACATAGAAAAGATTGAAGCCGAAATCTGGCTGCATTTGTGCAGCTGTGTGAATGTGCTAAAATGGTGGGAGTGTGAGAAGGCTCCCATTCAAGGAAGGTGTTGGGATAAGAAAGAAAATGGGATAAGGATTTAATCTTCAGGCATTTCCTTGCTGGTCTGCAACAAGAAGTAATAGTAAATGTCAATGTGCAGCCCACCTCATCCTGTACTCTGCCACACTGTTAGACCTCTTGAGAAAATTCAACGTATATACCCTAATAATCAAACTACTGGTCTACTGCCCTTCAGAGATGCCCTTACCCTCAGCCCCCCCCCCACCACCACCCCCATCAACAACAACAACTTGCATTGATATAGTGTCCCAGAGGAGGTGACCATAGACACGGTCACAGCGATCTGAAGAGTGTGACATGAAGGGGGACCCGATCTGCTCGAAGAGTATTTGATCATCAGCGTTGTTTAACCACCGCACACACACAGACACACACCATCACCACCATCTCTCCCACAGTTGGGGCTCTGACCTCCACCTCCGCTTCCACTGCCCAATCAAACATTGATGGCGCTTTGGGTTTTTTTTTTAAAAAAACACACACACACACACACACACGAGGAGTAAGTAACAACTCCCGGTAACAGCAGCTATTTTGCTTGGAATCTGTTCCCACTGAGAGAGTCAACACCAGACAAAAAAAACCCTCCTCACTCGTTCGTACCCCCCGGGGGTTGGGACACGAGTCTGTGGGAAAGATGGATGGAAGAGGGGCCGTGGACCGTGTCCGGTGGGGGGGCGGTGGGGGCTCTCGGCAATGGTGTCAGCAACACAGGGCTGTGCTCTGCAACGGCGGCGGAGTCTCCTGTGGCATAAATCAGCGCTCATCTTTTTTTTGTGTGCAAACCACACACTGTTTAACGTGATGGTTCCCGGCATTTCCGATGGGGAGGAGGGAGGGAGGGGGGGAGGGGGAGGGGGCGGCGGCGAATCAAATCCACAAACCGATGCGCTTCGAGTCGCGTCGAGTCGGCGTCAGAGCGCTCTCTCTCTCACTCTCTCTCTCTCTGACGCTGACGGCTGTTACTGGTTTCCATGACTCCAGTCGCAGGGGATCGTCCGTCGGCGCACGGAGGGAAGTGGGGGGCGGAGAGCCCGAGCACCGCGCAGATCGCAGCCGCCGCGGTCTCTCCTCACGGTCGGTCCCGTCCCCCCCCCCCCCCGCGCCGACACGCGCGCGGCAGAGCTCTCGGACTATGGTGAGGCCGCCGGGAGACTTCCCGGTGCTCGCGGCTCGGCTGCTCGTGCAGGTCAGGCGCTTCCTGTTGTGGTGCGCGGTGTACGGCTGCTGCGGGCTGTGTGCCTGCGCGGTGCTGCTGAAGCTCGCGTGGCTCACCGTCAGGAAGCCCAGCGCCACATTCCGCTGGAACATCCGCGAGCAGCTCCCCGCCTGCCTGAACCACACGGCCCTCGGCACTCACTGCTACGTGCGGATCAAGGTAGGGACCGGGAGGGCCCGGGTCGGTCTGGGCGGCTCAGAGCCTCACTCGGTGCGACACACTGCCATTGCAATAGGGATATTAACCCGTGTTTGGGTTTTTGTGTTATGCTTTTTAATATATATATATATATATATATATATAAAATCTCCCCGGACGTGCAAGAGGGCCCTGGATGTGATTGTTGTTTTTTATTATTATTATTATTTATTATTATTTATTATTATTGATGATGATGGAGCGTTGGAGCAACAGCACTGTTGTACACTGACAGCAAAACGGCGCACCCGCACTCGCACTGTGATTTCAGCAAAATCGCTTTGGCACTGCGTGGCTTTGGGAATTGGTGGGTACCGGTCCAGTCCAATCCAATCCAATCCACACCTCCCCCCCAACACCCCCCCCCCACACCCCCCCAAACCATCTCCCGCTGTGGACCTGATCTGCTGCCGGACGTGGACACAATAACCCAATTTTTTTAAAAAAATTAAATTTATATATATTTTTTTTACTCGAGTTTCCAAGACAATAAATAGCTCACGGTCGGTTGGGCAGAGGTTTGTTTATCGACAAGATGCTGAAACCCAGGACAGCTCCCACCCCCCACACCCCCTCCCCCACACCCCCTCCCCCATGCATTTGGGATTCAGGAACAGGATTAAAATATATATATGTGTATATATATATACATATATATTCTCAGCCCTGTGTGTGTGTGTGTGTGTGTGTATTTATGTATTTATTTGTCTGACTGGAAACGTATTGGTATTCAGAAAGTGTAGACTTGATCACCAGCCACAGCCACAGTCCTCCCTCCCCCACTGCTGGTCACCTCTGTGACTGTGTCTTGACGAACACGCAAGTGGAATAATAATACTACTACTAATAATAATAATAATAAGCCTCAAACCAAGCAAATCCGAGTTAGTATCAAAGCTATCTCATGCTGTTTTTTTTTTGGACCATTTAGTTTGACCCCCACCCACCCACCCCCCACCCACACCCCTGAAGACTTCCAAAAATAACAGAATTTCTCACTAGATTACTGGATTAACAGTAAAGATCTTAAAGGTTCTACATATAAATAGCATTCCCCCCCCCCCCAATATCAAGTGCTGACCTCCTAACAAACCCCGTTTATTAGCCTTTCTTTTGGAACCTCCAATATACAGTAGTTCACCTGCGTAACAGGTATTTATTTCGACAAGATCCTTTCGTTTGACCGAGCGAAAGGTATATTCAAACTTAACAGATATTTTTTTCTGCCTAAGGCAGATGACAGTAATATTGTAAACAATTCCCTCCACTGATACATTTTGAATTGCCCATTTCTCCAGGATTTGGGAAGGATGGGCTTTGCAGGTCAACAATGTGGGATAAATGCATTTTAGAATTGCCGCGCGTTAATTTATACTCAATTAATGTTTTAATTGCATAGCAGTTTTATTTTCTGAGTTACGGCAAATGTGTAGATATTTCTAGTGATCAATTTTTCTCCTACGGTCTATTTGTTTTACATTAAATGGGTAGGATGGGTAGAGATGGATCAAAATAGATGACATTTCTAATAAACAATTGCAATATTTTTGCAATTAACCATCTTGGATTTCAAATTCATTGGGATTTACTAATCCTAGTAATGCAAATGTGAAATTGGACCATAACTGTTTCAAATTTTAAGAAATGATTGCAATCATCCATTTTTTTCACTAATCTGACTGAAATTAGATATTGTAAGAAGATTATAACCATTTAATATTTAATGCATCTAGGCTTTAACACGGTGTGTTGCAATACAGACTGTGATTCATTCTGTGAATCAAGATTGATTCAAACATAATTCTCCTGCTGCTAAAATGTGCTAGAATGTTCTTTATCCTGTAATGCCACACACAAGGAAAACTGAAGAAAGCTGGTAGAAATGTCAGTGATGGGTCCATGTTAATTTGTTTTGGTTGTCTTACCTTCACCAAATGAGTGTTTGGGGCTATATAGGTGCTACAGAACTGTCAGCTTCTCATAAAATGAATAAACATGGATGGCATGTTTGTACCTTAGAGTTCCTTTCCTTGGTGTCTGTCTTCCCTCTCCGCAGTACCTTTGCAACCCCCCCTCTTCCATCAATGTTATTGCTGAATTTTCCTTTTGGCCTAGCTATTCTCGTGATCAGAAGTGCTATAGAGGACACAACTACACTGGTATTGTCATGGTTAGTAAAGGGTATAGATTGATTTCATTCATGCTCTGATTATATGGATAGCCCACCCTCGAGATCGTTAGAATTCAGTGATGAGGCAAATCTAGTGGGTGGTTGGGTTGAAGCTGACATGGAAGCCAAGGGGGGAAGGAGATCTGGTGGAATCGCTCTGGGAGGAAGGTTGGAGATGGAGGCATTGGAGGATAGGATGAAGGCAAAGGACATTTCAGAAGTAGGAGTCTGGAAAAGGATAGCATTTTGGAAGGAAGGTTTGGAAGGAAGGAGAGATTGTGAACTGATCAGCATGGGGTGGGGTGGGGGGGGGCGGGTCAATGAATGATGGTCTCTGAGATATGCAGTGAGAAATAAACACAAAAGAGAAGACGTCTTAAGACAAAAATGAATGGAGGGAAATCATAGATGGAGCGTAGGTAGGAAAATAATAGATTCCTGAAACAAGGCAGAATCCTTGAAACATGACTTGAACAGCAGAGAAAGGAAGATTTGATATGTGATCTGATTACCTGGGGAGGTTTTAAAAAAAAGTCCTTCCCTTCAAGTTCACAGCATTTTAAAAATAACTGATAATGTTTAGACTTCTGAGTAAAGTATTCCCCTAAAACGTGAATATGCCAAGTATAGATTGCTTAAGATCATTGTTCTTATAATCAATTTCTCTGCTACTATACTATATGTGAACAATGCTTTAGACTGTACCAATAACAGTAGCGCACAAGTTTAGAGTTACAAAGGCAGTTTCAGGACAGACAATGAGAATTATTTCTTTACCCAGAGAGTAATTACCAACTGGAACAGTTTGCCATCAAGGGTGGTTGAGGCCAGGACACCGGACTCGTTTTATATTAAAAAAATCTATGATGCTATGATGGGAAGACGATAGGATGGGTATTCTAGAAGGATAAGATCAAAATGGTTCGAAGAATCTGCTTCATCCAAATCGATCTTGTGATATGGAGGACAACAATAAAATCAGGACTGATTGGAGTCCCCTGATCTGTCCAGTTCCATTACAATAGGTAACGGTTATTTGAGCAATTAAGAGTGAAGGTTTTACAATGCATCAATACCTGCTTCTTGCAAATTAGTATATTTATTTTGTTTAATCTGTTTGCTAATATTTTTATAATTCATTTCAAAATTTTAATCGTAACATGTGGCTTTGTAATGCTAAATGAGATGAATCTGCAGATAGTCTATAAATCGTTTTCTTTTACAAAGGAAAAAGGCTATTTAAACTGATTATGTAACATGATATTTTTTCAATGGGCACAAATTCTAATTTACAAAGGTGCTCAAAGTGTATAGTTTGACAGGATAACAAGGTTTTAATGCAAATGAGCTGTCATTTCATTAGTGATTAATGTTGAAGGCTGAACTATTACAAATGCATTGATGCTTTTGAAATAGCTTACCTTTGTTACGGCACATTTGTAAAAACATGTTTTCAGATGAGATACTTCAGCAAAGAAAATATATATTCTACACATAGATGTTAGTGGTAAGATCTGTTGCTGTTTTTTTTAAAAAAATGAGTGCTCCATGTCAAATAAGAATTAAATCAGTGTTAGACATAATAATCTCATTCAATTCATTTTCAACTGATCTGCATTGTTAGTGCTGCAACCATGCATTGTTATTAAGTGCTAGAATGTAAGTGTACTCCTGCAGTTGCTCACAGGATAGGTTCCCTGTCAAGGCCAGACCATGGGGAGAGGTTTCAGGTGGAGGTTGGATGCTTCCCTACATAGAGAAAAGGGAAAACTGTGGGGTAAATAATTCCACTTGTCTCTTGCATATTTGCTGACATCTGGTTACAGCATTGACAGAGACTCGGGATAATTCTGACATCTCCTTGTACAACAAGATTCAACAACAAGATTACATTTGAATGGTGCATGTTAGATTGATGAAAGCAATTTTAAAATATAAGGCGAAACAGGAGTGACAGAGGAACACAGATTCAGATCATGCACCACTTTATAGGAGTGGGAAGAGAAATCAGAAGAATCTTATGTGGCTGCTGGCATCTGCCTCCTCGTGGCTATCTGATGAACAACACTGGCCTGAAAGCAGGACACCGCATTGCCCTGTTGAGAATGAAACGGGGTTAAAAAGGAAGATGGTAAGGAGGGGGATTTCTAAAGAGGTCAAGAGAAATAAAAAAAATGTACATAATAAATGTGAGGTATGATCATGGTTTCATTCCTGCCCAGGCCCTATTGGTTATTGACTTCTGTGTCATTAATTAGATTTTGGACTTCACGCATCATTGACCTATATTGAACTGCTACCCTGGTAATTTGCTAATGCTCATAATCTGTTGCTCATGCTTGAACTCGATGCCACTTCTCCGTTAGGGTACATCCGGACAGCATAGAAAAATGTTCTCAACCTCTTTTTGCCCACATTCCTTCATCAAATAAACATTAACTGAATCCATGATCTCTCACCAACCTTGTCACTCCTCCACACAAAATTAGATTCTACCCTGACACAAACGTTGAAGAAGAAAGCAGTTGGATGTTTGCTTTTCTGAGTGCTCAGGTTATAATGACTAACCATGTGACACTAAAGACATTTGCGTCTTAGTGTTAAGTGGATCATTTAGGTTGCTATATTCTAACTCTCCCAGTTCCTCTTTTTTAATTTTAGCACATTAAAGGGTGGAATAATGAATGATGGCTGTTTTTAACAGCAGTTGATATTACTGTTTGTACTTAATATTGGGTCATTGTTCGATAATTTATTCAATTCACAGTCAGATCACATTGATTAATATCAGAAGCATTTTGTTTTACAAATGTTAAAACTATTTTTATGCCTACAGATGTGAACCAAACCTGAAGGGGAACCATATTTTGCACACTCTAATCACAGATTTATGGATGTGAGCCTATGTATTTCTGTGCATTCATAAATAATATAGTTTTAAAGCATCAATGACCATGTTAAAATTGAAAAATGAAATTATGCATTTAAAATGTCAACCGTTATTCGCAAATGCACAGGAACGTATTTGAAAGAGTACGAAATGGGAAAGGTGCTTAGCTGACAAAGTATTACTCTGCACGGAGCACACACTCATTGCTTTAGATCAGTAGGTTGGGGGCAGATCGTATTTTTCTTTCCTGGCATCATATGATGTCATTAGATGTTTAATTAATGCAAATGGTTTACAGTTTATTGACTATCCCCACTTGTGGACTCAATGGATACAAGATTTGTGAACACAGAAACAATGGGTGGAGTGGGGGAGGAAATCCCATCTGTTCTTTTAAAATGGTGTCATCTGGCATTTGTCCTTTTTTCCTCACTCTGTGTTTCAGGAGTCGGGATTAAGGATCCATTATGTCGCTGCTGGGGAGAGGGGCAAACCCCTTATGCTGCTATTGCATGGGTTCCCAGAGTTCTGGTAATCGAATGATTTTATAATTTCCTGAATTAGTGACCGTCTCAGAGCCCATCTCCCTCTCTCCTTTACTGCATTGCATGTGTCACACAAGGTTGATTGTGGAAATGACTTGATTGTAAAGTGTTGAATGCAATGTGTTACCTCAAAGCAATATTGAATTGGAGCGATTTACATTTTAAAAGAGGAAAAAATATAAAGATATTTACCATCACTTTCCATTTTAATATATAATGTATACATGACATCAGAGATAGATAATCAGATAGACACCCATATAACTTCTATGTCATAGCAGAAACTTATGTATGGTTGAAGAGTACAAACGTGAAACATGATATACAGTGTATTTACATATCGTGTGTGTGTGTGTGTATATGAATATTATATAATACATGCAATATATTCCTGCAAATAGAAAAATATTCAGAGGTGAAATAAGTTCTGTGCTAGGTGGTAATGTTTTTTAATTAAAAACAGGATGAAAAAATCATCGCTGCTGAATTTAAACATGTTTCTGCTCTCTCTGTCTAGTCTTCCTGTTACACTTGTGCTCTCTGATGCAGGTATTCCTGGCGTTACCAGCTCCACGAGTTCAAGAGTGAATTCCGAGTTGTTGCAGTTGACTTGCGAGGCTATGGAGAATCAGACGCACCCACTGGTCAAGACAATTATAAACTGGATTGTTTGATCACAGATGTAAAGGATATTGTGGAATCCCTAGGTAGGTGAGTCAGCAGTTGGCAGCGAGCCTGGACTACTTTAATGGTATATCTGTTCCTATAGTTGCACCACTGGAGAATAAGCGAAGAACTTGATTCTCTTCCTCAATGGGATGTCAGTGTTGTGCTGGTAATTGTAGACGAGGGTTACCATTTGGGGCGTGTTGACATTTTGACCTAATTTCCATTGCTTTCAGTGCCTTGCACTGGTTTCTCAATTTAGCTCGTTACAGATCGGATTTACAACACTCATGGAGAAATAGCCGAGGAACTGAAAGGGCAGATGGTTAATTCCGATGACAACTGTCTTTTTAAATTGGCTTATTTAGGGCATTGTGTGTTAAAGACACACAAGGTATAGTTGTCAGTGCATTGATAGACGTAGCCTTACAGACAAAATTGGCATTTTCCACTAACTGATACGCAGCTGGCAACATTGCAGTATTTAAAAGAATCGCCACCATCAGCAGTGTGTTTATTTTAGAGTACTGTATTTTGAAACGGCAGCTACTAGTTAAATGATGGCTCATATAGCCCCATTTTCAAATGAGCTTCAAGAAATATCTGTCAGTACAGTAGAAGGGCTTATTATTTGGGTTTTAAAATCTTTGTTATGAATTTCACGATTTAGTCGGTCGACAGTGAACAGATTGCCACTGATTTATGGAATCCTTATAAGCACATTACAACATTTTAACAATAGCTTTGTAATTATTTGCAGTTTCTACTTAAACTTATTTTGATATCTAAGCTAATGACTATGAGACATGTCTGATTTGCAATGCATTTGGGATTTCTTTGGTCTGTTGAAGTTACCTATCCACACTGATGTGGCTTTCCTATTTTTAGATTCAGTTTCAATGCTGTTGGTACAGGAATATCACCACAGTTAGCAAGAACCCGTGAAATTTGACACTCGCGGTGAAGCTGTCTGGTGGAAAAACTAGTGTTCTAAACCTTCCATCGCACTTCAGGGTGGAACAGACCCCCACTGTTTTTAATTGCACAGCTGATTTCTGGACCAAAATATGACAGCTTCTGCAGCGCAGCTTTCTACAACCACAAGCTCAACGAGACAGAATGCAAAGTCCTGAGCTCGAGCCAATTTTATAGTTTAGGTTCATAGAAAATGATGATGTAGAAATAGTGTCAGATTTGGGTTTGAATCATTGTGTAAATAAAACAGTTTATTTATTTACAATAATAATAATCCTTGCATCTGATAAAGTGCCTTATCACGTCTTCGAGACGTCTCAAAGCGCTTCACAGAATATACAGTAAAGTGAACTGATTATATATTTTGTTGGAGAAATGGTAATTCGAAGGCAGACATTGTTTTACTATGTTCTTTTTCACAGATCTGAGTTTTATGTACCAGTTATTGGTTCCCATTTTCTGTGCAGGCTACAAGAAGTGTGTTCTGATTGGCCATGACTGGGGTGGAATGATCGCCTGGTGTTTTGCTATAAATTACCCTGAGATGGTAAATAAGATTGTCGTTTTGAACTGCCCACACCCCACTGCTTTTTGCGGTAAGTCTATTTTGCTGCATTTGAAATCTGTACACCAAGGTTTCTTTAAATCAGAACCAAAATATTAGTTTAGGAAAACTATCGTGTCATTCCTACTGTGTGTTGTACACAGAAAATCAGCCCAATTGGTAATAAACTCAAACTTAATACTATTTAAAGACTAAAGGGTACGCTCCTAAGAGATAGGTTGCTAAAATTATTGTCTGGAGAGAAACTGAGCCACACAGACCTAGAATGCCTCTGGGTTTGATTCCTCGTCTCTGCTGAGTTGGTTGATGTTAGTGGGGCTGCTACAAATGATCATTGTACTCCCAGACTATGAAGGGAAAAATCAGCCACTATTCTTGTTTCTGATCACAATCTAATGACCCTTGCTGGAAGGTATGTATGCGTGTTGTAAATGGATGAGGAAAGGAGACACATTATCGGTTCTGAGTTTAAAATTTCTCCTATTGATTAAATATTACTGGCAACAGATATATAGCAAGAAAGCAGAATTTTATCAGGGTTTTTCGATGAAGAACGAGCTTCACGTAATACACCAAAATATTATATCCTCTATGAGATCCAAAATAAACTCTGTTTTGTATATAGAGTATATAAATGCATGCATGACTATTAACTCCTCCGTGAGGTACTGTACAATCTGGTTATGTAAGGTTTGTCACCTTAAAAGCTATTTAATTCAGTTGCCAGTTGAATTCACAAGGGTGGTGCTAGCGAGGAGAGGATATAGTTACGATGAAAGGCTTAACACTTGAGACTATATTCAATGCTGCAGAAAAAGATTAAGCGGGTTCTAATAGTATTCAGAATTATGAAGGAATTTTTCTGAGGGTATAAAATGATGAGGCTATTTCTGCAGGTTGGTTGAGTTGATAACGGGCAATTTTTTTTACACAGAGGGTTATCGAGATGTGAAATATGTTGCTACATATGACTTTTAAAACAAAAGTATGATGTGGAATTTAAAATCGAAATAGCTAAAGATTTGAAGAAGGAAGATGTAAAAGTGTATGAGTCCTGTAGCTCAGTGTAGAGCACTCGCCTCGCAAGCAAGAGACCTGGGTTTGATTCCCGGCAGGGTGAAATCTTGAGCAAGTTTCCTTATTCCACAAGCCTGATAATAATACCTCAAGAAAAAAAAAAAAAATTAATTTGGTCACTCAATCCACGACTGTTTGTTGGACACTGCTGTGTGCAATTGGCTGCTGCATTTTGCCCACAAAATATACAGTCAATTCTGTGAATTACAGTATATTCTGTGAAGCACTTTGAGACATCTTGAAAAGTGCTATATCAGATGCAAGGATTATTATTTATTACCATATTATGAGGAAGGGCTACAGAAATGAGCTTAGAGTGGTAGAGCAAGGGAATCACAGACATAACAGACTGAATGGCCGCCTTCTGTGCTGATGTTTATAAGATGTTATGAACTGAATAAATTTATGGAACACCAATTCTTTGCATTGGATGCATCCTATAGACTTTTTGCTTTCATTTCTAAATTCTTATTGGGGCTCCTCAGTAATCATTGCTTCCTCATCTAAATGTTGAAAGTAATAACTGTACTCAATAATTCACTGTGAAGATGTATTCAAATGTTTTTCAGATTACATTGGACAACACCTCACCCAACTGATCAAGTCTAGTTACCTTTTCTTTTTCCAAGTGCCGTGGCTTCCTGAGTTTATGCTTACAATAAATGATTTCAAGGTGAGCAACAATTCAGCTACAAGCAATTTGGCAGAAACAGACTATGTGTAAATATATTTTTTAAATGTACACGGTAGTGAGTTTGAGGATGTGATTTAATTTCTAGGTTCAGATGGCTCCATAAACTAAATTAACTTTGATTTGTGGCTTTTGAATCCCTCGAATATTGTATCCAGTAAATCATCCAGGTGAAATTAATTTAGATATGGGTGTTCAGAATTCACCTCTGCTATCTCACCTCTGACAATTGGGAAAGATGGCAAAATTTAGGCTATTCCCCATTGAGAGGCAGAGGCTGAGTCAACTGAACACAGAAAGCAGCATCATTGACAATGAGTGCTTTCTTTTCTCGCCTCCTTGGATGGAATGGCAGACAATGCAAGGGGATCTACCAAGAACAACAACAAAATTACATTTGTATAGCGCCTTTCACGTCGGGAGGACCTCCCAAGGCGCTGGACAGACAGAGTTACTGACCCGGGGTCAGGGAGGGTGGAGGGCAGGGAGGGAAGCAGGGAGATCGAAAGCGTGGTCAAAGAGGAGGGTCTTTAGATGGGTCTTGAAGGAGGCAAGCGAGGGGCGAGGTGGAGGGACTGCGGGATGGAGTTCCAGAGGTGGGTGCAGAGTGGCGGAAGGCCTGCCTGCCATAGTGGGGTGAGTGAGGTGGGGGACGTGAAGCAGGCCAGAGCCCACTGAGCGGAGGGAGCAAGCATGATGGTAGAGGTTAGGAGGTCCCAGAGGTAGGGGGAGCAAGATCCTGGAGGGCTTTGAAGGTGAGGACCAGGATCTTGAACTGTATTCTTTGTGTGATGGCATCAAGTTCGACCCCCAATTATCCTCCCCCACATCCGGTCCCTCACCAGCACTGCTTTCTTGCACCTCCGACGCATCGTCCGTCTCTGCCAATAGCTCTCCCCAAAAGCCGCTGAAATCCTTGCCAGACTGCACTGACTGCCTATCCCAGAGAGGATCAATTTCAAGATCACCCTTGTATTCAAGTCCCTGCACTCCTCTGCACCCCCCTACCTCTATGACCTCCTCTCTCCTCAAAACAGTACCTGTTGCCTTCTTTCCTCCGGGTCTGGCCTCCTCCTCATCCCCCGAGTCCTCCGCTCCACCCTCAGTGGCCGTGCCTTCAGCCACTATGCCCCGAGGCTCTGGAACTCCCTTCCTCACTCCCTTCGTCTCGCTCCCTCCCTTCCTATTTTCAGGTCTCTGCTGAAGACCTTTCTTTTCGACTGCGTCTTTGGTCACCTTCCTCCCCCTCTCCCTCGCTCGGCCCCAGATCCGTTATTGTGAAGCGCTCTGAGACACCGTCCGGCGTGGAGGGCGCTATATAAATCCAAGTTGTTGTTGATGGGAAGCCCGTGGAATTGACAGGACAGAGTAAAAATGCATGAAAATTAGAGAGGGATCAATTCCCCTTACAACCTAAGAGAACATAAGAGATTTATCTTTTCAATCCCAAGAGGTATTCTTCCTCTGGTGCAGTGTTTCCAGCATATTAATCAATCACAAGATGCTAACAATATTCAATCTCATTTCCTGCTACAGGCGTTAAAATATTTATTCACCAGTCAGAGTACGGGTATCAGAAGAAAAGACTGCAGGATGACGGCAGATGAGATTGAAGCCTATTTATACGTCTTTTCCCAGCCTGGGGCATTCATTGGACCACTAAGCCACTACAGAAACATTTTCAGGTACAGGTATATTGCACATATATTAATAATCCTTGCATTTTCCGCAGTGCCTTTCACACTTTTGAGGATGTCGCAAAGTGCTTCACAGGATTTACTGTGAAGTGTAGTACTGTATTTTGCAGGCGAATAAAAGATTTGATCAGGACAAAGCCTTTACAAAAATAAATGCTGGTAGAGGTACACAAACTAAATTTAAAAGCCACCAAAGTAACCCATTACATGTGCCCTTTTATATCAATTTCCCAATACAACAACAATTCTTACAGGATTGCAAAGTGCCACCTCAATGCTGAGGTCTGAATCACTGTAGAAAAAAAGCTGTAAAAGCTATGCTCTATTTTAACTTGCTATGTTTATCACTGGTAATATTAGCAAGTACCGTATAGGACTGAATATATACTATTATAATTATCACTTATATTCCTTTGTAAATTGTGCACAATAGTTTTTATTACCATCAGTCTGAACTTTTTAATATAACATAATAAAGGTTCATGGATATCTTTTGAAATATAATATGTAAGAGATTGGCAAACTGAGATTGATAGAAAGGAGAATAAAGAAATTCAGACTTGTACTTTTGGACACCTTGATTATGGATATAATACAAGAACCAAATGTTCAGAATTGAAAGACACACCTCAAATTGCTTTTACTCTATGCCCTCGATGTATATTAAAGGTACTTAACTGCAGCCTTCTTGCCTGACCTGTGTGTAAAAAAGACCTTTGTTTAGATTGTTCTGTATTTTTTATTTCAATCAGGCAAAAACCAACAGCTACAATTTCCATGCGACGTGAGGTTAAAAAGTAGTGAATTACTAATAAACAGAGTGTGTTTTATTGTCTTTTACAGTAGTCTGCCCCTGAATCAGAATGAGGTGATATCACCCACCCTGTTGCTATGGGGAGAAAATGAAGTATTTCTGGAATTCGGAGCTGCAGAGGCTACACAGGCGTATGTGAAGAATCATTTCAGACTGAATATTGTGCCTGGTGCTAGTCACTGGCTTCAACAGGATCAACCAGAAGTGGTCAATAATTTGATTTGGGCTTTTTTAAAGGAGGAAGCCAAGTAAAACAAGCTGATGGCGATATTTTAAGATGAGAAAATGTTGCTGTCAATAGTGAATGTTTATCTGTGTTGCTTACCTGTTGCCGATTCCCTGTTCACATGCTGTCTAAAATCTTTCAGTGATATTTGGTGACTGTCTGCCTGTAAGATATTCACTTCGTTCACACACAAATTAGCAAAATATATGAAATTCCATTTAGTGTTGAAAAGAAAACAACTGGTTGTTGTATCCCTTTTGAAGTGTGATATATGGAATACGATTCATAGATCTTAAAACAAAAAAACTACCAGCTCCACACGCAGTATTCAGACTGATTGAAGAATTGTTTTAAAAAAAACACTAGGAAAATAGCTGACACACACAAAAGTTAAAATGTTATGGTTTGATGTTTTCTGAAGGCTTGGGGAAAGGGATGCAGTATTTTTAACTTGACGGAAGTTGGACACTCAGACAACATTTTAGCATTTATTCCTGAATCTTTGCACATAAAAACAATAGCCTTAAATCTTGTAAATAAGAAACTGTGATGTCACCATGTAAATGAGTGATGTATCGTGTGCTTGTTACTGCTTAATTTACTTGGTGGTGCCTTTCACTACTTAATAAGAAAACAATTCAAGAGTGCCGTTTCTGAAAAATATAAATGGATTGTTTATATTTTATTTAATATTTATAAGTTATGTAGATTGATGTTTATATGGACAAAAATCATACATAGAAAATAATGCTCTAATTAGTATTTGGTCTTCTGATATATATGTATATACACACAGAGACATTGAGCTACAGTAGTCAATTAGCACAGTACAATTGTGATTAATCTTGCGGCTGATTTTGTTCTTGGGAGGAACAATTCTACACAGACCTCCATCTAGTGGACCAGTTAACAAATGACTAGTAGCATCTTTGAGGAATAAGGTACTTGGTATTTGAGGCAACAGTTTGGAGTCCAGCATTGTGAGGCTAAACTCCAGAGCCACTTTTCCAGAAGAACCCTAAGGTCTCAGGTTTTTATTTTACTTTGACTCCATCAGATTAGAGAATCAGTGGAATTGATCCTTTGTGTTAGTGTCACTCCGACCAGTGTTTATTTGAGAAACAAAGTTAAAGAAACCTACACATTCCATACAACACAAAATTACATTTGTATCGCGCCTTTCACATTGGGAGGACATTCCAAGATGCTTGACAGTCAGGGATTTGGACATAAAAGTAAAAGAAAATACTGGGCACAATAGTTTAGAAAATGATCATTTGACTGTTCATGCCTGGAGTTGAATCCAATTTTAGCAAAGTGGGAGCATGTCTTAGGGGTTGGCTGAATTCAGTATTAATCAGGCAACTTAAATGGCTGATGCTCTAAATTACATCATTGTCTGAAAGACACACTGTACTGTACCCTAAGAAACTAAAATTAATCCACATTCTCCCAATTTAGTAGGGAAATTTTATGGCACTCTTTTACTTGCTCCATTTTTTCTTAATTCTATTCACCAATTTATATCTTTCAACATAGAACCTCTAAAACCTACATTTAAATCTGTCACCACTAATGTTTCAGCTAAGAACATATTCCCGATTGCTGCAAACTGGCATAAGTATATGCTGCTATTTCAGGTACACTTAAATATTTGGAGTCCTGTAGCTCAGTTGCAAGCGAGAGACCTGAGTTCAATTCCAGGCAGAGGGCGAAACCTTGGGCAAGTTTCCTTACTCCACACAGAGCCTAATAATAATCCCTCCAAAACCAAAAACAATAATAAATTGGTCATTTTCAATCTACGACTGTTTGTGGGACATTGCTGTGCGCAATTGGCTGCCGCGTTCGCCCACAAATATACAGTCAATTCACTTTACAGTGTGTTCTGTGAAGCGCTTTGGGACGTCCTCCAGACGTGAAAAGCGCTATATCAAATGCAAGGATTATTATTATATACCTCACTGATAACTTTGCTTCTGTAACTATAAGACTTCCAACAGAAATGCTGCACCCACAATTTAAAAAAAAAATTGAATTTACCTGGAATGTGTTTCTAAAATAAATTTACAAACTCATTCCAAATTAATGATAGACTTTTATTTGACACTTCCAAACTTTAAATTGACATGGCTCACCATTTGTTTCTTTAAAAGAAAATCTCCACAGCAAACCAGCTACTGGTGTCCTGTCAATACTCGTCAATAAGTTGGATACATTCAAGAGAGGAAGGATGCTTTCCTTTAATAGAGAAATTATTGTGGCATTTCTTTCTTGACCTGATGCATTTCGCTTGTTTTGTTAACTGAGAGTGAGGCGGTGACCACCTGCCCTCTCAGCTGAAGGAGGATGTGATTTATTTTTAAAAAAAACCTTAAAATTGTTCTGCTGCAATAACAAAATTACATTTGTGTAGTGCCTTTCATGTCGGGAGGAAGTCCCAGGGCACTACAAATGGATTACTCAGATGTGTAAAATGGCTCAAGGATCAAAAACCATCAAAGTGTTATTTTATATTACTCTGAATTTACTGACATTTTTGATACAAATCGTTTTGTTGAATTGCACAACAGAGGAACCACCTGAGACAATTTGTGTTCTGTTAGTTTCTATATATGAGCGTGACTGCACAGTAACTTTAGTGTGTGTAGTAATTGCTACTGTATTTAAAACTTTATTTAAAAAGTGCCAAATTGTGGTTTCACATTATATATTGTAGCTCTTCGGTGCAGTGTTTTCATGGATGCATGTTGAGCACAAGCTTAAAATACACTTGTATATTAGCAGCTGGAGCTCTGCACTCTTTGGTATCAGTATTTTTTTAAAGAGGAATTAATATTAAAGATCCTTAACTCCATATCAGTATTTAGCACTTTGGGCAGAAGGTATATTATCCGAGATGAAAGTGCCCATCTATCTGAAGAGTAAAGTTGTAAAACGTTATTTCCTGTGCCCCTTTTATGAGCCTGTGGAAGTACAAATCAATGTGTCTGTCCACTGTTAATTTTGTCTCTCTGAATGGCGCGGCAGATGCAAAACAAAAAATGGAGCAGCTGGACTGATGATAGGAACAAAAGAAAATTTATATCTCACTCCCTTTGTAACTATCGGCATAACTTTCGTGATAAGGAATTCTTTGCTATCTTCCAGTCCTCAGGTTCAAGCTCCTGCACAATGAGCAAATATTAACCAGGGCTGTGCCTTTTTTCCTTGAGTGAATCTTATAGTTCAAGGGGCCAATATACATTTAGTTTTAATGCTGCGTTGACTTCCGATGTTTATTGTTTTCCAAGCCAATTTGACTGGGTCTGGGATTTGTTCAGTCCTTGTTTACGAAACATGAGTGAAATTAATTTACCACATTGCAATGTGCTGTCTGGGAAAGCTAATATAGAAACCCTAGCTGAGGCAGAGATATGAACCTGGATTTCCCAGTGCCAGCCATAACACGCAAACATATTGTGCAATTGGCCCACAATTTTGCATTATTATTATTATTGCAACTTTATGTTTCTTGAGCATGAAATAAACCCCATCCAGGGAGACTGTCTTGAATACTGTCATTTTCTAATTGCATCTTTTCCGTTTTGGAATGGCAGATTAGCAACGATAGGCTTCATTGTATATGTTAAATATTTTCTTTATTGAAAAATAAAGATACAAATCTGAATCTTTTTTAATGATCTTCTTATTAATTTCTGTGGATTTCATTTAGCATTCTTCAGCCCTTTAATGTATTAAAAGTTTACTTGCCTCTTTGTGTTTCCCACCTAAATCCCTTTCATTTACATCTGTGTGGACATGCAAGTTATTTTGAGTACCAAACCATTTGTTTGCAGATTTTAAAGCAGACTTTTATTTCATAAGAACATGTATAGGATCATAAAACAATTATAACACTGGGCAAATCTTATCTACGACTTACCATGACTTGGTGCCCACAGGAAATAAATTTACTCACACACACAACGTACACATACTTATTTTGCTGCAGTGTACGATGTTTGTTCTGTGCTGCTAAAGCTGGAAAAATGATGTCTGAGGTGACACCGCTGGTGTTTAAATCTTTATTGAATTTTAGGTGACAGATCTGCTTGGAGTGAAAAACACCCCTGAGTGGGGTGCAAGCAATGCATAATGTTCCCCAAAATAGGATTTACTCACATCTTGCATTTAATAGGTCAGATATTCCCAACAGCATTTGTGTTTATCCATTCCTGATTCTGAACCCAGAAGGGAAATTGCTCTTTTTTTTACATTTCACTGTCCAGTCTCTATTCCCCGATGCCACAACATAACCCTGCATCATCACCAACACTAATGAGCTGGAAGAAAACCTACCGATTTCAGTGTGTGTTACTGGGCACGTTTTTAATCAAATACTTAACGGAGAACAATAATCTTTTACTAAAATTGCTGCTCTGCCATCCGCAGCACTTTGTCTAATTGTCTGGCATCATCGCTTTGGTCCCATCTACAGAGAGGACATCTCCAGAAGGGAACAAATGGAGTTCAACATTTTTTAAATTTATACATACCAATTAAAAGCTCCAGTTTACTCTGTGAACTGGGACTGGTTTTTAACACAGAGAGCCACAGCCAGGACAGGTTTACAATTGTGAGCACCTGATTGACATAAACAAATGAGAAAGTGCCCAATTGTGTTCTGCACGAATCACTGGAACTAGTTCTGACTTCAGCGGATGATTCAGCACTTCATAAACCGTCAGCAGCTGCAGGGTAGCCAATTATTACAAGATTATTCTTTACACAGTTTATGGAAGGGAGGCTTTGGGAAACTTGAGGGTATAACGAATGGACCCCTTCGGTAAAATTCCCCTGCAATTCATGGTAGTTTTGAAGTAATCAAAACAATTGGAGCTTTGTTACGTTCTTTATTTTGATTCAGAAATGCTGATGCGGTTCTCAGATGCTAACCTGGTTTACTCCACGTGGCTAGAGAACAATTTGCAACCTCGAAGAGAAGGGTCTTGAGACCGGCCTTGAAGGAGGCGAGGGAGGAAGCGAGGCGAAGGGGATGTGGGATGGAGTTCCAGAGTGTGGGGGCAGAGAAGCTGAAAGCCCGGCCACCGATGGTAGGGCGGGTCGGGCGGGAGACGTGGAACAGGCCAGAGCCTGATGAGCGGAGGGAGCGGGCAGGTTGGTAGGGAGTCAGCAAGTCAGAGAGGTAGACGGGGCAAGGCCATGGATGGCCTTAAAGGTGACTAAATAATATTGAGTGAACAAGCCTTCTCTTCGACCGTGCCTTTGGTCTCCCTCCCCCCTACACCACCCCTCCTCCCCCATGCTCGGACCCCAACATCTGACTGTTTAGCGCTTTGGGACGTCCTCCCGACATGAGAGGCGCTCTATAAATGTCATTTTGTTGTTGTTGTTGTATTGTTGATTGTCTCCCAACTTGGGTTTAGGGCGCCTTTAATAAAAATACTGACTGAACAAGCCTTTGCCGGCCATCCATTGGGGGCAAAGTCAAGCAGCTAAGCTAATACCCCCCTCCCCCACCCCCCCAATACACACACACACACACAGGTGTGGTGTGGGGGGAAAAAAAGGTGCAATCCTCGTGGTGCTGGTGATGGGCGGTGGGGGGCGGGGCGAGGAGTGGACAGATCTCGTCGCTGATTGGCTGGCAGCCGGCGTGACGCACGGGGGAACCCAATGGAACGCCACGCGGACTTCCGCATTATGACGTCACAGTGGGGCTGGGGTTCCCCTCCTCCCGGGTTCTTCAGTCAGTTTGACCCACAGCCCCAGTACTGACCTCCCACCCCAACCCCAGCACTGACCCACAGCCCCAGCACTGACCCCCCCAACCCCAGCACTGACCCACAGCCCCAGCACTGATCCCCCCAACCCCAGCACTGACCCACAGCCCCAGCACTGACCCCCCCCAACCCCAGCACTGACCCACAGCCCCAGTACTGACCCTCCCCCACCCCAGCACTGACCCCGCCCCACCAACCCCAGCACTGACCCCCCCCCAACCCCAGCACTGACCCTCCCCAACCCCAGCACTGACCCCCCCCACCCCAGCACTGACCCCCCCCAACCCCAGCACTGACCCCCCCCCAACCCCAGCACTGACCCCCCACCCCAGCACTGACCCCCCCAACCCCAGCACTGACCCCCCCCAACCCCAGCACTGACCCCCCCCCCCAACCCCAGCACTGACCCCCCCCACCCCAGCACTGACCCCCCCCAACCCAGCACTGACCCCCCCAACCCCAGCACTGACCCCCCCCCAACCCCAGCACTGACCCCCCCAACCCCAGCACTGACCCCCCCAACCCTAGCACTGACCCACCCCCAACTCCAGCCCTGACCCCTAGCCCTGAACCCTCCCCCCCCGAACCCCAGCCCTGAACCCCCCCCCCCGAACCCCAGCACTGACCCCCCCAACCCCACCCACCCACCCACCCCATTGTCAGTGTCCCTGAGCTGCCTGGTTCTCCGTGTAGCCGATGGTGGTGTTTGCAGCCGCCATCGGGAGTTTTGGCTTTTAATACATATACACACACATACATATACATATATATATATCTCTAATCCTTTCCCCGGGAGCGTCGAATGCACCGGGTTTTCTGATGTTTTCTGATGGTCGTCGGGACCGGTTAAGTCGGGTCGAAACGGCGGTCAAACGCGGCCGCTTCGTGGCCCTGTTCCGAGAGCTTCACGGTTTGGCCCAACTCGCGGCGGCGGCGGCGGCGGTGGTGGTGGCGGTGTTGAGTGGATGTGACCGTAAGGCGTTCGTTCATCTGTGTGCAAAGAGGAGAACTTTACTGACATCTCAGTCACTTCTGCCGCAGGTACTGTGTGATCCGGGATGAGTTCTTGCTCTCCAGTCGCTGCCCTATTCACTTCGGATATTTCCTGCTTTCAGTCTCTTTTTCCCCCCCCACACACTCCCCCTCTTATATAATGTTTGGTGTGCAGTGGCAGTGGAGATAACTGAGCAAATGGGTCACACACACACACACCAAAAAAAAAACAGCAGATTTATCGATCAGATGTTTTGCAAAGGGCGAGTTCACTGCGCTGAACGTGCAGTTACATGTGTAGCTGCTGTCGGGATGGGTTCTCTGGGGTTAACTGGAATCAATGCAAAGCCTCACATTTAACAGCCACAACTTGCATCTTTAACGTGAGCCTCAAACCTATAGAGTGAGGGAGACTGGGGCAGACCTGTTAGATTTAAAGATATTGATCAAATGCACAGCTGAAGAAATCAAAGGGGGTGGACAATTGAAGGCTTTGGGTTTGTGTGACCGAGAGATAAGATAACAAGGCAACAATGTTGATTTTTTTTTGTTTACGTGGGCAATGCATCTAAAGGTTCACACACAAATAATTGAATAATAATAATAATAATAATAATAATAATGAATGAATGAATGAAGGACCTGGAGAGTGAGCAATTAGACCAGAGCGATGGAGAGGGCATGGGCTGGGCTGGGAAGGCTGGAGCAGAATAGTAAAGGGATTTGAAGTCCAAGACTTTGAACTTGAACCAATTTATAAAAAATATGAATGCAGAAAATGGGCTTAAAGTTAATTATGAGGCCTGTGCAGCACTTTATGTAAGAGAGAACAAGGGAGGCATTTGGCAAAAATCTATCCTCCAGGCAGTGAAGGCGTATGGACCAGGGTTTCAGCAGTGGGGCTGTATTTCCTTTGGATCATCTATTATATCTTGGGGGATGTTGAGTGCTTTATCACAATGACTGCTTTTTGGTCTTCAAACATCAACTGAATTTCACCTACCCATTACTGATAAAGAATGACCTATATTGTATCTTAAATGCAGTCAACGTTGTGTTTTACAAGGCTTCTTGTTTTATTGTACAAAGTGTAAATTTAAAATGCTTTTCAGTGCTCAGATGCAATCTTACACGAAGGGTGCTCTATAAATGCAGGTTGTTTTTGTTGTAATTTCAAAGTTGTCTTTGAGTTGAAATGTAAACAAGATAATAGAGATTCTTCAATACTCGGAGAAGCTACTGTACATCACAAAATACAACAACAACAAGATTCCATTTATAGAGCGCCTTTCACGTCGGGAGGACGTCCCAAAGCGCTGGACAGTTGGGTCAGGACCCGAGCAGGGGGGGAATGGTCAGGGTGAGGGGAGGGAAGGGAGGGAGCGAGGAAGGGGGAAATGGTCCGGGTGAGGGGAGGGAAGGGAGGGAGCGAGGAGGGGGGAAATGGTCTGGGTGAGGGGAGGGAAGGGAGGGAGCGAGGAGGGGGTAGAGAGTCGAGAGGGGAGCTGAAGGCACGGTCAAAGAGAAAGGTCTTGAGACCGGCCTTGAAGGAGGAAAGGGAGGAAGCGGTGAAGGCACTGGGGGATAGAGTTCCAGAGCCTCGGGGCTGAGAGGCTGAAGGCGCGGCCACCGATGGTAGGACGGTTGGGGCGGGGGATGTGGAGCAGACCGGAGCCAGAGGAACGGAGGGTACAGGCAGGTAAGTAGGGGGATAGTAAAATGTGACTAGAATGGATACTGAATGTATTTAATGGCATGCTGACTATACATTTGTAGTATAAATATTTGTAATATAAACATTTGGCTTGTTACAAATGTATAAGATACAATTCTAAAGTATAACCAAATATTTAAGTATCTCCTATTCCTTTTTGTCTTATAGTTTTCAACTACATAAGAGAATTCTGTCCACAAAATAAATTTAATCACCGGCTTGAAGTTAGAAAATATGGATTGATAAATACCAAAATTGTTTGAATATTTTCAGTCAGTTAGTTTAACTTTATATTACCTGTACACCCTATTTTTGCTTTATTTCCTATTTTAAAGATGTTCATGATTGTAACATTTACTGTGCCAATAATTTGCCAAACTAGAAATCTGAACCAGTCCTGTGCAAAATGAAATGTACTGTTTTGGGAGATTTTACTGAAGGCAAAATAACAAATGTGTGACCTCCTGCAAAACAAAATGCAAATTAAAGGCTTTTGGAATCTAATTTAGTTAGTAACTTAAACGCACATTTGTGGTTTAAAAATCTTATGATACAGGAACCTTTATGTGCCATACTTTTAAATAAAGATTTACTTGATTCATGTTATAGTCATGTATGACATTCTTTGTTGTCCTTTTTTAATAGGGCTTTTTGTGGCATGATTAAAAAGAAACAACAACAAGGCTAATCTAATCCATTTCTTTAGAAATGGCAACGTGGAATGAAAAAGTTGTCAACCGAATACAAAATCTGGAAATGACCAAAGGTTTCCAAGAAAGAGTACGAAATGAAAGACAAATATTGAGGGAAACTCTAGCTTTGCAGCTAAATCAGGATCTTCTCAGGTACGAAAAAATATCCCATTTTGCACGTCCCAATTGATAATCACACTCAAATCCATATTTTCTTTTCTGTATTTGCAAATTGATATTCCATTATGTAGATGTTATGTCACGGTTATGTCAAGGTACAAAACCTTATGTTTATCCGCATTACCTTTTCTCTGGCTTGGGCATCTTATCCAATAAGTAGATGAGCCATAAAATCATAACGGTCTTAGGGTTGAGTGTAGTTGATACTAGCTTAGTTGATCTCAGCCAGAGTGGCGGTAGAGGTGCTTTAATTGGCCTCAGCATCCTTGGGAAAAGGAAATCAGCCAAAGTTCCCAAATTTAATCTCTTATCTGCTGCAAAACAGCATTTACGGGAACTTGAAGGCTTTTCACTTTTGATGGGCAAATTGAAAAGTGAGACAAATAACTTTGGATGTTTCCTTTCCACTCTAACCTGAATATGCTGTTTTGTGTTTTCACCAGGCGAGAATAAAGCATTAGCTTTTAGTTAGCATCCAGGATGGTGTAAAAATAGACATGCAGTAAAGTGTCTCTAGGCATGGTTACAAAAATTAAAGTGCTAAATGGGAATTGGAGCAGCTTATCATTTATACATACAGGATGTTCATTAGGCTTCTGCTGAGGGTGATTTGACATTGTCTTTGGTGTATTTTTTTTCCAGTATTATTCAAGAACACATTGTTTCCATAACTCGCCAGGATACAAATATTGATAAACATGATTTAGATTGAAAGAAATTATTTAACAATGTACACTTGCTAACCAGATGTTTATCATTCTCACATCTTTAAAAGCTGTCATTAATTTTGTAATAGTAGGTTGAAAATTGCAGACAATGGATGAATTGAATCAAACCAATTTAATTTAATAAAACAATACATTTTCCAAATTACAGAATTTAACACTTATTTTTGATTCCAGAAAGAATGTAATTGCCCCTCAATTAAACTAAGTAATGATTGAATTTTCATACGTGAGGAAGTATATTCTCTCACATTTGAGTTACTCTTGGCGGATTCCAAACCCACCATCTTGCGTATGATTTTTCAGATGCTCAATTTGAAATAGATTGTTAAAGTTCAACCAGTCAAGGGTGATGAAAAGGATCAGGAATAGAAACAGTCAGGAACAAGTTTATAAAGTGTAGTTTAAGAAAATGGAGATTTCAGACAGTTCTATAGGTATGTGGAGCAAATTGCCAATGAAGGCCATAGGAGCATATAGTACAAATGGGTTTTCAAGAGACTAGATTATGGTTCAGAACTCGAAAGAGCCTTTAGTGATAGGTGAGACGTCAGGAAGATGCTGTACAATTAAACTGAAAGTATTTGGGTTTAAATGGCATGGCTCTAAATTATCTTGTGTCTCTCTATGTCAATTCCAATTTGAATTCTGGCATAATAAATGCATCCAATATGACACATTACTTTCCAGTGTGCTTGAAACATTTGTTTATTGTTATATTTTACCAAATTTAATTTCTAACAATTTGAACTTGATATCCAAGAAGGAAAATGATCGGGTGAAACCAATTTGGGGCAATTGTTTGTTCACGTTAATGTGTTAATAAGTGTGTACATAACATTTGAAAAGTAAAGGAGATGGGATGAAAAATGTTGGGGGGAAAAGGAAATCAATCCCACAAACTGAAAGTGGCAATTATTTGGAGCAAATGCATTTGCAACTGATATAAGGTAGTCATATTACAGGAAAGCGTGATTTTAAAATTAATGTAATGGTCAAATGGTGTGTGCCAACTCCAAAAGTAATTTCCTTCACTTTGTGGTTTATTTAGATAAATGTTTTCCCATGTAATGAATTAAATATAACTCATAAATTCTTCACTGACACTCATCGAGTGGCTGTGAACTTCTTGTTAACGTTTATTGGAAAATTGGAGAAACCTTTTAGGTTGACTTGAGTCAAGTACAGAAACACTCCTGTAGACTAGTGAAATATCTGATGTCACAGATGTTCTCTTCAGGGGTATCTTGAAAAGTCAGACTTTTATTGAAGAGGTGATTAAAGGGGATTTTGGGTGAGAAATACCACAAATCTTAGACTGCTTCATTTTAGTACTTCAAGCAGGCCAAAGTTTTGCAATACAAGAGATCTAGAAATGTGTAAATGTAAAAAAAGAAAAACCTGGTACCATAACCTACTGTATTATAGTCTTATTCTCTGAGCCATTCAGTAGTTCGATATGTACTTTTATGTTCCACTATTTTCATACACCATGTGCGAGGGTTCCTCCCACCCTTTCCCTCACTCCCCTAACCGTCTTGTGATGAGTTCTGAATCCACATTGCTGTCCAGCACATGATTCAATAGTTTGTTTCTTGTAGACAAAATTACCAATGCTAATGATGCAAGACCTTAAAATGTTGGCTCTTCTACTAATATTCCTAATGTTCATCGCTAAAATGTTTCTTAATACACCACTGAACAAAATATAGCCTTCGATGGAGGAAATTCAGTGTAAGACTGTCATAGAATACTAAACTACTGATCTGTTCCACCTTGTGTTTTAAAGGCTTCTAACGGAAGGAATGCAAACAGATGTCACTTTCCATGTAGGATCAACTGTGTTCAAGGCTCACAAAGCAGTGCTGCTCGCCAGGGTCCCAGAGTTTTTCATGAGAATTTCTGAGAAACAGACTTCTAAGAACCAACCAGATATCATTAACATAGAGAATTTCAAACCTTCAGAGTTTCAAGAATTTCTGCAGTAAGTACTGTACATATTATTATGTACATGTTTGTAACAAAGAGAAGTCGCTGGGAATACTCACCTGCTGAGTGGTCTCAGCGACTTCTGTTTTTTTTCAGATTTCCAGCATCTGCAGTGTTTTGCGTTTTACTGAACATGTTTGTACTTGATGCCAAATTTAATCTTGATGTACAAACATATCAGTTTGAGAAATGGGAAAAGGTGTCAAATTACAAAACTGAAAATAATTAACAGATATGGTGAATCTGAATGGCTTCTCTATCATTGGGTTGGAAAGGTTTATTTCTCTTGGATTTGAGATGTATTCTAAGTAGTCAGACAGATAAGGCGACATAGTAATTGAAATGGTTTGTAGCGCTCTTGGTAATCTTATTATTTTTAATCCCAATTTAATTGATCGACCCAAATAGGTCTCCTTCAAAATGTTTGTTTTGTGGTCGTCTGTTGGCTGTAGGAAAACCTACTTTAACAGATTATATAACCAATGTCACTTGAGATTAGCTATAGTAAAATCAATTCCTCTTTGTGATCAATTCTTCTGTGATCCTCTGTACTCTGTTAACAGAATGTACTGTAGCTCTGTGTAAGCAACTGGCAGAATGGGTTGCTGACGGGCTATTGTAATTGAAATCATGATACACAAACGTAAACTGTTTAGTGCAAAATAGGAAGTGTTTCTATACAAAGCCAATGACATTCAACATAGATCTGAGTGCTTGAACATAAAATATATGAATAAGTAAATGTTAGAAGGAATTCAGAAAGTGCATTGCACTTGGGTCTGTTGCATTAGAGTATCTAGGGGATAAAGAGACTTGGTTATCTCACAACAGGAGACTTTGTGTCTCACCATTATCTGTGTTGGTATCCAGGGATCTCTGAGCTGTGTTTTCAAAGGTCTTCAAAGCGACAGAAGAAAAAAAAAGCCTCAGATTTTCCTTTGCAAATGGGAAGTGGCTTCACTGCAATGAAGGTTTTCTTGCAAATTGAGAGACCTGAACCTTTTGATTGTTTCACTGCAAAAATGCTCCTCTTTTGTATTCACTGAGTGCATTCAGCAATAGTTTTATTTTTAACTACACAATTGGGTCTATTCTGATTTTAATTGAAGTGAAATTGGCACGAATTTTGTACTTCCTCAATCAGACTAGTGTTGTTAGCTGGCGAAACCCTCGGTTGGAGGTGTATTTAAGGCTATTTGTTTAAGGGTTGACATGGCTTTCAGGTTTCTGATTTAATGTGGCACGTTTATTGCTGTATTTTATTCCTTTATTTAAAGCCAATTACTTACATAATGTGTAACAGCAATAAAATGGTGCAAAGGCAGTGTACAGTATATACTCCACCCTCCTAACCCTCTCTCTCATAGCTCACTGTTCCATTCTCCCTCATGTATGATTCAAATTTCCTTTTGAACGGGTTAATATTTTCTGCCTCCAACACAGCTATTATCTCACAAAGAGATGGTGTTGAATGTTATGTAAAATCTCTATTTATGTAGGAATCCTGTGTCAGTCCTTAAAGAATTAAACACAGAACTGAAAGATTCTGGTACATTTGCACACAGTTGGCTGTTGTAAATGACTATGAAAGTCAGTTGTAAATATCCGAATGATGCAGTGGTAAAATGCTTAAGGGGATTTGTGCTATTTTTAAATGGCCTGTATGTCAAGAATCATTCAGCTCCTTAATGGCATCTATTCAGACAATGGAGGACATGAATTCAGTGACCCTTGTAAAGGAATAATGCTCAAATTGTGGTCTAAATGTGCAGAACAAAACCGCTTTTTAAAGTAAATGCCGCATTTGAATGACTAAAGCGTCACATTGTGAAACTCAATTGCTTTTGAGCAAATTATTTTGTCAAAATGAAACTGGGTGGGGGAGAGGAAGGTTAACATATAAGTGTTTGATTAGGTGTATGATTTATTTTGTTTTTAAAAATCCTACTGTACACTCGAAATGGAAGCATCCAAATGCTCTCATGCAAAAAAANGTATAAGTGCTCAAGGTTCTTAAATGCTTTTGCCACCTGTTCTTTACTGATCTCGTGCTTTCACTCTCTTCGGACAGACAAAAAAGCAAAGAAGCTTCTTGCTCCCAGGCTTCTGCCAATGCTAGGAGGTGACTAAATACAGCCTAGAGATGATGAGACTTCTCTACTGGCTTTCCATTTGCTGTGGTTAAAGCACTTGGATTCTCAAGCATCTGTGTTGTCACTCCGTGGTGCCCAGCTCCACTTGTGGGAGATTGCATGCACAGTTCAGTTGCATTATGTTGATTTAGCAGTAACTAGGAACCTGGTTGTTAGTCGATTGATGGATTGTTTTTCTGGTGGTAATAATCCCTTAAAAAAAATAATAATTTGGTCACTGAATCCATGACTGCTTGTTGGATGCTGCTGTGTGCAATTGGCTGCACCATTTCACCCACAAATAAACAGCCAATTCACTTTACAGTCTATTCTGTGAAGCGCTTTGAGACGCCTAGAAGGCGTGAAAACGCTATATCAAATGAAAGGATTATTATATCAAATGTAAAAATGCAAGGTTTTTTTGGTGTTTGTTTTTTTAAAAAACAATCAATGGTACGAAAGCATAGAATGTGACAAGCCATTTAGATCCCATATAGGGCACGTTTATCAAATGAACCGTATACAAATTTTGATTTTCTGTGAGATAAGAAAGGACGATTCCAAGGAACCTTCTTAATTTGAAGTCTGCAACATATTTTGTTTGCTTGGTTTCGGTAACATAAGACTTGATTCGATGTATAACCCCTATGGAAAGCAAAAACAAAACAAAAAAATTTCAGAAATGGAGTGGATGATTCTTTTTTCTTGCCTTTGACTCCTCAAACCTGGATTCAAAACCAGCTATACTGATGGGTTGAAATGTTGGGCACTTTGCCAGCTAAATTACAGTTGGCCAAAGTCTGCTCAGTTTCTCATTGGCATAGCCCATTGCACATGATGGTTCACAATATGGCACTAAACTGTCAAGGTCACTCAGAGAGGACAGGAAAGTGGAACTAGCCAAAAGGTAATTAATGCTAACTATTATTTTACATTTATAACACCTTTCACATCTGGAGGGTTTCTTAAAATGCTTCATGCAGGTGTGTAGACAACCAAGCCAACAGGAGAGGAGCTGAAGGGGTGGAAAAGATGATCAAAAGCGCAGTTTGAGGCAAGTCTTAAAATGGACTTTAAAAGTGGGCTGGTAAGAGATGAGACAGAGGGACCATGGATGGTGGGGCTAATCAGGGCAAGGAACATGAAGCAGGCCAGTGTTTCAGATCTTTAATGCATGCAATACATTGGAAAACCGGAAACATTCAGTTGCCTTGTTTAAAGTCAACTACTTATAAATTAAATTACTGTTCAGGGTTTTGTGGTGTGGGAAGAATCGTCAGAATATCTTCCTTTATTGTAGGAAGATATTTTCAATGGTTTTTCCTACATGATATATTGAATTGCACCTATGACACACAAGAACAGATTCCTCCGCTTTGATTGAACTACAGCCCTTCACATGTACTGTGAAGACAGCTGGCTTTCTAGGAGTCAGGCGTGGATTTATCACATTGCCAGTGAAAAGAATTATATTGCTGAACAAACCGGAAATGATGCACCCTGAAGCTGAAGGCTGGCTTTTGACTTTCAGCAGGTTTACAATTCATTAGGGAATTTGATGAGAGAACACAAGGTATAGGTTAGCTGACAAGGCAACCACTCTGTATGCTGGAACATCTAAAAATGCGTGTGAATAAAAGTATTCAAAATAAAGATTTATATATTGTTGATGGGAGTGGGGGAAAGATTTTACAGGTCGGAAGGGGAAATTTGGAAATATAAATCACTACAGAAACATTTTCCCGTGTTTCACTAAAAATCTTTGCAGGAAATGTTTTTGGGCTTAAAATAGAAATATGAGAGTGTTAGTTGCAGGAGAGAAAGGGGTTCTATTTCAAGACTGTTGCTGTTTTAGAACTGTTAACACGGCTTCTCTCTGTCAAATTAGTGCAAGCTTTTCGGATTAATTTCCTTTATTCCCACACACTGCTGATCTTTCATTTTGGAGTATTTTGATCTAACTGTGAGTGCTGATGACCTAACTAGTAAATTGGACAACCCAATAAATCTGACTATTTTTGAGTTGAATTAACAATCACAGTTCAATGACTTATCTTAAAGGACAGCAAATAAAATAATTTAATGTACTACATTTAAAAAATGCAGGCAATCTGATTCTATTTAAAAAAATCAATGCATAATTTTAATATAAAGTAGGGTCTTCGTAGTCGTTGGAGAGTGACTATCAAGAGGAAATGTTAATGGATTGACAGGGCTTAAAGGCAAATAGTGCAATCTAATGTAGGTGCTTTTCCCAACCCTTTAGCCGTGTGGAGTTTGCAGTTACTTGTAATCCTGTAATCCTTTACTTGCAATTGGTTCCCTATATTCAGCTTGGTAGCTCTGCTGCTTCAGAGTTAGAAGGTTGTACGTTCAAGATCAATGTCAGGTTTTGAGCTTGTAACCTAGGATTGTGCTGAAGGGAAATGCTGCATTGTTAAGCAGGGGTATCCTTCAGGGATGGGATATTAAACCAAGGTCCTGCCTTGATGCTGTTCTGGTGATTTAGGTGGATGTTAAGAGATCTTGTTAATCAGCTAATCTGAAATGGCATAAATGTGCAACACTCAAATTGCATTATTAATTGTAGTTCATTTTCACTCATTTTATAAATTTAAATATATTCTGAAAAACTGGGATATGGTTTAAATCCTGTTATGAATACAGACTGTGTTGTACACACAAAGACAGTGATGAATCTTTGTATTTCATTCCCTGTATTCACAGGAGGTTTTGAGTGCTGAGATGCTAGTAGATGAGGTCTACGTGTTATAATGTTTCTTTTTAATTCTGTATTAGATGGGTGTATACGGCAGGCAGAAAAGTGAACCATCTGGAAGAAGAAATGCTTGCTGCTCAAAGCCTTGATGGAACCAAAGATTTGCCAAAAGACCCCAATTTCCCATTACACAGCTCTATTGAGATGAGTGGTGATGAAGTCAATGATACAAGAATTCTATCTGGTCGGCATTCTTCTGGTAAAGAGACTTCAGAGCTGAATGAGATGTTGACCTCGAGCTTGTTGGAAGATGACATGCCTGAGGGAATGTTTGATTTGCCTGAGGGAATGTTTGATATGTTTGAGGAAACTGAGGAAAAGTATGAAACAGTAACGGAAGGTAGGACGAAAATTGCAGAGATCATTTTATTCCTGTCTTCCTTTATTTTTCTTCATTTCTCTCTCTTCCTCAACCATCACATTAGCTCGCTAACATTTAACAGATTTACCTTTTTATCAGAAACAAAATATTGTATGAATTTCTAATTAATTTTGTGCGTAAAAAAAAAAATGTTATTTGTTATTTTTTATTTACGCAATCAGCAGTAGTAGGCAAATGCTAAATCGGCAGCTACCTCTATTACACACTAAAACATTAGGATATATTTTTCTTGTACAAGCTGCATTCCTGTCATTTAAATGCCTGGAATTTATTTGCTTAAATGTTAAATAATGTGAACACCATTAATGGCTTCTGTTATGTTTACAAGTGCTAGGATAAAAAAATTGCCAAATTAATATCAAGAACTGACTTGAATTGTATTACAGCTTTATTAATATAATAACACAATGAATAATCCAAACAGTAAACCTGGTCCACCTAGCCGACCCATCCAACTTGCCTAAAGAATCCTTCAGCACATCTGTCTCATTTCCCAATAACTCTGAACTTATCTTGGTTCTCTTCTGAAACCCTTTATACAGTAGTTCTCTGTTCCTCCATCTATGCCGGCAGTTTTTTCCACTTGTCTACTGGCCTTTCACAGTTAAAATTTATATCTCAATCTTCCATTTTTATTCCAAATTGTCTCTAACTTTGAAGTTATCGTCTCTTGTTCTATAAAACTGAATAAATCCCATTTCCTTCCTTTCGGTGTAACATTTGGAGATCCAGGTACATTTGCATCTTGTGTCTTGAACAGATTCCCCTACACCAGACCCAGCATCCGTGTTGGGCGCAGATCTGTTGTCTCTGTACAAGGAAGGATGTTGCTCTGACATAACTCTTTATGCTGAGAACAAAGGTTTTCAAGCACACAGGTAAAGTGCGATCTCGGGATTTTTTTTCACGAGAAGGAATAACATTTACTAAAGAGCCAACTGAACCAATTTAGAAAGTTTGTTTATGTACCTGTCTTATTTTATTGATATGACTAGAAGTAGTCAGACTTTCTGCCCCACATTCTGGAGCTCCATCCCGGAGTCCCTCCGACTCACTCCCTCTCTCACCTCATTCAAAGTCTGTCTTGAGACCTACCTTTTTGACTGTGGTTTTCATCATTTCTCCCCCCACCCACACACACCCCCGCCCCACCCAGTTCAAGTGCGTATTCAGTACTGTTAAGCACTTTGCGATGTCGTCAAAGTGAAGTAGTAACTAACGTGGCCAAAAGCATCAGACGCTTTAGGAAATGTCACTCAAGAATATTTGCTAAGAAATGTAAACAGGAGCACAAAGGTTTTATGATTGTGGTCTTTTTGTCCCCTCCCCCAATCCATCCCTCCTGGCTATTTTTGTCTTTCGCATCGTAGATAACTCAGCCTAAACTTGTCACAAATTGCCTTGTCTTGCAAGCTCATGTTTAAATAAAAGCTGAGACTTTTCCAGTGCTGCAACTCCCAGTTGTCTGTTCAACTCTTAGTTGCTTTTTGTGAAATGGTTAATGAGATTGGAAGTTCTTCAATCCTTAATCTATATATTCACTGTTTTTACAATTGCTTCTATCACGTCTCCCTAATGCGAGTTTTATTTATGCGCATGTTTTGAGATGAACATGTTCCACGTTGAGATAAAAATCACGAAAACATTTTTTGAAAAGAATCTTGGCAAACTCAGCAGTATTCTAAAAGATTGTTTTGCAGTGAAGATTTTAATGTGTTCTGGCTTCCAGGGCCATCCTGTGTGCTCGCTCCAGTTATTTTGCTGCAATGCTGAGCGGCAATTGGGCAGAAAGCTTTCAGGAGGACATCACGCTGACTGGGTAGGTATGTTTAAATGGCCAGGAAAAGAGGGAACAGTTTTCCAAGGTCATTAAAGCTTAAAGGTACAAAAGGGACCAATTGTCAAATATCTAGGAAATTTACCAGTTTGGTTGAGAGAATTTCTCTGATCGGTCGGTAATTTTAGTGTGTGTTCAAAATATTTTCAGTCTCATTATGACACTAATTGTCTTTAGTTTGGAAGGAAAACCAGATGTCACAGAAGTGGCATGTTCTTATTTGCATCCTCCAAAAGATCTGTGTAACTATGAAACACTTTAAATAGCTGCTTGAAGTGAATGTTCAGTGTCTGTAACTGATTTTTCTTCCCTATTGTTGCATTCCAACTGATGTTTAAAGATTTCATGAAAAAGTGCCAGGAGCTTTAAATAAACTCTATCTGATTATTTCTTAATTTTAATCCGTTTTGACAATACAAATGTCCTATATGGCACGAAGCCCAGAAACCATCAGTGTTAAACTTACTTGGAAACATCCTCTTGATTGAGTTATGTAAGTGTCTTAATTAAGGGCATATTTAGCATTACATCTGTATTTTCCTACAAGCAAAATACATTTTGGAAAGAGTTTACGATTATTTGGAAAATGGATCGATTCTAAATGTTGGATTACTGTGCTATTGGTCCTTTCAATCTTAATTTCTGCTTCAAAGCTTTTTGGCAAAAACAGCAAGCTGCAAAGTTAATGCTATGATAATAGCTACAGGCCAGCATATTAAACAGACTTTGAGTTGTCTTGAATGCTTCGATCCAAATCATCATAATAATAGCAATAATAATAATCCTTGCATTTGTTAGAGCATGTTGTTGAGACTTGTCAAAGAGTTGTCCAACGTTCTTATGCCCTAGTTGTAATATCTCCTGTTTTGCTTTGTTAATCTCCAGCTGCCCTAATTTAATGAGCAGAACTGGCAATGCTGACAAATCACAATGTTTTGGTGTTTGCATTAAAAAACCTTCACAATCCAAGTTTATAAATACTTATATAGTATGGTTCCCAAAATGGGTTTTATACTTGTTTGCAGTGTAAGCCATTTGGAGATGGACATTATGATGAACTATTTATACGGGGCCCTTTTAGACTTACCGAAAAAAGCTGTTCCTTGGTAAGTATTATTGTTCTTATTGCGCTTGTATTTTGGCCTAGAATAAGGTGGTGCTTATCCATACAACTAAATGTTTTGTAATCTGTGACTATTTAATCATGAAATATTTTAGGACTACAGTATTGCTAAAGTCTTCCATTAACTTCATGTACATTTGTTGCAATATATGCATCACTGATTTAAACACAGCTCATTTTCTCCAAAGAAATGCCTCAAAATGGTTTGAACCCTAAATAGACCTATATTGGATTGTTTCGGCCATTTGCCTTTGACAAATGCAAGGGTGCAATAATCCTTACATTTGGTACAGCACCTTCCACACCAAGTATGTCCCAACGTACTTCACAGGATGTACTGTAAAGTGTAGTGACTGTGTTTTGTGACAAACGAGGCAGCCAAGTTGCACACAGCAATGTTCCAAGATATTGTATTGGGACACAATTGCATAAGAGTTGGAAACCTGTGTCATCAGAACAAACCTCCCTCACTGTAAGGAATCGAATGCTTTATTCTGTCGTTTGTTTTTGAAAAAAAAGCTTGGTATTTGACAATATAACATGAAGATAATTGGAGAATAATTTATAACTGTGCAAGCCTGCCCTTTTCTGTATTTTTAACAGCTGTTAACTTTTACGCAATGCTTGGAATATCTTGTTAGCGAGATCTTTTCAACCTTGGATAGTTTTCAGAACCATGGATAGTGACCCTCAGCAGGCTGGTTGGGCCACAGAAAAGTTATACAGTGCAGGAAAATATAATGGGAAAATGAATTTCTGTTGCGAGTGTGTTTGTTCAAAATTCTGCAGTTAAATATGGTCTTGACTCAGTTAATAGCACTCTTGCCTCTGGGGCAGAAGGTTGTCGTCCAAGGCCTTGTCAAGGACTTTGGGGTCATGGTCTAAGCTGACATTGTCTAAGAGACACTGCGCTACATGGAGGGTGGCCAACAATCCTCCTGTTAAATTAACCATTCACCTCCTGGCTGTTTGTGGGACATTGCTGTGTACAAATTAACTGCTATGTTTATCTACAAATACCCACTGCATAGTAACTAACATTGTATCAACCTATATCAATATAGGCCCTGTATCAAATCTAAGGATGACTATTGTTATTTGAAAGATGAGGAAATAATAAACCTAACTTGTCCAGTTGCAAGGAAGACAATATTGGATTAAAAGTAACGAAAATGTTGAAGTGACATCTTTCCAGCACACTTTGCCATCATGACATTGCCAAACTATGCTTCAAGATCCATTTACAAATCTTGTGCTTCAGATCAATCAACCAATGTTATTCTTTCCCCACTCAGGGCTGAGTCTGAATTGTTCAAGTAATTTCTCTCTGGGTTATACTCCAGGGTCCTTTTTTTGCACACACCTTAAAAGGCACTAAGATCTGACAGGCGAAACTTGGCAGTTTTATGAGTTTGCCATTGTATACTTGGGAGCAACAGAGGTTGTTGGTTATTGTGGTGTTTGTTTATAGATTTTTATGGGGAGGAGGGGAGAATCTCTAACAATCTTTTACTTGGCTAGTTTCCAGGAAGCACATAATGACAAGCACCTGCTGTATATATCTCAGATCAGATTACATTGATGTAACAGCAAATATGACTAGCCCATACATATGTGCTATGGAGAAACTGATATCAGAACATGGAAGGGGAAATGTTTGGACTTGGTTTCTTTCTCAGAACCATTATGGTAACCAGAAACTGCTAGAAGCTTTGGTTGCTTTAAAATTAAACTTATCTAATGGGGATTTTTCTTTTCATTTGGTGTCGTTTCAGTTTGAGTAGTGGTCATGGCATGCTTTTGAGCTCTTTTTTCTAAAAATGAACCCCAAATTAATTTGTGAAACATTTATGTTCAACAAACTATCTTTTACAGTAGTTGGAAGAATAAATAGAAATTGCAGCACAGAAGGCGTCCATTGTTTTTGCTGTTTCTTTGAAAAAGCAATCCATTCAGCCCCATTTATGAGCCTTTCCCCATACCTGCACATTACTTTTTCAATATCTATTTAATTCTATCAAGTATGGATTCTGTCTTGACTGTCACACCAAGCAGAGCATTTCACATCATAACAATATCCTGCATAAAACAAATTCCTTCTAATCTACTCCCTTTTCTTCAATACTAATATATTTTAAATTGATATTCTCCATCCTTACAATTGCTAGCAGCTATTTGGCTCAACAGCAACATTGCAACAATGATACTCAAGGGTACTAATGCTATCTTTTGGTGTACACCTGATAGATGAAAATCAATTGATGAACTAACTTGAGTCTGACACAGCACTGAGAGGGGAAGGAATACCAAATAGAAAGATTTGTAAAGATACAAAATTCCTATTTGAACAAGAACCATAAATTTAATTAAAACGACAAGAATGTATGAATAAGGCATGTGTGAAGCATGAGTTGGCAGAACCTATAAAGATCCGAAAAATGGAATGCAACAGGAAAGTGGAATTTTATGTGTATTATTCCATATTTGTTTAACCATTTTTTGTTGTTTCAGTTCTATCCTGCTGTTAGCAGATATGTACAATTTAGATGGACTAAAAGAAGTGGTTTTACATGTTCTGAAGAGGGATTACTGCAAGTTTTTCCACAAGGTAAACTCGTATTTGGTATTGACTTAGTATTGTATAATTTGCATAATTTATGCTTATTGAATTTATGCCAATTTATGTTATTCAAGCGCTTTGAGGCATCCTGAGGTGAAGGGCACTTTAAAAGGAAAATGTATTATAAATATATTTTAAAAGATTTGTTGTGTAATCTTTAAAAAAATATCACCATCTTCATACTTTACTGAATTGTGCAGTTTGGACGGAGAAATACTCAATCTTGTAGTACCTTGGTGAGCAAATATATCTACTTTTAATGGTGGAAAGTTGAGGATTGTAGAGAGTTAAATAAATACTCCCAACTCTGGAGTTTTATAATGCTCTACTAGAGAACCTAATATTTTGTTTACATAGAATTGCACATAATTATATAGAATTACGTAAACTGTTACAGCATGGAAACAGGCCATTTGTGCCCACGTTTATACCCCACATGTGTCTCCATCCCTCCTGATCCCTCTATTCCCTTCTCCCTCGTGTATAAATGGAGGGGCTTATAGTTGCAATTTCTAAGAGATCTGAGATCTCAATCTTGTCTTTTTAATGAGCAGCCAGGTTTGTAGCATTAATCTAGTTTTTGTTTATATAAAAAAAAGCTGTGGAAAAGATTAACGGATGGCTCACACAATCAAACATTAGTCTTAAGTATACAGGCTTCAAATTACTATGATTAGTTGTTGCCACATAACTTCTCCAAAACAAAAGCTGTTTTAAAACTAAATTTATAACCTGAATCATAATTTTTTGGAATTCATTTCTACTGAGGTCTGAGCGGACCCTGCCCGCCCCACCATAAGCGGTCAGTCCTTCAACCTCTCTGCCCCCACCCTATGGAACTCCATTTCACAGTCCCTTTGCCTCAGCCCCTTCCTTGCCTCCTTCAAGGCCTGTCTTAAGAACTTCCTCTTCGACCGTGCCTTCGGTCATCTTCTTACCCCTACCCACCCTGCCCTCCACCCCTCCTGATCCCAACCCCCAGCTGGGGTGGAAATCCTGACCGTCCAGTGCCTTTAGACGTCCTCCCGACATGAAAAGTGCTATACAAGTGTAATAAGTTTTTTTAAAGTGTTCATTTCTTCGTGTTGCCTTGTTATTGCTGTTTAAAGATCATCTAGCTCAGCATATTGGGTAAAGGTGCAACCATAAACAGCACCAGTGCAATATACACCTTAAAATTGCAGTCTGAATTCCAGTCTGTGCTGAATTAACTGGTCTCACTCATAATACAAATCTTTACCAGGTTGATTAGCAGCTTGGGAAGGAGATTGCTTGCCTTTACGAGGATTGCTAGGAGACCTTGCAGTTCACAATACTCTTTTTGGCTCGTTTAAATTAAATTAGTTCCAAAAGATTGTATCCAGTATGGGATCCAATACATATATTCAACAGGATAGTGAATTTAATTAATTCTATTGAGTGCTGTATTAAAAGAAGGTTGGCTGTGTTTGATCTTTCCTGCTGTGAAAAAAATCTTAACTGGGGGTAGACATTTTTGGATTGTATATAGAAGGCTTTAGTTTGCCTTTTAAATTGAGAATTCTGGAATCATTTTTTTATAGATTTTTTTTAATACTCCCATCAGTTTCTGACAAATCGATATGCTGTAAGGGATTGGAGATATTGCAGTGATATGCCCAGTTTATTGATTTTACTATTAATTAGACACAAGGATGTTTCAGATTTAAGATCAAATTACTGAGAGAAATGTGATGCCACAAATTATGTATGGTTACTAGAAGGGTCTGAAATTATCAATGAAGAGAACTGTTGTGAGACCATGTGATCTATTTACGTTCCCTGTCCCCAATCCTGACTTTTTGTATTAATTTGTGCAGAAATTGATGGGGGTCACTTCTAGAAGTGTGCCGCTAGGGTCAAAGCTATTTATAATGTACATAAATGATTCGGACATGGGGAAAGAAAGCAACCCATCTTTAAGTTTGCTGATCATAATTGCAGATTGTTGCAAATAACTGGAAACGGATCGACTAAATGCACAAGAGGGATCCGGCTATATTGGGGAATTGAACAAACAGGTGGCAAATTCAATTTGCTGTGTACAAATTGCAGTCATTGAGATTGGTAAAGAATAATAAACAGTGGAACATAAAGGAACAGTAATCGGGATTTGTGGTACTAACGAACATTTATTCCATTTAGTTTCCTCACACTGTCAGATTGAGTTTGTCAGATAGCTACCCAGATATCAACATTCACTCTTTCCTTCAAAATATTACTTAAAAGATGAAGAGGTACACTTAGACTGAAACAAAAGGGGATATTAAATAGGATTGAAAGAAAAAATTGCTGCTCTTTAACTTTGTTAAAATGGGTACTGAATGCAAGACTCTCTAAGGTGCTTTTAGTCTTCGCTCTGTGCATAATCGTGTTGAAAGCTAAATGTACTGCCGAGCTGATGGGGCAATGTTCATGATGCTAACAATGGATGAATTGTGTTATTGGATGAAATGTATTGGCTTGGTGGAGTGGAGCTGTGTGAAAGAACAGTGCATTTATGTTCAGCACACTGTGACCCAGAATGTAAGACAGCATTTCCCCACATGGCACACAGTCAGATGGCTGTACCATAAGGAAAAACAGAACGTCACTTCTCTGGACGGAAACAAGAAAATCTGTGTGCAAAGCTGGCTTCCCTCCTTCTTGCCTGGACTCAGCCAGATTAGCTTTTATACAGGGCAGGGAGAAGCTCAATGGCCTATTCTTTATTGAACGTTGGTATGATGTGGGGAAACTGAAGATAAAAGGAAAAATAAAGTTTTAAATCTTGGCACACAATCTAAGCTTTTCAATGTGCACTTTCTTACATCAAAATGTCAATTACAGGTTCAAGTTGAGCTTTTTGTTGGCCGACCACTGATACAGGACACGCAACTTCAGTTTTTTAACCTTTTGTGCATTTTTAGAATGCTATTAAAATGGCAGCTGTGATCAAAAATTGTGCTTAGCAACTCATAGGTTAGAAATAGATGAGGTCCCTTCACCTCGATGTCCCTTGTTAAATCATTTTGAGGTTTTGCATCCCAAGTGCTAGATCTAACATCTGTGATAATCTGATAATGGTCTTTTGGGACATTCTGATATGTTTCCTATTGTTTTTATTACTTTTCCATTTTCAGTTGTAGTTTTGAGATAACTGATATCTCACTGCATTCTCAAGGTCGTTTTCGATAGCTAGAGGTGCCCTAATATAAAAGGGTCTCCTTGTATCAAAGGGGCAATTATAAAATGAAACTTGAGTTTCCTGCAAATTTATTTTTCCTCCTCAATTCCTCCAGTTTCCCAGCTGTCATGTTTTTGTTTAAGGTATATAATTGTTTTTATAATAATACTTACAGTTGATATAAGCACTTTATCGTACCATCAATCATCGGGTCTGATGCACTTCAATGATGGGATGAATTTATTGTAAAGTGTTTTGATTGTACAGTGTTTGTAACTGAAGGCAACCAACTTGCACACAACAATGTCCCCAAAACGTTCATGAAGTGAATGACCAATTATTATTTGGAGAATAAGGCTGTCAAGACATCTTGAAACCTCAACATTCTGACTCTGAGTTCAGAGTGCTACCAACTGAGCAAAGCTGTTTGTTTTCTTCTTTCTGGGATATGCTTCCACAGCCTCCGTAAAGTGAAGGTTATTCATGTATAAACCATGTCAGTGAATGTGCAAGCTTCTGGTCAGAATGACCTAAGGCTGTACCAGTCATTGCTTTTATTCACAGGATCATCATGGGAGCTTGCAGCAAAATTCTGCATAAGACCAAATCATCTAAAAGATGAAAGTCAGATTGAAGGGCGTAGGCAACATTCATTAATCATTTATTACAAACTTTGTTGATAAATATTGTTAATTTAATTGTAAAGTGGCACTCAATGAACAGTTTGTTGCAGTAGCAGTGGATTTTTCTTGAGCGTACATGAGCGCTGATGTACATTTCCTGTGGGAAATAAGATCCTAATAAATGATTAACTGATTTCCATGCTTACTACAGGCTCCACTCTGTGTTACTGTCCTATCCATGACACGGCACAGAGCTTCAATTTAGCTTGACTGTTGCAATAAGATTGTATTTGCCTCGTGCAATATTGTCTAGATTAGCCCTTCGACAGCTGAATTTTTTTAAAAAAATGAAATGACACTTCCAATGCTATAACTTGTTACATAGTGTAAAATTAATTGAATGCCAAGTATGTTCTGTGTGCGCGTAAGATTCATTAGTTTGTCACATATGAGGTAATAGCCTCAGGCATTATACAGTACAGAGAGATGCACATAGCGTTGTTGAATCCCAAAACTACCCGTTAGAACAGTTTAATATTGAGGGGAGAATATTGAGGAATACATTTCATGCCTTTTCAGATTTGCCTCCAATATATAATGCATTTTGTATTGTGTCATCGTATATTCTGAAAGAATGCTGGTTTGTGGCAGGAAAGTGAGCAGAGGAATACAAAAGGAGTACATTTAATCAACTAATATTTTTCAGCTCTTTAAAATTAGTAGATTTCACTAACTGTTGTTCAATTGGTTGTGTAATAACATTTATTCAACCTTCATTTTGGGGGAAAGCCCCAAGTCACTGGTCTGCTCTTCCAGGTCCTGGCGATGAGTCTGTGCTGTCATCAGCAGTGCCCTGGAGGACCACCTGGCTCAGGAACTGGACTCCCCAGAGAGCCACAGAGGGCTGGCTCGATTCTGACTCCATTGCCAAACGGGTCACCTTGGAGCCAATTCAGCTCCAAGGAGACCCTGCTGACCTCTTCTCCCCGCTCCCCCTTCCTACACGGCAATGAGTTATACATTATTTTTGGAGTTTTGTTTTAATTATATGACTATTTGTTTCCTCTGAATTGCTGACACTCATTTTCGGAAGCATCTGGACAAAGATGTGAATGGAGTGCGCATTTGCCCATTCACATTACTTACTTCTGTGTTAGGTATTGCCTAGTTACACTGGAGCTACATGAGTGCTGGAGATGAGGAATTCTGTTTTGCTGCAAGTTCAAGTTGAACTTAAATTGAGTTTGCAGTGGAAATTGCAGTGAAGGGCAGATTTGCATGAATAGAGCAGTTTGTCTCATGTCCTTGGCTTTGAATGTGCTGAAGTTTGAATGTTCTAGCTTCAACGCGCAAAGCATGGAGCCAGCCACAAAGCTTAATGGTAGGAAATACATTGTGTAATACACCGTAAAACTGTAAGGAATGCATTAAAGCAAAATAATTGTCAGTTTACCTTCTTGGTCTTCACTTCTTTCCTTGTTCAATTTATAGCCTGTTGCAGGATTGCGGCAGTCTGTTCCTGAGTGCCTGCAAATAGCTCATTCAGCTGGAATAGATGGTCTTCGTGCTTCCTGTATGAGGTAAGGTGATTCTTTAATTGTAGTTTCACGCCAAATAGAAAAATACAGCGTCTGATGGTTCCAACATTGTATTAAATCATTTTGCAGATGGATTACCAAATATTTTGTGAAGTGTTGGTCTGGAAAAAGCTTTGTTGGTCTTCCAGCAGAACTGCAGAGAGCCTGTTTGACATCTTTAGTCCAAACTATAGTAAGTAACATCACCCAACAGCATATTTCTTCTGATAATCAGAATAATAGTATTGTAAGTGCTTAATGTGTGCAGCGGATCGAGTATCTCAGTCATAAAACACTGGGGAAAATACCTTTGTAGTATGTTTCTCCTTCATGCCCTAAATATAACTTGCATGTCACATCACTATTGTTTGTTCTCTAACAGATAACTTTTGTTTGACAAAGTTAACTTAATCTGAAGGTTAACTAAAGGTTAAAATGGTTAAACTTGGACACATCCTCAGTAAGATGGCTTTGCTTTGCCAAACGCGACGAGAGCAGCCACCTGACAACCCAGGAGTGGGCCCATCAGCCATTTTTTTTTCGCACACCTGATTCTAAAGCAGAGTTTCATTTTCTGGGACCCAAAACTCACCGGTTCACAAGGTCGTATTGTAGCAATATAGAAGTTAATGAAAGTTAACAATGCCTGCAATATTAGCATTTAGACTTGAGACATTCAGGGCAGTCGATCTGTGCCACCAAGCCATACAAGCACTGTGTACGGTCCTTTCAAGCCAAATGGCTTTGAGTAATGTGACATATCAGAGACATTATTTGCACTGCAGCCTTGGTGACCGATTCAGCTGAGTGTAGTCTTTCAAACAAAACTCATCTACGAGGCAATTTCCTGAACGCTACAGACTTAACAGACCAGCTATGAGTCTGAAGATAAAAATTACAGCCTTTGGAATTGAGGATTGAAAGTGTTATTTTGAGAATATATTTTTTTTTCCTGAACAAATTGAGAGGTTATGTGGTATTTCAAAGGGTAAATGAGACCTTGAGTGGTCCTGTTGCTGAAACTTCTGCTCTGATGCCTGGCAGAGTTGAGAAGCATCTAAAATGACAGCCTGTGAAAATATTTTTCAAACATGTGCCCAGTGAAAGTCATGTGGGTTTGTATTTTTTTAAAAAAAATAAACTTAAAGGAAGCAGGTTGCCTTTTCAATATGCATCATCATTGAAAACTGTTACTTACCCATTACATTAGCCTGAGAATGATGGACTGACCTTGGATTCTATTGGGGGGGGAGTGGTGTACAAAAGATTAAAATCTGATGTGTGTTTGGCAGTCTCTGTAAACTGACAATCGTAGTATACTGTACTTGAGTTTGAACGAAAATACTTCTAATAAGGATAAATTTGTTCTTCGGTTGCTGTACGCAAACTGGCTGTCGTGTTTCGCCCACAAAATAGTCAATCCACTTTAAGTACATCCTGTGAAGTGCTTTGAGACTTTTAGACTACGCTGTTTCAAATGCAGGAATTATTTATGTTAAATCATTATCAATTACAATTACTATCAAGGTGCATTACGATTGTTTAGCCAAATAGATTCGCAGTACGTTCCAGTTGATCACAGCTCTTCTTGAAACTCCTCAGAGTGTAGAGAATGTGGTTCTACTGTTAATGGAAAGCCAACGCCTATTATGGAACCTTCCTGAGGTGAAATGGACAGAGCAAACCATTGCTTTGACAAAGGAACTGCAAGATGAATGCGTTAAATTTATTGTGCTGCACTTCCTCAAGACAGTAAGAAGCGAGAGCCTTCTTCCTTTATTGAAGGTAAATTATTGCATTGAGGGAGATTGCTCGATTATTTGGACAGATATGTGAGATCAAGTTTTTATGCTGAGTATTAATCTCCAAATTGTGGGTTTTATTTGTGGGAGGGATCTGGCTTGAAATTTTAAATGCTAAATGCAATCAGTTCTTTACACTACACAATGCGACCTATCATGGTTAAGAGAAATATTTCAACAGGAAAATCTGAATGGAACAGTGGTAAAGCTCACTAGATTGATGGGATGCCGTCTGGTTCATGTGATATCCCCAGGTATCAAGATTCTCAAACACAGCTGTGCATCTATGAGGTATCAAGTGTTTGAAGCTAAGTGCATCCCTGGAGGAAATTAAAGAATCAGCGAGAGAGAGAGAGTGCTCTTTTCAGAGCTGATCTGGGAAGATGTCACTAGAATGGGTGTTTGGTAGGGATGTCTGCCCTGTATTGGCCCACCTAATAGACTAAATAAGAACTCAAATGTAGTTGAGGGTTTGAAGCTTAAAGGCTCGCACGGACCATTAGCGATTATGTTTTAGCTTCATATATAAAGTTTTTTTTTAGCAATTGTTTCGACTCGAATTGTAAACAACAGCACATGCCTTTCTTAAAAAAAATGAGAATTTGAATTGATCTAAAATTAATTCATCATTTGGTTTTTAAATACGAATAATTTTAAAGTTTATATTTAACCTGTTCTATAGCAATACTGAGGGATAGACATTTGTTGTAGACATTGTCTATTCTGGAACACCTTTGCTCCATTATCAAAATCTGTCATGTTGTGATACAGGACAGGGTAATGACTTAGCTTTCTTGGGAACAGGTTCCCTTGGTTTCGCAAGCCCAACCAGACCTTTGGGACCAAATACATTGGAAATATATGTAAATGCAGCGAATGAGCACTCGTCCTGTAATCTACTCACGAATGTTATTTTACTAAATTATTTGCATATGTGACTGAGTTTGCAAATCAAGCTCCAATGTTTCAAAGACTTGTGTGTACACAGAGCTAGGGGGAGGTTCTACCACTGCAAAACAGACAGAAAATAACTTGTGACTTTATTTTCTAGGAGCAGAGGATGAGCAGGAGACCATATCTGGTGGAAAGGATTTTTGCAGCTATTGAACAAAACATCTCGGTAACAGATGGCTGCTTGCAATTTATAGCTGCAGACCTACTGAATAGCCAGGTGGCTTATAAAGAGGTGGTATGTATTTAATCATTCCAGCGTTTAAAATTGAATGGTTGGGGGGAGGGGTGTGGGTTGGTGTCAATTACCAGCAGAACAAAGTAACTGCAGGTAATAAGCAACCTTTTTATATACAGTCCTGTACTTTTTTTTTAAAAAAAGTACAATAGTTTGCTCTTACCGTATTGGATTCACGATTTCTATTTGGGGCTAATTTACCCTTCCACTACTGAAACCCTTCTGATCAATTATTTTTTTAAAAAGAAAGTAGCTTGAATAAAGAGGTTATTTTCGTGAGCCTTTCCATCCCCATCCTGGGAGCAAGAGAAGTTAGTTTGCTAACCTACAGAAATTATTTTGATTCCTATGTGTTATTGAACGTGTGCTGTGTATCAGTCACTTCACTTCCCTGCAGAGAAGTTGACCTCACTCAGACATCAAAAACGACCAGGACATTTAATGCTCATTTATTTCACTGCTTTAAGATACAGCGCTGTGATTTCTGACTTGCACATCAGTAATGCTGCCTTTCCCAGAGCAAGCACCAGACTGAACTGAGCCTGTTCCAGGACTAGACCAGATGATTATACAGGGCTGAATAATGACATCATTGATTTAGCTTGGGGAGTAAGCAGATTCTGTGTGGAATAATGATCGGTTGCCATAGTACTGTGGTTCAGCAGCTCCTCTGATTCGTTCCTTGCACAGGGTTTTGCTTGTGAGACCCAGGCCCTCTATGATAAGCTTTGGACATTTCTGGTTCAGTCTTTCTACGCCGTCCGTCACACACAAGGCTGGAAACTGATGAAGCTGAAAGATCAGGAGCAAATCCAAGCAGGTTCGTATTGCAGGAAAACTGCTTTCGTTTGCCAGGGATAGAGGGTTCTCGGCTACTAAATTGTGCTTTCTTTTTTTTCAAAAAAAGAAAAAAGATCTTGTACGATTTTCTTTGTTCTCCAGAGCAAGTGTGATTGTGAGTTGGATTTGCCTTGTGTCGTTTTGAATTGCAGCTTGTGTTTTCCCACAAGCTTCCACCCAAAAAAATTCAGTGAATTTGTTGAGTAACCATTAACTTGGGGTGGGGGTGGGGGGTGTTAACCTTCTGAGTAAATACTATCATTGATCAATTTCCTTGCAATTTAAATAGGACAAGGTAGCAAAATGTGTGCAGTGATATGTGGTGGGTTGTACCCTTGCACCTTTTTTTTTCTGTGCTTTAAGAAAAGCAAAGTAACAGAAGCCAGAGCCAAATACAGATTTAGTCCTTTTCACAATTTGCTTGATTAGAAAGGTCATAGAAATCTTAACACAGCAATGCTGCTGTGGTTTGACGTTGCACGTTCGGCAGGTTTATATTCTGGTTTAGTGTTTTGAACAGGTTATGAGTCTCGATTTTATTTTTAAGAGTGCCTGCCCAGTGTCCCGTTACTAATGCAAGGTAAGATGTATTTAAGGACCTGCAAGATTATTTATTAGTTCTAAGGCGGCATGTTCTACTCGGGTGAGTATGTGCCAATATCGGCGCATTCATCAATCTGGTTATATTGCTTGATATGGACGTGAATGTTGTAAAGTCTGTGGTGGGTGTGAGGACGTGGAAGATTCTGTCCTGATGCCTGATTTCTTCATGCTACAGAAGAAACTAAAGTAGATACAAACACCATTGTATTAAGTGGGCAATTTTCTATTTCAGCTGCACTGAAGTCTTAATGAGGCAGAGGTTTAGAGAAAACTACAGTCAACCCTGAATGTAATTGATGAACCAGTTTACCACACCGAGCATTTCTTTTTAATGATTTTCTTGATTTCAAATCTTCAGGATATATTGAATTGTGCACGTGTGTGGAATTGGGATCCACTAGAGAACTGGGTGCTGAAGTAGTTAGTTTAGTTAGTTAATGTACTGATCACTAGCTTAGAGAGAATTTAAATGTATAATTTAAATGTAAATTCCCTCTCAGGTAGTGATCAGAATGTGCCAGAATCTAATGCAGCTCCATTCTCGTTGTGGTCTGTTGTCTCCACATCTGGTAATGCATCAAATTCCTGCAATCCCTATCTTTGGCATCACTGTAGCTGTCTGCAGATGATTTAGTGTGTTCCATCTTACGAATTCCGATCGACTGGAGTTTGTTGAGGTGTAATGGGTGTGTTTATCCAACCTGGAAACCAGGAGCAAATGGTGACACATTCAATCTACATGGGAACGCTTCTCACTTACAATGTAAATGTGCAGCAGTTTGTTCTGTGTGAAATAGAATTAAAGTTATGTTAGTTCCAAATTAGGACATTTCAAAGTTGCACTGCAGCTCAGCTATACAGACTGGCAAGGCACCAGCTTTGTGCTGAGCTAGCTGATCTGAGCCAGGGCAATATTTGTGTTAACATCCTCTGCATTCTGTGATGAGAGGGAAATCAGTTACGTTTGATCATTTTACAATAGCCTCTCCTGGAGGTTGCAGGTGTGTGCATTCAAGACAGTCTTCAATGTCCCCTGATGGAACAGCCAGCAAAAATCTCCATCAGGTTTGAGGTGAGGTACTGGCAGGTGGCAGGCACCTGTGAAACTGTACTACAATAGAAGGAAAAAAAGGAATGAAAATCATTAAGGAGAAGAGAGGGTTGATACATAATAATAATAATAATCTTTACATTTGATATAGCGCCTTATCACGTCTTCGATATGTCTCAAACCGCTTCACAGAATATACTGCAAAGTGAATTGGCTGTATATTTTGTGGGCGAAACGCGGCAGCCAATTGCGCACAGCAGTGTCCCACAAACAGTCGTGGATTGAGTGACCAAATTTCATACAAGTGATAATCCTCACACCGTACCAATAATTTCTATCCTTGAACTGTCCCAAGCCAAACAGCAAGCCGGACAAGCTGTAAACTCACCACAAATGTCTGCATAAAAGATACAGACTTCAGTTTATTTGCCCCCGTATTAACCACTTGACAACACATGTGGGGTGTGAGGCCAAGCTGTGATAGATGTAGTTAGGCATAGCCACCAGGTTGGGGATTTTGTTTCCTGAGCAGCACTAGAGATCTGACCCAGCTAAGTATGGGGTTAGCGAAAGACACACAGGCGGTTTGAGTGGTAGAGAAAGAGGAGCACATCCATGCATACATACAAGCATCCAGAGAGAGAGAGAGAGCGATCTGATATCTGCACTGTTTTGATATTCACAATGCCAATTAATAACAGTGCCAATTAATGTGGATATCAGGTTCTCTCCTGTAATTACCATTTTCATGTTTTAAGCTTGTTCAACAATCCTCTCAATTTTTCAGCACATCACATATAATTTATTGCTGATACCAACTAGTTTTCAAGGTTATGAAATCCCTCTATGTATACACATTTGTCTCCAGACAAAGCAAGGGGGAGCAGAGGAGGCAGAAGGCAAACAGAATTGAACCCGTGCCACCTACCTTATTAAAAGGTTGCTTCATTGTTCAAACGAAAGACTTTAGCTTAAAATATTCCTGCTAAACCCTGGCATTAAAATGTTGCGGAATATTTACTGAACCGTTCTGTGAAAGCTACCAAAAAAATCACCCTCAAATAAAGCGCAAGATCAATTTCATGTTCTCATCTATTAATCAAGTGTGAAAAAACACAGATTTTACAAAACTGATGCAAGTAGAAGCAGTTTTTTAAAACACTGCGGTGTCTGCTCATTTAACAATAAGACTTTTGTCTTTTTTCAAGAATAGAGTGAACTATTCATGAAATTTACATTGCAATGATTCACTTGTCAAGGAATTGCAATTTTGCAATAATTTTAGAGCATGAAAAGTGATGCGAGACAGTAAAACAGTTGGCTTTTCAACTGATATTAATTCCACAAGTGAAACTAATGGGTTTTCAGTATGCTGAACTATTAAAAAGAAAACAGTGCAGATTTGTAGCAATCATTTAATTTTCATAAAGAATCCTCTTGGTTTTTATTGTCCTTTGCTGTTGTGTTTGTGACTTTGTGTCCCTTTGCATCTTGCAACCAAATAAAAGGATGGATTTAGCACAGTGACAATAAGCCTGGGATATACCGAGGTCTACTAATGGGAGGAGTGGTTTTATTGAGAAATAATGCATTGTTTTACAAGCATAATAACAATAAAATTACTATTAGTTATACTGGGTTGTTGAGCTTAATAATGAGCAGAGAATATTTCTCTGCTCTTTATTAAGCTCAACTGAATTGAAATGAAATTGGGTCTCAGCATGAGGCAATTGTTTTGTCTGGAGACTGACCACTGAATAATGCAGTTCAGCTTCAAGAAAGTTTGTCTGAAGTGCAGTCTCTTGTGACCCATGCAGTGTATTTCAGGCTAGACTGTTGAACGCTCCGAACGCAGTAAACTGTTTCTGTTGGATGTTCTTTGAACCAGTATTGAGAATGTATTAATTCAGTAATTGAATTAACCTAATTCTAGCTGAACCTGGTCTTGGCATTTCACCATTTTCCCAAAACTGACATTACTTGCTTCATTTTAAGTCTTGATTATTCAGATGGTTAAAGTATGTGTAAACTTGTAGTAATGGAAATTCATAATGGAAAAACCATGTTAACTATCTGTTTGAACGATTGACATAAAATTAAATTTAAAATGAATATTACTGAAGTTGGATTTTGCTTTCAAATAAAACATTTTGTTAAGTTTTGCACTATGCCCATGTATAGTGGGTATGAGAGAGAGAAATGCCAGGGTTATGCTACTAGATATGTAGTGTTATAGTCACACAATCCTGGAGTTTAAACCCTATTTTATTGACGGTAGATGCACAACACACTGGGAATTGTCTTCTATATATATTGATGTGAACCCTCTTATCCATTGCAGCCCAAAGCATCAACACTAACAATTAGGGAAGGGTTAATTGCAGTCCCACAAAATATTTACTCCCAAAAGATCTGGTAAATTCCTTATGACAGCTCAAAGATATGGGCTCTTTATCTTCTAAATGTTGGTTAGGCTATTGCCAAATGGTAAAGCATATTTTCTTCTGCAGATCAGACCACTAACATTTTATCACGACTGACCAGGTATGCCCAGAACTGTGCAGAAGGTGCACTCCATGCCACACACCTATGTGGGATGAAAAGGCATCTGTGCAGCGTCTGTATCCGAGGCTTCACCCTGCTCCAAATTGAAACAAGTGGGCAAATTGCCATTCTCATCAGGAAGCAGGTGACCCAGATCGGACTCCCAACCTGCTTCAGCAGAGCGAGACTTTCCTGATCACTTTTGATGGCTGGATGATCGTTTAAAGCTATCCTCTTCTTTTTCCGCCCATGTGTTCAGATGAGTTAGCACCAAGTCCAAAGCCTATTCCTTCCCCTGCCTAAAATGTGCCAATTAGAAGATATTGGAAACGAATCTAAATCAATTGTAGCCTTTGTTCTAAAAAAGGAACAGCATTTGGGCCATTATTTATCCATCTGTCAGTGTGCATCCATTTTGGTAGCCTTCAAATTCTTTTACTAGCGGTGCTAACTTTAACAAACCTGGGGAAATGGATGCTGGTCCTTTTTGTACGGGAGAGTAATAAATCCTTCCTATTACAGTGGCTTTAAATGTGGTTTATTTTAAGTGCATAGCCTATTTAGGCTTATCATTGAATAAACAATGTTTATGAATATTTACATACCTAACAATTAATTCAATCTTTTCAGCTGCTCTTGACAAGGGAGATGATAGAAAACTTGGCAGAAAACCAACCTTGACTAGTTCGCAGGTAACCTAATGTCAGCAGGGTCATTTTCTAGTTTGCTTTGAATAAAAATCTCGTATAGTTAAGACTCACTAAATTAGATTTTAAAATGCAAGGATTACTACACCTCATCTATCTAATTTTCATGTTACAAAAACATATTGAATGAATCTAAACCTTTATGTTGTGATTTGAGTAGATTCTCATGGATTTATCGTCATAACCTATTAAGGAATTGTGTAAATAGAGAATACATAAACCAGCATTGCCTAACAACTGGACAGTTATTTTTTTCAGAAGCAATGTCTCTCGATGCCAGATCTCACTGTCTCTCTGTCTTATGCCACAGCAAAAAAAAGGTTCTTTGAGTAATTCTACATTAGAAGTGACAGAAAAAGTGTGTAGAGAGGGGAAGCCTGCACGATTGCCAAATACATCCGTGTTCAGAAGTCAACTATCTGGTATTTCCAAAATGAAGTCCGAAAGTTTGGGAGCATCGGTCCATTCACCTATTGGTGCTCGCAGTACAACAAGCTCTGCAAAGAAAGTCGAAGCAAAAGGAAAGGACAAGGAAGTTACAAAAGCAAGTGATAAAACATTAAAAAATGGGAAAGCCGGTGAAAAGAGCAGCTGTGCAAAGTTAAACACTGTCACAAAAACACGAGTGGAGACTAAGACAAAAAGTGAAAGCTCCATCAGTAAAATAAAAGGACGCAGTGACACTCCATCCTCAAATTTGCGGGCCGGTTCAACACCTGTAAGTAAAGGGGTCAACGGACAGGCTGGACATTTAAGTTTGGGTGCACGCCCCAAAGTACCTCACAATTTGCCCAACGTACACACAAAATCAGGAAAGCTGCTGAAAAAACCTGTTCGACCAGAAACCTCACAGACGGATAAAAATGAGACCATGTCTAACTCTGACAAGTTGGAACCGGAAAGCAAGGATGCGGGTGCCAGTACATGTCAGAATAGTAATGGATTGCAAGACAAGAAGATAGTGGGTGAAAAGAAAATTGCTGACAAGAAAACGTCCTCTGATGATAGTCCAATTGGAAGTCCTGCCCGGAAGACTGTAAAGGCCTCAGGTAACCAGAAGGTTTCCACAGCAGGTTCGTTTTATTTTATTTAATTCACCATTTTTGCTGTCATCCACTATATCTTTCTATTGCTTCACTGTCATTCTTCAGTTAGAGGAACTACGCCATCAGATTCTATCAGTGCCATTTTGCAGCATCGGAAGAGGGATGCTCAGTCAAGTCAGCTTTGACTCACTGCTTTAATTTGCTTTCCCCTCTCTCCCCCACATAGTGCTCAACAATGATCTGCTGTATTCAGTAGCAAGGCACATCTCAAGACCCCCTCCTCTTTGACCATGTCTTTGGCTATCCTCCCTGCCCTTCATTCTTCCTTACCCCAATTCTCTTCCCCCGCCCCCCCGGCTCGGGTCCAAATCCCTGGCTGTCCAACTCCTTGAGACGTCCTACTGACATGAAAGGCACCACACAAATGTAATTTTGTATTGTAAGTGCCTGGGAGGAGCTGTATTCAAATGCCATTGAGAGTCAGACTGAAATATCTGTATAATAGTCCAGCACTGGTTCACTGGAACCACACCCGAAACTTCAGTATTTTAATAAGTATAGGAAACCTGTTCCCTAAAGTAATAGCAGGCGGAAATGTTACAGTAATGGTAACATGTCTGTTTTGAACAGCCTACGCTGCAGGCTGGCCCTAACCAGCTTACTCAGTGGAATTCTTATCTCCATTTGCATTTACATCAAAAACACCACCTGCTCAGCGACCTGATCATAATTTAATTGGTCATCTCTAATTTTAGTTCTCCAGTTCCAAAGGTAAATGGGAGCAGCTTGATGCAAAAAATTTTTTTTGAGGCTTCAGCATCAAAGGAGCATTTTGTTTTTCTATTTTACAGCGAGTAGACCAGCAAGTGTTACCAAAGCAACAAAGTCAGCTTCATTAAAGTCCAGCAAGCCTGTAACTAGCAGGTGAGTTGTGTGTGAATCACGAAAGTATTTTTTTCCCTTAAATGCATGCAAACTACTGTATGCTCAAAGATGTACAGACATTAATTTAAAATACTAGATCACATTGACGGCAATACATTTTAAAGCATGATGTTACAACAACAAAATCACATTTGTATAGCGCCGTTCATGTCGGGAGGACGTCCCAAGGCGCTGGACAATCAGTGTTTCAGAGCCGAGCTGAGGGTCTGGAACGAGGAGGGTGGAGGGGAGGGTGGGAAGGAGGGTGACCGAAGGCATGGTTGAAGAGAAGGGTCTTGAGATGTATCTTGAAGGAGGTATGGGAGGGGGCGAAGCAGAGGGACTGTAGGTGACAATACAAGTAGAAATTGAAATACTTGAATATTATGATGGTCTATTTACTGTAACAATATTGAAAAAGAAACTCGTCTCCAAAGCATTACCTGATTGACAAGGTCACATTTGCTGCAAGCTAAATACTGTATGCTCTCGTATAGAATTCAAAGAAAAACTATTGACCCTGGAAATCTGAAATAAAAACAGGCAAAGCTGGGAATCCACAGCATGTTGACCAGAAAAAAAGGCAGGTCACAGTTGCAAGTTGCATCTTTCCTGAATGGATCCCTCCTAATCTTTCTCTTTTAGATCCTGATGGAACTGATGTGGATTTCCAGCAGTTTCCGCTTTTATTTTCATGTTTTGTTTTCCTATGGTGCCCTCTGCTGGGACTTTACTAAAGATTTAGGAGGAGATTAATTTTGAGCACCACAGTTTACTTGAAGCTGAAGAAGTGCTTATAATTCCCCAAATGGTTTCGTTTTAAATATGTGCAAAGAATTAGAACTAAATGAAATTAAGATAGTTTACAAATGGTGCAAATTTATCAATTCCATTTGGAGTAAAAAATTCTCCGCACATTATTTCAGTTGAAGTAATTTAGAAGAAAATAAGTTGGAAAATAGACTGCAACATCCCCACTGAACTAAGTATGAGTCTCGGTAATTGAATGCTTTCCAAAGCATTAATTCTGTAGTTAAGGAAGATGCCATATATATTTAAATATTGAACTTAGCCAAGCTTCTGTTTGGGCTTTAGCCTAAGTAGTCTTATAGGAGCAAAAGATCTTTGGGACTAGGTAGGGAAAGTACTTGAGGGACACAAAAAAGTGTTACAAATGACGCTATAATATTGTGTGTTGGAACTTCTATTCATTGTGCTAAGTGGTATGACATGGAATTGCACTTTTGTTTCCCCACGGAGGTTGGTTGTTTGGCACAAAGACCCCAGATAGATTGTATAGAGGGGAAATCAAAAAAAAGGAAAACAAAGTTAGAAAATAAAATCTATTATTCAATTCATGTCTGCTTCAGATTTTCACAATACTTCCCTACAGAAAGTAAGTGGTTTCCTCTGATTTAAAAGTACATATTGAAATTGAAATAAAAATACTTTCATTGATTGGATCCCATTTTCCATCCAAGTGTGGATTTGGCTCAAACATCTCTATTCATGAAACCTTCATGTTTTATTCCAGTTTGGCTTGCATCCAAAATGGTCTTAATGATGTACATAGTTGGTTTCCAAAACAGAGCATTGATTGTAATTTTACACGGTAAGAAACATGTATATGCATTTAACTGTGGGCTCATTGTGTTGCTTTACAACTAATAATAATAATAATCCTTGCATTTAATATAGCGCTTTTCACATTGGGAGGATGTCCCAAAGCGCTTCACAGATTGAAAATGACCAATTTATTATTGTTTTTGGTTTGGGAGGGATTATTATTAGGTGTGTGGAGTAAGGAAACTTGCCCAAGGTTTCGCCCTGTGCCTGGAATTGAACTCAGGTCTCTCGCTTGCAAAGCGAGTGCTCTAACCACTGAGCTACAGGACTCCAATGCAGTTTAACAAATAATTTTTTTTACAAGAAATTATTTTTTTTGTTCTTGTAGTGCACCAAATAAACAGAAGATACAGAGTCGAGATGAAGGAATGTCACATGTGAAGAAAACCTGGAATAGCAGCAACAACACCGCAACTCAACAAAGAGCAAAGAGCTCAGCAGGAACATCAGTCAGAACCAAAGGTATCAGTTATGGGCTTCCTCAGTGGGGGGGTTTAAAACCTAGAGTAAGCATTTTAAGAAGCTCACAAACTGAAACAAAAATGGTTTTAAGGATGAATAATAATAAAATGATAATCTAAAAGGAAAGCCAAATTAATTTGAATTGGAAAATTTAACATTAAAAAAAGCCTTAATTTTTAGTGTGTATTTATGAAATGCTTGATTTTCAAATTGGCCGGGATACAAGGAGAAAGAAACACCCTCCTTTTTTCGAATGGTGCCATGATACAATAATTCAAATATATAAACATCTTAATGAAATATCTAAGATATGAAGTTTTTATTTGTAACTCCAGCTCCTTTTCTGTGTAACTTTAGATCCAAAGGGAGTTGCAGTGTGTTCAGAAAAGATGGGTCCAAATTCAGGCCAGAACGATGCATTAAAGCAAACTCCAAAAGCTACGAGTTCTGAAAAAGCAGTCGTCACCGAAACACTTGTAAAAACTAACACGAAACAAGTCAAAACAACTGCTCACACTGCAACAAAACCAATTACGAAGAGATTGACACAAACTGGCCCTGCTAGTCCAAAGACAGCTGTGAGCTCAAGTAAGGTTGCACTGAAAGAGAAAAATGTCTCGATGCCCAGTGTAAGAAAACCTAAATTGCTTACATCTACTAAAAAATCATCATCTGGTGTGAAACGTCCTACCTCCAAATGCCCTCCTGACAAGGCATCTCCGAATGATTCAAGTCATGATGTGAAAAGTGCAGCAGAGGCTGATAATGAAGCTGGTTCTGTTGAGGAAAACCATCAAATGAGCACAGTCTGTCAGTTGGAACATTTACTGAATGCAGAGGTACCGATGAGTGCAGCGCAGAACACGAATGTGTTCAGTGAAGGAGAGAGCAATGTTGGGTGTCTACCTTCATATCAAATAACGGACACACGTAGTCCCTCTGTGAAGGGGAATGGTTACATGCCCGAACCATCCCAGACAACTCTGATTGCTCAAGAAATGTTAGTAACAAGTAATACAGAAGATGGTGAAAAGTCTGGAATATTGTGGGCTTCTGAAGACATTGCAAAACCATGTGTAAAGTCAAATCTATGTGCAACTCAAGACCAACCTGCAATCACAACACAAAAAGGGTTTGCAAATGGCAGAATCGACTTTGCTCATGAAATAAAGCCGCAAGTTTTTAATGAATGTGACAAAACAACTGAAGGTCAGCTCGGAAAAGGAGAGGTTTGTGCTGAAGACAGTAAAACTGGACTCCTTTCAGATGGCATAAATGGCTCGCAGGCTCTTGTAACAAAAGTAAATGACAATTTATCTGGACTAAAAATGACAGATGTAAGTATACCATCTCATTCGTTTGAGCTAACCAGTGGCGCTGTGGAAGTCATTGTTGAAGTGCAGCATGAATCGGCCATGAAATCTAGTTTAAACCAAGGGGAAGAGCAGGTTGTGTCAGATTCACCAAAAGAAATGAACACCGAAGAGATCCCAGAAAGAGAGGATTCAGACATTCCCATAGCGGAATCTTGGAATTTAACTGCAGAAACCTCTCCAGCTTCAGATAACTCTTGCCCAAAGCAAAGCCCGGATACAGACACTGGGAGTGCAACAACTTCATCTGATGATATCAAACCTAACTCCGAGGACTATGATGCTGGTGGTTCACAAGATGATGATGGGTCGAATGAGCGAGGGGTTTCCAAGTGCAGCACAGTGATATGCCATGATTTTCTGGGGAGAAGCAGCAGTGACACAAGTACACCAGAGGAACTCAAGGAGTATGACAGCGGATTAAAAGTAGAAGTCAAATTGAAAGATAAGGAAGACACTCGTGGTCCGACCCGAGGTATTCGTACGAAAGATACTGTAACTAATTGCCCTATTGACGTCTCTTATCAAGAGCATGCAGAGACCGAGGAAGGTGATCTGGAGGAGACTGCACCAACCAGCGTTGGGAAAGTCGATGCTGTCTCAGACGTCTTGTCTTCTTGTGAAGTGACTGAAGAAGACAAGTCGGAAGCTGAGAATCCAGAGGAAATCTTTCCTCCTCCTGTTCCTCCTCCACCTCCCCCTGACCAGGGCTTTTACCACTTTCAGGGTATTGATAACTTGGCTTTTGAAGACATAACGGAAAATGAGACGGAGGTTACGAACTTTACCTCGGCTGCAAATTTCAAGCGTTCCGTTTTACTCTCGGTGGATGAGTGTGAGGAATTAGGTTCTGACGAGGCAGAGGCTGAAACTCCCCCGGCATGTTCTCTAGATTCTCTGACTCCCTCTGATGTATTTGATGGCACTGCCCATGATGGTAGTCACCAACTTCATGGCAAAACATATTATTCCCGGTATTCACTAGAAATTGAAGATGAATTTCTGGACTATGATCAGCAAGACCAGAAGAAGAATAAAGACAAGTTGGGAATGCCCAGTACTGAACTTGCTGCAGATGGTACAAGTAGGGAAGGTAAAGATGCACCACTGGTTACTCCAACAAAATTAGAACAAGCTAAGACAGTCCATAGCGCCCCAGCCAGTCATGATCTGCCTGCTCAATCACTCTGTGCAGGTGAAAATCAGCTTGTAGACAAAGACCAGATGGTACCAATCGTGCTAGAAAGCCAGTGCAAGAATATAATCTACAGCCAAACACCTGGAGGTGACGGTAGACCTCAGGAAAGACCCTGCCATTTACAGCTCAGTCAAGTAGAACATGCTTCCATTGGACACAGTGGCAGCATTGCAGAAGACGACCCTGATTCAAGTGAGCATTTAGTTGACATGGAAAAAGGGCATGTGCAAGGGTACTCCCCAGCATCAAGTGATCAAACTAAGGGGAGCGAGGGCCTGCAGGTGTGGGGGGGGGGGGGGAGCGAGGGCCTGCAGGTGTGTGGGGGGGGGAGCGAGGGCCTGCAGGTGGGGGGGGGGGGGCTGCAGGTGTGGGGGGGGGGAGCGAGGGCCTGCAGGTGTGGGGGGGAGCGAGGGCCTGCAGGTGTGGGGGGGAGCGAGGGCCTGCAGGTGTGGGGGGGGGAGCGAGGGCCTGCAGGTGGGGGGGGGGGGGCGAGGCCTGCAGGTGTGGGGGGGGGAGCGAGGGCCTGCAGGTGTGGGGGGGGGGGGAGCGAGGGCCTGCAGGTGTGGGGGGGGGGGAGCGAGGCCTGCTGTGTGGGGGGGGGGCGAGGGCCTGCAGGTGTGGGGGGGGGGGGGGGCGAGGGCCTGCAGGTGTGGGGGGGGGGAGCGAGGGCCGGGCATTAGGTACCACACCCCCAGATAACTGCGGGCTGTAAACCCATCAGCTGTTACTAGTTCAGGGCACCTGGTGCACACTGGAAGCATCTCTAGTCCATGCGGTGCTCGGTTGGTGACTGACTGAAGCCATTGGTACAACAACCACCGCAACCAAATTACATTTTGTAAAGCGTCTTTCACGTCGGGAGCGCCTTCCAAGGCACTGGACAGACAGAGTTACGGACCTTGCGTTGTTGGTTCCTTTTGTTTATTATTATTATTATTATACGCAACTGTTTCGCCCGCAGGCGGGTTGATTGTTCTGCTGATTAATTCCCTTTCCTTCCTGCCTGCCTGCATTTTGGTGTTCTTTCTCCAGCATCACGAGGTCGTTGCATCTTTATCCAGTCAACGCCAGAGAATTAGGTTCTCTGACTCGGTAGTGGATGGATCAATCATTTTCCCACTTTCTGGTATGTTTTGATTAAACCGTAAATAATATAATTCTACAAGTAATAACGCTCGTAAGGCAAAATTACACATTTTTGTTGGATCACACATTTCACAAGAATTTATATGATCTTTCAACTGGGCTATTTTCTGCCTTTCGTTCCCTGGTCAAAAATACGAGCGATTGATTGGACTATTGTCATTGCAAGTGAAAGATTAAACATTTGAAATGTTTCATTGAAAAAATACATTGTATTTATGTTTTCCTGTTTTGATAAGGACAAGACAGAAATGTTAATACAACAAATTCGAAGAAAAAAAATGGTGTGGTTATAAATCAAATTTCATGTTGGTTGCACATGTGTAAACTAAGCGTAGAATTTGCAGTTGTTGTTACAGTTGACACCACTAATAGTTTTTTGTATTTTTAGGCAAACATTCCATGAAATAATAATGCAAATTCTACCCCTCAAAATGAAGTGAGATATAGTTCTAAGGGCTTTATCAACCTATCTATAATTAAAACATGTCTAATTTAGTGGAGAAAATAATATTAACACGGATCACTTATGGTTTAAAAAAAACTGAAGATGCTGTCTCACCAGCTACTGTAAGCGAGGCATTTATTCCTCATGAAACAAACTCTTTTAAAAAGACTTTTAACTTCATCCATGGTACACAGCAAAAATCAAAGGCCACAATATTTGGAATCGTGCATTTGCATTATTCTTGTGACTATTTCTATTTAAACGATAAATTCAGAAGTATACTGTATAAGCATCTTTCTATTGCATACTTCACAATAGAAATAGATGTTTTGCAAACACATTTTCTAGACAGATTTTCGTGAAATGAGTGAAACAATAATTTTGTTTGAAATTTCCTCAGGTGTTGCCTTTATTATAGCAGAAGTTCAAGATCTCTCCAACAATTCTGCAGGAAGAAAGTTGACAGAGCAAATTGAACGGTTTGCCCATATTCACCGAAATAGTTTCCTGCTTCTTGTTGCAGCACTCTTTGGTTCTGAAGAATGGGACATACTATATAAATTACAGCAAAGGTACTTTATATGGTATTAGCAGGCTACAATACAAATTGTAGGTATTGGTTTGTTTACAATACAAAAGTAACTTATTTGTGTAAAGGTTATCTACTCAAACTAGTTAATACTTCTGAAGAGGATGCAGAATTTTGGATTAAAAATTATGTTGTGAGTAGTAATTACTGCTAGAAATGTACATTTAAACCATTTGTATAAATCCAAAACTAGTACATCTGGCACACACCATTCTAGTGAAAGAGTGAGTACAATAATACCCTGGGCTTCCATATATTCAAAAAAACGAATTTATAAGCAGAGCAACCTTCCCTCAGGGAATATGTGCATATTATAATTAATAAAAAAATCAAAGACCAACTGTATTGTCGTGAGCTTTTATATTTTTTTTGTTCAATATTGGAATAAATGTAAATAGCAAAATATACTGCTGCTCACGCATTTCATTTATTTATTTTATTCTTATGTAGATTTCTAGGTGGTAATCTAAGGATCATACCAATACACAATGTTGGTGATATGGTCAAAAGCATGGTAACCATTGCCAAGGTTAGTATACCTCAAATTTCTGAACTTTTGAGAATGTTAAAACGCTGTATGCTGATTTGTATGTTAATACATAGTATGACCAATACTGTGTACACTAAGATTCTTAAACTATTCATTTAGAAATCGTAAAAGCTTCAGATATATACCAATTATTCGGGTGAAGTTCTGATTATTGCTCTATTAATGTTACATAAATGATCAATGATTCAAACATTTATTCCTTATGAAGGCGACATGTAAGCCACACGTGGATAGTGTTCGTGATCGCATTGCCATGGCCCGAGCTCAGATTATAGAATGCAGTCCTGTCTGGGAGATGCTTCGCAAACAGCAAAAATGAAATGCAGTTTTATGCACATAAAACTAGCAACTGTGAACCAGGTGCTACTGATACGAATTATCTCCTGTCATATAAATGTATTTTGAACTTTTTTCAGTGAAGCAACTAATTTATAGCACTTGTAACTCGGATTGTATTATTAAAAAGTTGGAATTTCAAACCAATTTGTTGTAGCAATGTCATTATTGTTTTCTATTACAACACCAATTTTGGTAGGTCTTTGAGGTGTATCATCAGTTGAAATAAGTATTCATTTGATTTTGAACAGACAATCACATTCTAAGATATAATGCATTTATTGCACTTATTTGGCATGTGATAGTTGAGTGAGGAATATGGGCATTTACACTATGTATGAAATAGTTTCATATCCAAACAGAGGGTGTGTTTTTAAAAAATGGGGAAATTGGTTTATGGTTCTTGTGAGTTATTGGGTTGATATCAAATTGCATTTTTTAATTCAATAATAACTATATACTATTGCCTACAAGTTTATTTTAAAGGGTGTTTGACAATGATAACCCATCTTTATTTCAGACCAATTAAGATGATTTGGGATGAATTAACAATTTGTCACCTTAGGTAGTCATCTAGTTTGAGGTAAATGCAATTGTATAATGTGTTTTTCCCTATGTAAGGCTATGCATTCTTTTTGTTTTTTCCTCTGGCCCTTTCCTGATATCCCCAGGTCATTCATCAACTTCAGCAAAACTGATGTTGAGTATTTGGAGTTATCCTGACTGAGAATATTTTTTTCAGAAATGAGTTAAACAAGACAATACTGTTCAGTAGTTTGCCACTGTAGAAAAAGTCAAAACTATTACAGAATTCTTGCACTACCATCTAATAAATCTACAACACTACATTGTCCCCAGTTCTGGTTTTTACTTTGGGGTCCGTTAGCTCTTCTATTCGTGCCAGTACACTTTCCATGAGATCGAATGTGTAGATAGCTGACCGTAGAACCTGAAATGACAGCAAATTATTAGGGATAAAATAACAAGTTCAATGCTGCATTGAAGCAGGAAAAATATTTCATCTTCAGCAATAAGTTCAGGATAGATAAAATGATGAAGTAGTTACCTCCAATTGCATTGATATGGTCATTTTAGGTAGTTTCTTACCACCAACTGTTAAGGAACATTGGGTTTCACTATGCGGAGCACCTGCAATTATTAATAAAATCAGATGGTAACTTTTGAATTGATGACCTATAAATCTTACTACCCTTTTTTTAAAAAAACTTTTTCCATCTTACCCAAATGGGTTTTCTGTGAGCCCACATGCTAAATGCCGATGACAAGTTAATCAGCATCAAAACAGATCTTTAATCCTGTTGAAGTTACTTTATTCAAACAACAAACCTTTGATTTTCTTGTTTTCCTCTTTGGTTCTGATTTCTGCTTCATAATGAGCCTTTGACATATTCAAACCTGTGCGTAGTGGATGTAAGAAATTTTCAATCCAAAAAAGATCAGTCCATATTCCAGTCTGCAAAAGATGAAAGAAAGAATAACAAACATGAATCATGCATATTAAGATGGACGTAAATCAAATGATTAAAAGTATTAATCCCATTTATTTCATAATATACATTTTAACATTATGCTAAATAAAAATGAACAAAAAGATAAAGACTTATTTATTTAACATTTATACTATACAAAACTCCTTGGTGACCAGCTAGTTGAGTACCCAGTAATTGGTCAGCTAAAAGAAAGTAAAAAGGTAAAGAAAAACTAAAGATGAGTGGGGAAAGGGATCCTATATTTTCAGCTCCTTTGTTGCAGTTTTTCCTCTCTGTTCAGTGAGATTGGTTGCAATCTTACAAGTATTTTCATTTATTTCTTTATATTGTATGTCACCATCAGATGATTTAAAAATAAATAGGACTTGTGCTACATATCTAAATATTGTAAAATATTGTTTCCACTTAATAGTCAATAACACGTTCCTATTGATTAAATATTATGTGATTAGTTTTTTTGTCAAAATAATTTACTTACCTGATTCTGCCATTCATTATCCCTGATTACCAGATACCTTAGGAGGTTGAGTGAAGCCATGATCCTAGTATAAAGTTGGTTTTAAAAAAAACAAGTTGGACAGTTTTCAAAAATGAACAAATTCCTGTAGGATACAGATTTGTGGCTACATTTCCCCATATATTGAGATCTTACTTTAGTTCTTCCAGAGACTAATTAATGAGAATTCTGAATGTACAATAATGAGAAAAGTTACTTTTTTCATCCCTCCTACCCTACCACTCAACTATTTCTATTTTTACATCGCCTCGTGCTATTCTCAGATGGAGAAGGTGCATAAGCAAACTGCTCATATCTCTCACAATACAGCAGCCAACCAGATACTCAGTGACTTGTCCGCCAATTTTTCCTTCGAGTCTGGCTTCCACACCACACAAGTTTGGGGACTTAGCAAAGAAACTCACTGATTGAATTGATGGTACACTATAGCATATAAAATAACTAGCTGTTTAGTTATTTTAAGCAGTCAAATGTCACTTTCCAGGAGTACTGAATCTTACCTGTCTGAGTTCTGAAGCAAGTCTGTTTCTGCTCCTTCAGGAAGTGAAAGGACTGAATGAAGAAGAGTGATCAGATGTGGATCTGTGCAGTGAAAATCAGCTTGTAGACAAAGACCAGATGGTACCAATCGTGCTAGAAAGCCAGTGCAAGAATATAATCTACAGCCAAACACCTGGAGGTGACGGTAGACCTCAGGAAAGACCCTGCCATTTACAGCTCAGTCAAGTAGAACATGCTTCCATTGGACACAGTGGCAGCATTGCAGAAGACGACCCTGATTCAAGTGAGCATTTAGTTGACATGGAAAAAGGGCATGTGCAAGGGTACTCCCCAGCATCAAGTGATCAAACTAA